CGTAGTTCGATAATGCGCGCAATTATCGTCGCCGCGATTGACACGTTTAATTCGTCGTCGTTTGCGCTCAATCGTATTCGAGGGAAATGAGAGGAGGGGAAACTTGACAGTTAGTCCGAATGTTGTCGCATGTCGCGTTCGGAAAATTGTCATTTCCACTTCGCCTTCTTACGACACGGCAAAACTACCTCTCGGACTTCTTCCGGGTTGAGCGCACTGTGATTTCGCGAGGAGGAGGAGGAGGAGGAGGAGGAGGAAAAGCTTCTTTAACATCGCCTAACGTGCGACTTCTTCGGACGAGAGGACGATCCATCAGTTTCCGCGGCGATATGTGTCACGGATCGTGATCTCGCGATTACGACATCGGTGATCTCACCGCCGCGCCGATGCGAGCGAGCGAGTCCGCGTCGCCGGCGCGGCACACCCACCCACGTGTGCATCGCGCGTCGCGATCTGCGTATCGCGGTGTATCTGTCCTCGGCATCGAATTCTTAGACCTATCCCGAGCACTTGCAGAAAAAGGAAGAGAGAAACTCAAACGGTGGAGATTAATTTAATCGCCGATCGCGCGCGGCGGCTCGAAAACGCAAGAGCGACACGTTTTCTTTTTCCTTTCCTTCCTTCCTTCTTCTTCGCATTCGCGTTTTGATTCATGTGTTTTGTATTCACAAGAGCGCAAATGCATGAAGTCACATAGAGCGGACTAAACTCGGGGAAACGTTCGGCACTTCGGCGAGATCGAGATTTAAAGGACGAGCGATATCCCTCGCCGACTCGGCCGTTCGGTTGTGACCTCCTCGACTTCCCGCGCTCGGTCGCGCCTCTTCGCGGCTCAAGTTTCGACGTTCCTCTCGCGCGATGCCATCGGCCTCTTAGCCGCGGCGTGCGATTTCAATGCGACGGACGACCATTCTCCATTCCGATTCTCTCCTACACCCGCACGTCACGCGTTGACATTGAACGCGAAGGTGTGCGGACCCGCGAGAGGAGAGGCCGCTCGCGCTTCTCTCTCGCTCTCTGTCCCGTATTTCCATCGGACACTCGCGTGACTACCGGGAATGACACGAAGCACGCATTTGGCTGATGCGTGGTATCGGGTGAAGCGAAGGAGGAGAGCGGGGGAGTCGATGTTAGAGATAGCGGCAGGGTCGGAGAGAAAGAGAAGGAGGGAAAAAGATAGAGAGAGAGAGAGAGAGAGAGAGAGAGAGAGAGAGAGAGAGAGAGAGAGAGAGAGAGCCAAGAACGACAGTCAGCTGATGTCACGCAGATGGGCTGGTGAGCTACGCCGTGCTAAAAGCGGTTGTGATGCCCTCCTTTATTTTTCTCCCACCGCTGCCTTCTCCTCCACCACCTCCTCCTCCTTCTTCTCCCCCTCCTCTTTTTCCTCCATTGCCGCCACTGTTTTTCTATCTGCGCGTCTATCCGCTCTCCGTGTCTTGTGCGTCTTCTGTGTCTCTCCCTCTCGCTTCTCTCGCGCTCGTGGAAGAGGTGGAGAAAGACAATGATGAAGAAGAAGAAAAACGTGCCTTCTACGCGATTAACAAGAGCATGCCGCGAATTGCCTGACGCATTCTCCCACTCTCGCGATTTCTCTCTCTCTCTCTCTCTCTCTCTCTCTCTCTCTCTCTCTCTCTCTCTCTCTCTCTCTCGTTTTCCTCTCTTGGGTCTCTCGGGAAAATTGCGTGTGGGAAAACAATATCTAGGTAGCTCAGCCGTGGAAAAATCTCGCAATCTTCATTAACGGTGCGAGCAATTTTCGTCCGAAATGTTCGACGAATCGGCGGATCTAATTGATCCCAACGGCACGCGACGCGTTAGATGAAAGACACTTGTAGAGAGTGAAAATGTGTGGAGGATGTCGAGGGGTGGTGGTTGGCAAGTTTTAGAAATCCATGCCCGCGCGATATTGTTCCGCGCATCTTCCGTCGTTGATCGCGAACAGTGCGCCTATTCAAAGGTTAATAAGGCGATATCTTCGTTGGCGGAAGAAGTACGCTTAAACGCACACTCGCGAACTGATATAAAGTCCGATCTTATCGTGCAAAGACGCAAGTCGATTTATCTTCCACTACGGTCTCGAGAGCGAGATTGGTCTCCGACGGAAATTGCCTCGTCCTCTTTCGACTTCTCAGACGGAAAATGTGTATCTCTTCGACGACGAGACGAAGATATTTCCGTCTGCCTCTGATGAGAAAAGTGCAGATATTTTTTATTTCACTTTCGACGAAGCAATTTTCTCGTAAATATTTTTATCGCTCTTCTAATAAGAGAAAAATTTACGCGTTCTCTTCGTAAATATTTTTATCCTGTGTCTAAGAAAAGACAAGATTACTCACGCAGATGTCTGTTATTATATTCCAACGAAGTATCTTTATACTTTTTCTAACGAAGAGAAATTCTCGCGGATGCGATGTCGCATGTCGACGTCGCATGCTTGGGGAAGATAATTCTCTATCATGTTATTGTTCGAGAAACTTTTGTTCTTCCAAAATCTTCCCATCGCGTGCCGGTGTTTCAGGCCTCAGGCCTGAAATCGCAGTGTCGCGTGACGGCGAAGAGCAACACGACTCGCTGCGATGGTCACTGCGACTGCGGTGGAGTCGATGTCGCGGATCATCGGCATGGGAAGACGCGACGAGGAGCCGAAGAGGTCAGGCATGCGAGAAAGTGGGGCAGACGCGGAACGTTGACCTTTACGTGCGGCGGATATACGCGTTGTAAAGAACACGAGACACACCGGGGTACGCTCGATGGGAGCTGAACGTGCCGCCGCGTGGCGCTCCTTTGTCGCGGTACCCTCGGCACGACGTACCGGCGGAATGGGATAAACAGGTTCACCTTTAGAAATACCGTGGATGGATTGTCCCCCGGGTGCTGGGGATCGAAACAACCTGTGCGTTCCCGTTCGCTTTGAATTCGTTCCAAAGCCGGCTCACGTCACGATGAGAATTTAATCAGAATTTGATATCTCGAGATACACTCGCACGCGCGCGAAAGAGAGAGAGAGAGAGAGAGAGGAAGGACTGACAGATTAATTTGCTGACGTTAGAAATTATATTTAAATCCTAATGTAAATTCAATTTTTGCTATTTTAAATTGTTCGGCATGCTAACTCTCTCCTCGTCACGACGGAGATTTAATCAGAGTTGGACACATCTCGAGGTACACTCGCGCGAGAGAACTGACAGATTAATTAGTTGACATTAAAGAACGTTTAAACTTTAAATTTAATTTCTGACATTTTAAATTGTTTGAAACATTGACTGACTCATCACGACAAGAGTTCAATTCGAATTTGACATCTCGAGATATACCACCCGCAAATCGAGAGGTAATTAGTTTTGCACTAGAAGATGTCTAAGTTTCAGCTTAAATTTAATTTCCGAGCTTGTTAACTTTTGAGAAATATTGTCTCGTTTAAATTTTCAAATTTAATTCGGATTCGAACGGGAGCTTGTCTTCAAGTTTAAACGAAAGTTTAAATATTGCGGACGAGAATTTTCAGTGGAAATGATTTCTTCTCGCGTTGAAAATTTCATTCAGGCAGTCTACGATCTCTCGAATAAACTGTTCACTGTAAAGACCGCATAAAAGTTTAAATAAAAGATAAAGGGATGTCTATCGGGCCGTTGTTCGTTCTCTATTCGCTCCGTGGGGATTTTTCAGTTCTGCTAATGCACACAGTATAACAGATTGTTTGATCTATACCGATCACGACGAAGGAGAAGTGCTGCGCGCCACGCCCAACCGTTAGATTTACACAGCGCCGTTATTAGCGCTGCGTTTAACGCACGGATAAGTCGCGTGAGTGAGTGCGTGCGTGCGTGCGTGCGTGTGCGTGTGTGTGTGTGTGTGTGCATGCACGCATGCATAGGTATGTAAGGGATATGAAGCGCGTCTCGCTTACATGATCGCCGTGCAGTCAGACCGCCCGTCATAAAGACCAGCAGTCGCACACGACGACGTATTATCGAATGAAGGATGCACGCGGTTCCATTTCGCGCTCGTGCTTCGTCTCGTTTTCCTCGTTAGTATAACAGCCGAATTACCGTAACTGTAACGTGCAACAGTCCTCAGCGGTGGTGATCTCAGCGCCGTTGCTATCCAGGTGTGCGTAATTATAACCGTTCACGTAACAGTCCAGACAAGATAATCCTGCTCGTGCAGAAAAAAGACTTGTGTCGACCCACCCCGTATAAGTTGTCGATCCTTGACCTGATGATTGTCGGGTGCCATTGTATTGCGCACACAGTGGAGTAATTTCCGAACGGTTTGAAGTATTCTTTATCTCTCGTCGCTCGACAAGACAGCGGATGAGAAATAAAAGGAAACCTATTCCTGCCGAGTTTCGCCGATCTTTCCATATTCGAATAGAATCTAATAATGATGATAATTTTGTAAATAATAATAAAATTTCCAATGCTCATTGTGACGAGTATTTAATCGGAATTCCATATCTCGAGATACGCGAACCGAGAAATCAATTGGTTGATATTAGAGAGAATAATCGCAGAAAACTTAATCTCCATAATTTTATACTTATAACAGCATCCTTTTTCGAGACGAGCATCCAGTCGATCGTTCGCGGAGAAACACATGTTTTCGTCACAGTTTTTCGGTTTCACGCGGATTCCAGGAGACTCTGAAGAGATCATTCTCGACCTTCGCGCATATCCAAGTCCATCGCTCGTTTACTCTAAATAGTCATCCGCTGATTCATGTTCACGCTCACGTCGATGTTTTCTGGTGTCCGTCGGAGCCCGCGGCGAAGACTCTCGGGAGAAACGCGTTGTTTAATAATTGCTACTTGAATCTCGGCGAATTCCACGCCGGAGAATGTCGCGTATGCGCGAATGAATGCGCACTCACGCGTAATCGGATCATATTTGTTACACGATTAATCGGCCATTCCGATTAATCATGCGCTGATTCACATTCGTTCATGCACTCACACACATTGATGAACGTTACAATATAATCCGTTTCTAATCCAATTGCAGAGATCGCGAAGGTGCGGGCGAGCCTTTTTCAAATCAGCGGGGTGAAAAAGGAGCCGCTCGTATTGCCGGATCCCGAAGGCGACATTACGACCCTCACGGAGAAGGTTTACGTACCCGTTAAGGAGCATCCAGACGTAAGTATATAATAAAATCATAAGGAATCGAGAAACAGATGGAAAGAAAAACAGAGAGAGAGAGACTTCTTCTCGTGCACGTTTCACCGTTGCGCGAACGGCCGCGCGCAAAGTTGGCGCGCCTCCCGGATTATTTCGACGTGCGTGATTCAAGGACTCAGGATGAAAACACCGAGCGCATAAGCTGACGGATCCGTAGGAAACTCGAAGCGAGAAAGCTTCGCGGAATGCTCAACGCACGATCCCTGATTTTATGAAACATAAATTAGACGAGCTATGCTCATGCGCGTGTATTACGAATCTCTTCGTTGACAAATATCGTTGTTTTCGGTTTCCGTGAAATAATAATCATTTTAATAATCATCGTTTATCAACGGGAAAAGAAATAGTTTTTTGTTGCGCAATAAGTAATAAAATAGAAATAAAGTCTATTTTATTTCCATTTTCGCATTTCTCTTTGAAGAGAAAGAAATACATAAGATGGAAATAGAATATATCTGATTTCTATTTCGGCTTCTTGTTAAAAGGAAAATTTTCTCTCTCTTTCTTTTTCTCTCTCTCTCTCTCTCTCTCTCTCTCTCAAGAAGTTTTATTCTTTCGCTCTTTTTTTTTCTTTTTTTGCGAAGCGCGTTACATCGAAGACGCGATTTTCGCGACGATCATGCTCCGCGATTTATTCCAGCCCGCGAGGCGAGTATCGTTCGCCGATCTCGGGGAAGAAATCAAGCGACGATGTGCCGCTGTGCACCATCGAACGCACGCGCGCACAGCCGAATGTTATTTCTGTAACGCCCGAAATAGAGTTCGCAGCCGAAAGAACGGGACTCCCTCTTTCCTGCTCTTCTCCTCCATTTCTCCGCTTGCCTCGGGCGCGCCTCCGCGGTGCGGCAGCTCATTGAGACGTAATAACGAGGTCGTAAGCTTATTAACCCTTCCTCGCGGATACGCGCGGGCGTCTCGATTTCTCAAAACGTATATTGAGTGCTCGATTAATTTCGATCACGTTATATCGCGTCCATCTACCACGACGAGAGATAGATACGCACGAAAGTGCAAGACGTGTATCGCGCTTCGGCTTCTTCTGAAAAGCCAACTCCGAACGATACGGTAAACGTATGTTGAGCCAACGTTGGCTCAACGTTGGCTCAACATCAGCCCAATATTGGACGAATGTCGCTCCAACATCGTGTCAAAATAAAAATTTCCTTTGCGAAAGAAAGAAATACAATATAATAATTTAAGAATAATAATAATACAAAAATTTAGTATTATACATCATTATTAGAGTATATCATATTATTGGCTATGGATGATAATCAATATAAATAGTTAATCGTTGTCTCTATTGGTAATGAATATTAATGTGTTAACATCATTATTGATTTATGCGTATATACAATATAGTTAATGTTACGTCGACCAACATGTTGACGTACTTTCGCGACGTGCAGGTCGGTTTTACATGTGAAACGGTCGCTTGATCGGCAAGAGAGGAATGAGCCACGCGACGACCAGATGCTCGCGATAGCGAACTGCTCGTTATCAGCTCTTGAGGGGGATTTTCGAGAGGAATCGATTATTCGGCCGTTATGTCGACTGCAATCTGGCCCCGCGCGATAATCTATCGCGAATAATCGTGCATCGATCTCGGGAGATTGATAACGATAACGATAAGACTCGATAAGGATCGCCGTATTGTCGACGATACTTATCGCGTATCTTGCCGAGCACTTCCGCAACGCTACTCTCAGGTAGCGAGCGTTGCGTTTCGTCTTATCTCGCGCGTAATAAGCGGAAACGTCGTATCTCTGTCATTTGGACGTGTGAGAAGATTTATTCTTTTCGAAGGAGACGTGCGAAACGAAATCCGCTTTCGATCCGAGATCTCGCACTTTTCCACAACGGGGCTTCATTTCTGTTTTCGACTGTGGTCCTCCTCTTCTTCTCTCGATGCTTCGTTCGAGTAACTTCTTCCCTCGCGCTTTTGCCTTTTCGTTCGATGTTACACGCCACGGAATAAATTCTATCGCGATATCAACATCGAGTAACGTTGCTCGCGCTTTACAACTCATAACTTGCGTATCGCTGGGAAAAAAAAGAGAAATAGACCGGCAACGCGAGCCGAAGATTCGGATGGGTGATTCATCGTCTAAATTTATCCACCTTTATTTGCCGGGACTCAACAATGAAACTGGATATCTCTCGTGGGAAACGAGTCAGTCTTTTTCTCTTTTTCTTTTCTTTTTCCTCCACTTGCCGGTGCCGAATATAGCAGGGTATAATGTGCACGAAAGCGCGGTGTCGTCTTTGCGTTAAATGGGATGATATATTTATTTTCGCGCGTATTACGACGCTGTTATCTATATACGCACCGGCTGGATATAGCCCAAAATACACGAAAGGGTAATAACAGTGTAAATTTGCGCGAAAATGATCGTCGAGAGTCGATCTCCGGCGACATCGGCAGGAACTTTTATCTGCGCGGTGATTCAGGCTCGCTTGTTGACCGCCGAATTTTTTCCTTTCTTATTTTCGTGTTATCCTTTTGTTACCTATCGTCAATCACCGAAAGTGTATCCCTTTTCTTTTCCAAAGGCAAAGGACACTTGCTGCACGGACTAAAGGCTTACGTAATTTCGTAAAAATCTTTAGTTGAAGTGTTGTGTTTACTTTGTGAAAATGTTACGTCATGTTATTCAAAGAACACGAAAAGATCCGACGAGCATGTCGGAAATTATCATGGAGCGAGTCTCCTTTTATTAACGTCAACTACATTGTTGTACTTGTGCCGACTAAGTTGACTTGGAAATTTTTTCAGTTTTTCTGTTTTAAAATAATTCGAACATTATTTCACCGTGCAATAGCATCCTGCCTGCGAGACCGAAAAATCACCAAGTAATTTGGAACGTATTTCTTCTCGCGAGGATGTTACAATTAATTAGCGCCTGTAAAATTACGGTTCGTCGTCACGAAATAATGAATACCTCTGTCGCGTGATTGCAGTTCAACTTTGTCGGGAGGATTTTGGGGCCACGAGGCATGACCGCGAAACAATTGGAGCAGGAGACAGGATGTAAAATCATGGTCCGCGGGAAGGGGTCGATGAGGGACAAAAAGAAGGTAAGGATCTACCCAGCGTTTCGTAGCACTCGTTTATAAGTATACACATACATATATTTATACATACCTGACGACTAACTGTAAAATACACGTGTGTCGTTCGAGAAAGGAAACACACACCACGCTTCATTGGGAAACGATATCTCTCCGTGAGAAGTTTGTTTAGATTATTAACACGTCATTAACCGAGAGAAGACACGGCTCGTTCGCTAACGACTGGAGCATAACGAGCGAAGCTGAGGTTAATTAATAAAATGATACCGGCTGTTGTAACAACAATAGAGCTCGATCCCACTAATCGACCGGTTGCACTGTTCTCTTCTTGATATCTTTAGCTCCCCGCGATGTTCAGTGCTATAATCCAGTGTGATTGAGATTATATGATAAAAGAATTTGATAGTTTATGGATAAATAATGCACCGACGAGAAAGAGAAATAGAGTATGTCGGTCATAAGTCGTCGGACACTAGTGGCGAATGTGGTGTTTACGATTAATTGTGAAAGATTAATTGCGTAGCAGATATTAAACGAAGCCCTGTATTTTTTCAAGCTGCACACGTGACGCGTGAGCGAAATGCTTTTCTCGTAAGTATAAATAGTAGAATCGGAGCCACACCTCCAGCATTGTAATTCGATATGAACGATGTGCGCATCTTTATCTTACTGTATTTCGTTGATCCATGCGAGTGTTAAGTAAGACGGTCGTCGATTATTTTTTTATTCTACAACTTGACGAAAATGCTCTCGATGGACACACGCGCGCGAATGTCCCTCGCTAATTATAAAATTATATCTTCATTTGTACTCATAAATAATTTTTATTTATTTTCTATATTACATTCAAGGATATTTTTTGTTGTAACAACTTTTATGCTTGAATGAATTATCTAATTTATTATAATAATAAATATTTAGAAGAGGATAAACAGGATTAACTATATTTAATAGGAAGAGATGAAAGAGGTAATATTTTACTCGCTCTTGATTATGCAGTTTCATTTCTTAATGTTATTTTCGTGGAACCGAACGCGTCCGCGTTATAATTTCATGGGCTCCACTATTTTTCTTATTTAGCGTGTGTTACACGTGATGTATTTGTGTGTGCGTGTGGATGCGTCGAGAGAACATGAGCGTCTCGAGAAACAGTTACACGCGTATAATAATCGCTGCGGTGTGTTGATTAACTAGGAGGAGCAGAATCGAGGCAAGCCAAATTGGGAACACCTGACGGACGAGCTACACGTGCTGCTCACGGTAGAGGACACTGAGAATCGTGCCACCTTGAAGCTTGCTCGTGCCGTCGAGGAAGTGAAGAAGCTTCTCGTTCCCGTGGTGAGGAAGTTCCAACTGCAAACTCTTTTTCTCCCCCCTCTAACATGCAACATGACGGCGATGGCCGTAAAGAGTCGTGAAGGAGAGAGAGAGAGAGAGAGAGAGAGGGAGAGAGAGAGAGAGAGAGAGAGAGAGAAAGAGAGAGCAGATCTCACCGTAAAGTTGGTCCAACGAAATTCCTCATTGGTCATTCTGCCTACAAAGCCTTTTATGGACTGTTAAGACTACAGGATCTCGTTGGAATTTATCTCTTTTTCTTTCCTCTCAATTTTTCAGACATGCAAAGTCTAATACTTGTTACTTGGAGATTTTAATGCCCATAAAAGAAATTATAAAGATACCTAAAAAATTCCCGTTGATAAGTAAATAAATACAATAAATCAAATAGAATGTCAATTACAAGTTTGATAAAATATATAAAATAAAATAAAATATATAGTGATCGTAAAGTTACACAAATAATATCCGGAATTCAGATTATATATGGCTGTCGCGATATTTATAGTATATCTTTCTATAGAAAAAAATGTGAAAAAAGAGATGAAAGGCGCGACTATGTTGTCGAGTCTCTTCACAGTAATGCGATGAACTCGATCGATACGTTGTATGCGAATCGGATCGATACAATGTACGATGTGTTTTGATCGTCACATGACGCAACGCTTCCATGGCGCGCGTCGCGCCATTAATGACGTAATCGGCGCCTTCATATGTAAATGAAAAAAAGTAACAGAAGGTTTTGTACAATGATGTTAGTTTCCCCCCCCCCCCCTTCTCTTTCTCTCTCTCTCTCTCTCTCTCTCTCTCTCTCTCTCTCTCATCCGTGAAGCCCCTATAGAGTAATTATGCCGTTGCATCTCCGGTGATGGTGCGTTTTGACGGTGATGTCGATTGTTAGCAGGCTGACGGCGAGGATGAGCTAAAGAAGAGGCAGCTGATGGAGCTTGCGATCATCAACGGAACTTACCGGGATTCGAACACAAAGGTTGCCGCCGCCGCAGGTACTGTTCGCAGAACTTGTCTCATTATACACTTAAGCTGCGTCGTCATTGTACAGTCGCAAGTACACGTGGGATTCAACGAGGATATGCCAATTCAAGAAATGGGGAGAATTCTTTCTCGAATCATGCGATTTCGTTTGCGCTCTCCGCTCCTCGTGTCTAATCGCGATTTGTCTCGTTTACGTGTTCAAGCAAAATAATCTCGCCGGTATGATCACCGCGTGTCGTAAGCGTCCCGAGAATAAGATGACGACTCATATTAATCGGAAGGAAAAAGAGTAAATACAGCCAATTTCATCCAATGATTTCAATTAAATTTCAATTAAATTTCAATTAAACGTTCATTATCATTGGATCTCTTTCCCTTTTAATTCTATTATTCGATATTTATGTACATTTTCATTCCTTTTTTTTTCACTTTTACTTTCTGTATTCTTGACTTAAATTGTTTCTGAAATCTTATCATTTTAACGATAATGTCCTTGGAGGAAATATCCTAGGACAATAATAAAAGTATCCATCTGCTTACCAATCTTTCCATTCCGAGAGTACTTGCATCATCGCTGCTACTAAATTTTCCCGTGTGCGAGATTTCACCCTAAGAAATTTCGGGAAAAAGTTTCCCACCGCGACAGTAAAAAAACGCGTGAGAGAATTCGTGGGTGGTCGAGTAACACGATTAATTCTCGCGGGAATACGAACGTGTGTACCGTTGCAGGTGCTCCGAAGTGCTTTTTCTTTCCCTTTTTTAAAAACGTGCCTGATGACGTCATAATGTGTAGCTATAGTCTAATATTCGGTCACTGTTGCAGCCTGCGACGAGGAGTGGCGGCGGGTGGCTGCCGCCGCGGCGGAGACGCAACGCCTGCTGCCAGGCCTGGCGACGCCGATACGGACGCCAAGCACGCCCCTGGGCGCGCCGCTGATCCTGTCGCCGCGGATATCCGTACCTACGACCGCCGCGTCCCTGCTGAACGGCTCTGGGCCGCCGGGCTCGCTCCTCTCGGCCGGTGACCCCCATGGACTCATCTACACGCCGTACGACTACGCCAACTACGCAGCGCTAGCCGCGTCACCTTTGCTCACCGAATACGCTACTGCAGATCATTCTGGTGGGTTATTTGCTCGTTGAGATTACCATCTCTCGCGACAGACAGGGAAGAAAAGCGTATGCGCCTCTGCTCTCGCGAGAGATAGCAAGTCGAAGCGGCGCAGACGCGCGTCGAAAGCGCGCGCGCTGCAAATACCGGCACCGCAAATGTTCGTGCCGCAAATATTCACGCCGCAGGTGTGCGCGCCGCAAATGTGCGCTCCGATTTGTAATAGAGATGACGACGACACACGTCCGCCGGAACGGAGAGGACGGAGCCGCGCGCACTCGCCGCATCTTCTATTATTGATATTATTGATGATATTGATTATTTTATCGTTATTATGTTTACTGGTCGATCGTCACGAATTTATTTTTATCGATAACACGCTGTACGTTGACGACGGTCGTTGGTGACTTCCTCCCCCTATCTCTCTGCCTGACCGCCGCACCAGCGGCTGGAAACGCGAAGAGAGCGGCGCGACTCTATTTTCGCCTCTACTTTTTAATCGTGCAATCCGCGAGTCTCGAAATTAGACGAGCGACGAGCAATTAACGTAACGACGGCTAATGAGATTAGAAGGGAATGTTCCTCTCTCGGAGAGGTTATCGGACGTTATCGATCGTTTATTCTTGGCGTCATATCGGCGAGTGCATCGCGCGCTCGTCAATCGGCGCGATGTAAGAGCGGAGTATTCGGATTTGAGAACCGAGATAGACTTTCGTAATCTTCGTGTCTGAGAACAATCTTGCGAAAATTGGCGACTCTACTTCGCTCTTGTTGCTCGAACGCGTCTCACGTATTGTAATATACTGCTGGCAGTAATTATCGGATTTCTACAATGATCGCGAAGCGAGTCGCTCGTGTAATCGCAAATTCTCGCGCTCAGTGCCAATTTTTGTACATTACTCGTAAAATCGTAGTCGAAATTAATTAACGACGTGACGCGCGGAGAGGAAGATCATCTCGGACGTTCGGCTTCGTACGACGCCGAGAACGATTCGCCGGGAGCGTCACCAATAACCGTAATACGTGGTACAATCGCGTAGATTGTAAGACGATAATTGTTATTACGGGCCGATATCGCTCTTTTAGCCATTAATTATTCTTATTATTATTCTTATTATTATTACCTGGTGATTTTCATCATCACCGTCACATTGCCTTCGTCGTCATCGGACATTGTTCCGATCGTCGTCGTCATCATCATCATCATCATTATCTTCATCATCATTATCATCATTACAGCAGCTAGCGATTACTTAGGAGGAGAAGATAGCTTAGAATATTATATATAGATATATCCAACACAACCGAATCAGTCATTTGCTAGTCTCGTGTCAGTTCAGATATAATGGTAATAATTATGCGAAAAAACGTTAGCGTGTAACGTAACGTATGCGCCGTGTCTCCGAAGTAATTATATCACGAAGATTCAGGGTTCTCGTAGCGATAGAGTGTCGCGGCGGGAGTGCAGGTATGCTTTTGTAGCAGGGACGATGTAGTAGTAGGAATAATAGGAGGAAGAGAAAGAGAGGGAGAGAAAAATGGAGCGAGAAAGAGAGAAAGTAGCGGAAGAAATAGGGAAAAGAGCGCGGGAAGCAGACATTTTATATATTCGTACTCGCGTTGTATCACGTGCGGATGTAGCTATACTAGTCCGAAAGCTTTTTTACATAGAGTCGGGATCGCGTTGTGCACAGATATCCGCGTGTCCCCGTGCAGAATAATGATTCAATGAGTGTGGCAAACTTTCAGTCTTTTGCTCTAGGCCCGAAGCTGTACCATATTTTCTGGCAAAAGATATTCCCCGCGCTAACAGATGTCGAAATCTCCAAGTTTCAAGCGTCATTGCGACTTCTGGCAACGCAGAAAGCGCCCTTTGCCAGAAACGAAGTTGCAATTTTGGACTTGGAGCAATAGACTAAAGAAACACCCATTGTGTTTCGAGCCTGATGTGTATATGTACGGAAAAAAATCGCAGTTCGTGCAACTGAATAGGGACCAGACAAAAACATTTATGATTCAGACATCATAACAAGTGTTTTTTTTCAGCTCAACTGGATTGCATTTCCTGCTTTTAGAATGAAATAAGTGTAAAACTTAGCATTGAAAGGAGAAGGAACCAAGTTTCGGTGCAGCATTAGTTTAGCTAAAAAAGAACAGACCTAACCTGATCTCTGTTAACGCAATCGAAAACATTTGTCTAAACATTAGACTGTTCGATTGAAATTCAATTGAAACGTTCGAAAGCGATTGACTGATTAGAAATCTACAGGATCTTTCTCGTTCCTACAATGAGGTTTTTGTCTAGTCCTCGAAAAACAAAATCACAGTTACACAGGCTGAGAATTTTTTTGCCGTATATTTATGCTCCTCAAGTCGCGTCGTGTACTCTGGATGCATTCAGGACACTTCTTCCTGCGCACACCTCACCGTCCCACCACAGCCACACGTCCAACATCGTCCCGCAGTAGTTTCACCTGTCCGAAGTGGTACATGCAAGTTTACTCTCCGTGAGACATATACGCGGTTGCTCGATTCCCGGTTGCGAGAACCGTCCGGAATGGAGAACAACGATAGACCGCGTCCTTCGACATTCTAGCGTGTTCGTCTTCTCTCGGTCGACGTGTCTGTTTCTTGCTTTTCCCTCCCGCCGTTACAAAGGCATCCAGTTACCCGGTGAGAATGCCGCCGCGTCGACCTGATGTTATAGGTGCACCTTTGACGACGGTTCTCCCTCCCTCCCCGCTCCTCCGTAGAGACCGACCTGGGAGATCCGCGACGCGTTTTCAATATCGCGCACCACTCAATGCAATTAATCAAAGGCCATTCGTGTTGTAGCTGTTTTACATGTGTACTTTGTGTAGCTTGTGTGTTGTCTGTCTGTGTGTACGTACGTGTGTATACACATCGCGTACGTATATATATACATATATATATATGTATTTCAGAGAGTATATATACATACATTATATATTTATTGAAAAGTAGAAGAGATCAAATGTTAACGTTGTACTCTGTCGTGTAAAGATTTCGTGTAGATTTCTCTTCTCTCTCCCGCGGCTTTTTTTAGACGAGATGGATATATCATCGTCGGATGATACATCGTAGACTGTGAATCGCAGCGTTAGAGACGTTCCTTCGTACTGGAAAAGAAAAGAACAAATACCGGAAGGAAGTCTTTTGATCGTCTTTGTAATGGACGGCCTGTGTCGGTAGGGTGTCGGTAAGATAATGGTACATTAGCCGAACACACCTTTTCAGCCCGCGTTTTCTCTTTTTCCGCGTCTTTCTTTCTATTCTTCTTTCCTTTTTTTTTTTTTTATTTCTTTTTTGTTTAATTTCTCATGCGCGCGTTTAATAATCGTTTGACACGCTTGACGCTCTGGAAATTATTACATTTTAATGACGCGTACGTAATCTACGAAGTACCACTAGAATCCCCAATCGAATCCCTCGGGTTGATAATTCTAATACGCGACTAAACAACTAATCAACTCTCTCGATCCGTCCACCTCTCCTACGAAACCTACTTCACTCGCGCACCGCCACGCGTTGGTGGCGCGTGTTTTTTTACTTCTCTCTTACACACGCACACACTCATCCCGTCGGTCCGAACGAGAAATCGTACCTCCGTTACGTAACTCTTGTGCAGTAGCGGCTCTGTAGCGACGTAATTGCGCGAATCGCTTAGGCAGCTATATAGCAGCGATAGTTATCTAAATGAGAAAAAAACAAAAAAGAAACGCACGTAGCAAAATAATACTCAATTGTACGAGACTCTTGAGAGGATATGCAGCGATAGGTCTTTTTTTTTCTTAATTATTTATTCGAGGAGACGTAATGCACACGCGTTTATAATCCAATCAAGATGATAGTCGTTGATCGCACGGTAGCGCGAATCGAATTAGAAGCGCGGGTTCGGCTCGACGAGGACTCACACAGTCTCAGTCTCAGTGTCTCATGAAATTCGATTCGGAAAACTAATCATCGGATCTGTCGCACGCGACAAACACGCCATACAACAAATGTTACAATGGCTGGTGATAGGTAGTCTATATAAATATATATATATACATATATACGATATACACATAGGACTTTTTTAGGCAGACAGTAGGTGGAGGGAGAATATACCCAGGGACCAAACAATATTTTGTGGACTGATGGTTCTAGCGTTTACTCTTGTAGTGGTTTCATGACGAGCGGGAAAGACTATGCATTCAAAAGTATTCTCTTACTTTTCATTCTCGAGTCGCGTTTACATCTCCCATCCGCAAGAGCACAACAGGAGAATTAAGCAATGAGAAATTTGCGCTTATATATGCATACACACATATATATATTTATATTCAAGATATATTCTATATATACACGATCTATATATACTTTCGATAGCATAGTCTTTAAGTAAAATACTTTATTTTAAATCATATATATATAATATATATATTATATATATATTATATATAAATATCACACACACACACACACACACACACACACACACACACACACACGCACGCGCGCACATACATACACACACACACACACACACACACACACACATATATATTATTTTATATGTTTATTTAATTTTATTTTTATAAAGATTTAGCCGTTACATAAATATTTATATGAGGTTAAGGGCCGAAGCAACGGGTAGGTGTAATATCAATACTCATTGTTATTTAGGAAATGAGTAAGAATCGAGTCGGTAAAAATAATCGCGGTTCTTTTTTTCTATCTTTCATTTTTTTTTTTTAAGTTTACATCATACGAAAGACTTTCTTTTTTTATTACCTGATTTTTCGACAAGAATCAAAAGTGGTGTCTTAGCCGTGCGAAGAAAGCGAGTAGCAGCTAGCGGACAGCCCGGTGACGTTTAGTTGTGTCTCGAGTATTTAACGAATTTTATATGTACGCATATTACATACGCGTGCGCGCACACACGGAACGCAAATCGTGTACCTACAGTTATAAGCGGTAGCGAAGAATATATATATATATATATATATATGTATATATATATATATATATATCATATATTGCATATACATAATACGGTAGGCTCGTCTAGTAAGAAACGTAGCAAGTAAGAAAGAAAAGAAAACAGGCAATGTGTTACTCCATCAAAAGCCATGTCTCTCACCTCTCACGTGCGAGAGCGGCGAAAACATGTTAATGTAAACAATTTCAGGGACAACGCACTCGAATTTCACTGACGATGTATTCTTACAGTATTCTTACAGAGTGTTCTGGTAGGACGAGCAAGCTCACCCAGCTGCTGCCACCGTATTACAAGAGCCTGAGGAGCGTAATCGAACTTAAGCCGCGAGAGAGGAAAAGAGAGGAAACAACGAGAAAGAAAGAGAAATAGAGAGAAAGAGGGACCACAGCCATGTCGCAAAGGTTTTGTGTCTTTCTCTTTCTCTCCTCGTTCTTCGCATAATTCCGCATTCACGATTGTCGAGTCCAATATGACCAGGAGAATGAGAAAATGGGCGAAGGATCTCGTCCTTGCGAAACGTCATGTTTACCGAACAGTATTCCGCACGAGTCGCACATTTATGACGGCTCTTCGTGTATTCGGTCGCGTTTCAGCCGTCTCCCCTCGGAGGGGACGATCGTAGTGAACTACTCTCTCGCGGCCTCTCCAGTGTCGATTGCGCACCGCAAGCGATCGCAGCATATTAATCCGCGGTGCCGTCACGAGCAACTCGCGGCGGCACCGCCGGAACCCGTTGCATAAGAAGAGAAGAGAAGGAGGAGAGGGAAGGTGCTAGAGAGAATACCACGCGCCTCCGAGTGCTCGGAAATGTCATAAGAGAGCAGCGGTTCATGTGATATTTATGAGAATCTTCCGCGGAATCCGTGGAATTCTGAATTCTACGGCTTCCATGAGAGAGAGAGAGAGAGAGAGAGAGAGAGAGAGAGAGAGAGAGAGAGAGAGAGAGAGATGACTCTCAGGAAATATCCTCACTCCTCTTTCTCTTCTTATGGAACGGATTCCCCTGGTGTGTCGTTCTCTTTTTTTTTTTCCTTTTCTGTTTACATTAATAATAGCGTCAGGATTCTAGATTTTAGATAGCCGACGACGAGAGCACGGCGTGCGCGGGATCGCGCACGCGGAAGAGACTGCTCGTTTACACTACTCATGCTTGTATTTTGGCGACAGGCGCAGCGGCCGCTGCCAAGCAGCGTAGGCACCTGGGTCAGATCCGCGAACACCCTTATCAAAGGGCCGGCGCTCTCTCGTGAACACACGGAGACAGTGCGATATGCAAAGAGAGAGAGAGAGAGAGAGAGAGAGAGCGAGAGAGAAAGCGAGAGAGAAAGAGCGAGCGACCGAGCGAGAGAGAGAGAGAGAGAGAGAAAGAGAGACAAAGAAAACAAATAAGAGAGAGAGAGAGCACTGTTCTCGTGCCACCGCGGAAAGGTTAGTCTTGCACATGAGAAACTTCGTTAAGTTCTCTTTTATATATATCTCTTTATTATTATAATTTTTTTCTGTTTTATTTCTTTCCCTTTTGCGTACCGTTTACATACGACGAGACATACTCGCGCAACGTTACCGTCTCCGAGTAGTCCTTTTAGCGCGCGACAGGGAGTGAACTGGAGCCCCTCGAGGAGCCGTAGTACACGCTGGTTATTTGGTCCGGCTCCGGCAGTCGATTTCGAAAAGGTTTCTCCTTCTCGTAGGGACACGTGGGAGAACCTAACTGCCCTACGAGCAGTCGCGATGTTGCTTCCAATTCGGCATCGCCGTTTGTATATTTATTTCTCCATATTCGTCTGATCTCCGCGTGTGCATCATATCTATCTCTCGATGAAATTTCCAGGTAATGGATTCTCCCACTCGCGCTGCCTCCACGGGGAAACTTGCGTGCGACGATAACGCATTTTTGCGTGTTTACGTCAGTCGGCCGACCGGCCGAGTGACCCTCGTGTCCTACCGTGCGGCTTTATTATCGGGGACTGAGGCACTGACGTGTCTCAGGTAATGTCACGTCCGTCCATTTCCTCAGGTTCCTCCGAATCTTCTCGTTGCAATCGTTCGCATGATGCAACGCTCTCCGGAGACGGTGATGTGCGCGCCTACGTCTCGTCTTGTGTACCTGACGTCGCGCCGATCGACATCGGTTTCTCGCTGAGATCGCTTCACTTCTCTTCACACACATACACACACACACAACGGTGACACATACAGGTGAACGTACCTACACGCATACACGTACGCGTCTTTTATCTACGCGTACACGCAGGTAGATTTCCTTACTGGAGGATGATTAATGTCGCAATGCGTATTCCCCCCCCCCTCCCTTCCCGGAACAGGTCGCGCTCTCCTCAGACGTCCGCCGCGGCGGAAAGCAACGTGGCTTGCGTTGGCTGTAACAGCAGGTACAACGTCGAGATAATTGAAAGGAGAACGAGAGAAAGAAGCGACAGAAAGGAAAGGAACGGTCACACGTGGGAGGGAGAAACTTCTCTCCGAGAGCCGGAGAGCTGTGCTCCCGGAATGTCGAAAACACGCGTGACGCGTGACCCTCACGCGCTCTTAACGCAGATTTCTGGCGATGGTGAACGCGCGCCGACGTTGACGAAATCGCGAGTGCAACAATTCGCGGGTGAGCGATCTACCGGTGGCTCTGACTCGCGTCGTCTGAGGAAATCGCGCGGCCTGTAAGAAGTTACTCTACTTTTTTTTCTCTTCCACATTTTTTGTTCTCTTTCCTTGGTGCTTTTGTAAGACTCGATCTCTCGTCGTGAGCGATCGCATTCCTAGGCGTGACTCCCCCCGCTCTTAGGTCCGAAAACGTCCGCCGGAGACGTTCGTATCGAATAACAAGGGTTGGGAAAACCCGAGAAACTGAGGGCAGGTTGTTCCAATTCCTTGGTAAGTTAACTGATAGTTAAATCATATATGTCTGTCTTTGTCTGAGATCGAAGGAAAAACAAAGACAAACGTATGATTTAACTATCAGTTGACTTAGCAAGAAGTTGGAACCGGCCCTGAGAATCGGGACAGGTCTTTTTCTGGGCTTTATCCGGTACGAACAATACTCCGCAGTCCCCTCCCTTCTTTCTCCTGGACTCTGACGAAATTTCACGTCGTTCACATACAAAACGCAAACATGGGTGCGCACCTCCTCTGTTTTGCACGTATATCTCGGTTACAAGCAAGCACCGATCGGGATAGTCTCCCATCTGCGATGACGGACTGTCCGTGTGGATGAGAATAGTCCTCGCGTCAGAATCCAGATCGACAATTATCATATGGGACCGTCGATTTTATCCTAAACTTTGTAACAATGACGATTATTGTTACGTAACGTTCATTATCCGCGAAAGATCAATCTCTAACGCGAATGTGAACACTGAGAGGATGGTAACGCGGTACGATGCGAAGGTTCATATGTTACATTGATCTCATCGATATTGTCCAGATAACATCTCTCATCGTTATCACACGAGAACGTATCTTTCGGATTGAAAATCAGTAAAATCAAAACGCGAAACCGTAAACGCACGCAGGCAAAAATGTCTCTCGTGCGCCTGTTTCGCTTTTTATTACGATCCATCGAACGATTGTATTTCCATTTTCTTTTTCGTTCATCCGTGTTCAAAAGATGCTCGAGAGGACGAAAAAACGATAGTTCATGGACGCGACAAATGCTGCCAGAGAAAAGAAAAAGAGAAAAAGAAAGACGGCATATCTCCCGCCCGTTTTACGTATTTTTATCACTAACCAGTATTTCTTTCTTTTTACATAATTCTGATTGACATTCCTTACCATAGATGCAACTTCGCCAATTACATAGGTTGCACAAATGCACCATCTTTATTTATAAACTAACAATGCTCCATACACACGTTCGAGTTGATAATAATACACGCACGCATATACAAATTGTTTTCAATAGAACCGAGATAACAGATGTACGAAAATCGTTGCGTGAGAGATTCGCTTAAAATAGAAATTGTACACGTATAATTTCTATAGCGAAGTATCTTTTCTTCGCGAATTGTTTTCGCGGCGAAAAACGACGGCGCGTAAAAAGACGCTCGTGCGCGAACAATCCTTTTCTTTAACTTACTTCAAACTATATCTTGGACAACTATATCTCCTATGCGAACTCTAGAATAGAGGCACTGGCATTATCAGCGAGGAAGTTTCGATTTCGCAATTACGTGATTACGTTATTACAGCATGATCGTCGAAGTAAATGCACGCAGATTTAGCAATTACAGCGTTTATCCCGGCCCGCATTGAAAGGAGGCATTGTCTTGCTGCGCGAACAAAAGGATTATTCGCTCGGGCGTATTTAATTCCTACTTACAAACAAACACAATACATAATAGACACACAATCAAACACATATGTACATAAAAGGTATCACACAAATCGCGGGTCAGTCGAAGATTCTACGAGAAAACTACATTCAATCTCGACAGATAACTATAATAAAAATAATTACGTTAAAATGAAAAATAGAATCCGCTGTTTTCAAAGGATCATTTCAATTCTTAAATATCGAAATACGGGCAATATTTTTTGTTGTTCTACAACATATCCAAAGTTCATGAAAATCGATGACATTTCCGACGGTTTGCTTATTATGGAACTTCATTGTAGAAGTTTGTTTTGTAGCAGATTAATTTGTTTATCATATTATTTATCATAATATTTAATTATTATTAAATATTGTTCAACGTAATTCTTTTCTCCAAAAAAGAAAGAAAAACGAAATATATCAAAACAGGTTTGTGTGATAGTTATCTGACGTTATGACCTTTTTTGTTACTGCCGTTTTTCATAAATATTCGAGTAAATCTTTTGCAAGGTTTCTTTCGTCGAATCTTTCACTATCACTTCTGCCCCTTCTCCTCCTCTTCTCCACCACTCATAATACGTCATATACACGTGTACCAAGAATCTGTTTAATAGTGTATATTAATAATACGCTTCTTAAAAAAAAAAAATAGCAACGCCTGGAATTGTACTATAGATATCTGTCCTGTATAGCACGTGCAAAACGACAAAAACAAAAGAAATGGAAAAACGTTCATGAGCCTTTGACACCTGCTTGCTGATGGGACATTAATTACTAAAGTTCGATAGTTTCGCGGGTCACGAAATGTTGTAATACTGTCGTATAATACTATTACTACTACTACTACTTACTTACTACTACTACTACTACTACTACTATTACTACTACTACCACACATAACTACAATACGTCAAAATTCCGTGTTGTAATCTCGCAATTGACCGGTGCTACATGGTGGCAGGTGCACACCCAGTAGGCTGCCTGTCTCTCGGAAATTCACTGTGTAATATTCGGGAGTAACCACGAGTCCACACACGTGTGTGTAACGAATTAGCGATTAACCAGCGAACGATCGATCGATCGATTCGCGCTTTCCTCGCCTGTATCTGCTCCGTATAAACAGGCAGCTACGTTTCTCGCGCCACGGGGTAGATGCACACCAGTGACCCTCGATATCTGAAGTAAAGAAGCGTGGAAGAAGCAGAACTCTTCAACGATTCCATTAGCATTTTCCCCTAAACAAGAGATGCTTTTCTTTCTCCGAAGATATTAAACAATCGAGTCGTAACCCCATGACATTTCATAAAGATAACGAATGCAGAATCTATGATGCATCTATCCCGAGGGAGTCTTCTTACAGTGGCGTTCGCCCAAAGACCGCCCAAAGAATTTTGTGACTGTCCTATGCGCGGGGAGAATCCTGTACGAGCGAGAGCGGTGTCGCTCGTCATCGTCGTCGCGAGGACGAAGTCGCGGAGCCTGATTTGTTGACGAACAGTTCGCGAGAGACGACTGAGCGACACCGGCTTGCGACACGAAGAGACATCCTTCGCGCGTCTCACATCACTCATCACACACCTACAGTCGTCTAGATTGTAATCTTGTCGATTATCGCGCGTTCGCAGGATCGAGACGCTTCACACACTAATATTTTACAAACAAAGTAGCAACACGAGCCCGTGTGCAAAGCAATGCTTCGTCGACGCGAACTCTCTTCGCCTCGGTTCTCTTCTGCCCGTGGTCTCTAACCGAGCTCGCGATCGCATCCCTCGCGAGCGGAAACAATAATAATCGCACGAGACAACAAAGTTGCATCCGCCTGTGTCTCTCTAATCAGGATCGAGGAAAAGACCGAGAAAATTTGCGTTCTCACGAGGACTTAACCGGCAATTAATCGGCGCACCGATACGACTGTATCATGATTGTTATACCATACCATTATATATATATATATATATATATATATATATATATATATGATGATATCATCATATCAGGTGTGCGCGAAAGCTTCAGTCTTCTCTTGCAAATTTTCGCCTTTCCATCACGTTCCAAGATACGATTCAATCATCGAGGTGTCTTCCCGTATGACCCCTCTTTCCACGACTCCTCAGATCGGGTTTCTTCGCGAAAGACGAAAGCGAAAAGTTTCGTTGGCTGAAATTTTCGTGCACACCTAACATATCATCATATATTGTATCATGATATCATACCGCCGGTATGGTATCGTATCATTTTACATATGTATGTATATGCATACGATAGGCACACAGAAGCGTTGCTTTTCACACTAACTTGTATTTCTCTCAGCTGGCGAGCTATTACTAGTTACTTAATTGTTAACGCGTCGGTCAGTCATGTAATCAGATTACTAACAAACTGTTTTTTCTTTTCTTTCTTGTTAACCCCGGTTGCCCGTGGCCTGTAGGCTTGGAGTGCTAACAATGGATATCCACTCGCCCCGTGCTAACACCTGGACTCTGGAACAGCATCCCGCGTTCGATCGGTTCACCAACCAGCCGACCACCTTCGCCGTCCGCGTCACCAGCCCCGTTCGTCAAGCTTATCCATCATCCTGTATCCTCTTAATGTTCGGGACGTAGTTCTTCGCGCGCGCTCGCGCATTTGCGTGTAATAAATGTGATTATTATTACTACGATAGGACAGGTCGCAGTCGAGCCGATCGCGCATCGCGACTCGAGCAACGACCTCTTTTCACGAAGACATCAGCGTTCAGAAATTTCATGATATCATACATGTGATGCTATAAGAGAGTGTGCAGTAGACGGTGCATATTCGGATATCGTCGGACTCTGTCCTCAGCCGAGCAGCTGAGCGACGTACTTCGGTGATCACTCTGTTTGCGTATCTCCGCGAAAAGCTCGACTGCGGACACGAGTACGACGAGTAAATTTCCCGATGAGATTCGCAGGATACACGCGGACAAGATCATGACAGAATAATCTAAAAAAACAAAAAGAAAAAAAGAAGGGAAGGGAAAACCGGAGGAAAGATCCCGCGTGGCGATCGTGGAGAAATGATCTCTCTCATTGCCATGAGAGAGAATCCACGCGGTCTTTCTCGGCGGTAAAACCACACGCGTGGAACTATTCCGGACTGGTTTTGGAGGCGAGTCAAGTATGTGGAATCCGAATTCCGCGCGACGGTCATAGCGGCGGCGGCATAGTTAACAATATAGCGTGTAGTTCTAGATATTTCGGACGGATAGTTTAACGGATACATTTCACCCGGCCTCCTCGTCGTCGGGTGTCTTGTAGGCTGCGCGACACATCCGCAAAGTGTTTCATTTGTTTGTTTGTTTTTTTATCTTCTCTCTCTTCTCGCGATGGCGAAAGTGCAACAACGTTGTTCGCGCTTTTTCTTCCTCTCCCCAACCCAGTACTTACGACCACGCACTGGCATCTCTCGTTGCACCGGAGGTGACAGCGCGAGAAAGATACGACGATAACCGTGTATCTTAAGAAAAAAGGGAAAATAAAACAGAAGGGGATGCCGACGTGACAATCTCGCAATCTTGGATACGTATTTTTACGCGCGTGCGCGCGCGCGTTTTTCGACCATAACGATTTCGTCGCGTGTGAGAAAGGAAGAGAGAGAGAGAGAGAGAGAGAGAGAGATATATATATATATATATCTCAGAAAGAAAGAAGGAAAATTCTGCCCGAGAGAAAATTGCGATCGACGCGCGTCTGCGTTTCTCTCTCTTTCTCTCTCTCTCTCTCCCTCTCTCTCTCTTGCTTTTTCCGTCCACGCGACGTCCACAATCATGTCGCAAAGATCGTCGGAATTTTACGGAAACTCTCTCGCATAAATGTGCCTTTTAATGTTAACGTTACGTGCGCGCGGCCACACGCAATCGCCGCGATACCGTTCTTAGATAGAGCTTCGTTATCGGTATAGGCTGTACTGCAACATAGCGTTAGAACTGTGCAATCAAAATTCACTGTCTCTCGTTCATATCGTTTTTGGCTAAGGAAGTATACGAGGAACGCGCTTTTCGAATCAGGTCGCTTGCGTTTCCCCAATGGTTTTTCTCGTCGTTGTGCGAATCTCACATAAGCAACGGCGACGAAGACCGTTGAAAGACTCCTGTAGCCTAGCATCGTGAATATCCCGAAGAGAAGGCTTCAGGAAGAGGAAACATCCGTCGTCGAATACGCGGGTATACGCATGAGATTGATTTATGACATTGTATATCATTTATGATATGTATATATATATATATATATATATATTTAATATATATATATATGTATATCATGTATTTATATATACATGTATACACAGCCAAAAGTATTAAGAGAGAAAAAACACGTTATTCAGAGAGAAAAATCTTTTTCTCATTGATGTGCAATAATACGTCGATGGAGAAAAGAAAAGAAAAGAAAAAAACAAAAGCAGGATTCGTTCGTTGGTGTTCGTCGAGGTTTATCGAATCTCACATATGTAAAACGAAAGGAATGATGAAAGAAACGAAATTACAAAGAAACGATACGTGGGTACATTTGGTTTTAATATGGTTTAGACGCTTTTTCCTCCATTCACACTTCGAAAGTCACGCCCAATGGGACAGAACTTAACTTCTGGGGATGATTGGAAAACGAGTTCTGCGGTTGAAACTAAGTATACGTTCATCGGTGGCGTAGAACGACGACGAACAGATACGACAGAACAAACACGTGAATCGGGTGTTCATGATCGATTGTTATCGCGTTACGCGCCGGGAAATTATCTACGAGATATTATATTTGCATGTAATTATACATATAAACGAAAAACAGATATATATATATACATATACACACGTAATCTCTGTCCACATATACGTGCAAGAGTGCGTGAGAGAGTGACTTACTTAATTATCAATTTTATCGTTGTAATGTAGTCGCAAACATCTTTCTTTTTTAGGTCTGCCATACTGTATATGTGTGTAACGATTAAGGAATTTTCGAGCAGCGCTGCGTTATTACACGGAAACTCCTGTATAGTCAATCATGTGTCAAATATTATCACGTTCTTTCGATGCCGGTTACTTTTTGGGAATTTGTCCGAAGGAGAATCTCTCCTAGATCACCGACACAGCTCGGTCCTTCGTGTATATAATGTAGTACGAGCGCACTGAGAACATAAGAAAAAGGCGTACAGCTACACATTAAAGAGTGATCTGAGACCTACTTAAGTTCGCATCGATATATATATATATATTATATATATATTGTACGTAAATAATCGATTCGATAAAAGAAAAAGGAGAACATTACTGTTCTCGATTTGCAAAAGAAAAAGGAAAAAAATTAGTGATTATTATACACGAGTTATTTGCGCGTTCTTCGTGCACGCGATCGGTTATTGTCGTAGAAGACGGATATGTATACTCTTTATGTATATGCTGTCTAATATATATATACGCGCGTGAGAACGTAAATTATTACGCATGTATACATAATGTATTATACATACGCATTGACTCAGTCAAACATCTCCGTACGATATGAATAAATATGGCTGCGGTTTACTTCTTCGTTCAATTCGTTTGCGGTATAAAATGATTTTTGTCATATATTCATGTATAAAAGAATGGATCTATATTCCTAGCAGGTACCCATCGTGTTGAAAAAATAAAAAAGTTTGCACAGTTGGCAAAATTTCGAATTGTAGAAAAAAAGTCACAATGTATGAATAATAATTATAATATATTCGATCACGCATATACAAACATTCTATACATTTCTAGCAATATTTTCACTAGCTAAATAGAAGTAAACACCAGTGTAATTTATTTGTATTCTGTTATCATATTTATATACACGTGTATACATACAAATTTATATAAGAAATATTATATATGTGCAGGCAATCTTGTTAGATCTTATGGCATGCGAATTTACATTTATTATATTATGTAATATGTATATAGAACTATATATATTATAGTTCTTTTGCCGAAATTTATTACGATATAATTTTTTAGTTTCATATTTTATTTTAATGTTGATATGTGCAGGATACGTGGCAATATTATTGTATAAGTGACAATGCAAAGCAATCCTGATTTATCGAAATCTCTGCAAGATCTGAATGATTACGAATCGTAGTACTGTACGCTACTTACAAGAAAAAAAAGAAATGAAAAAATGAAAGTAAATTCACGAGGTATGCAGTGAAAGTGCAAACGAAATAGTTTATACAGATATGTATAAATACTACGATGAATGGCAATAAAAATATTTTTTCAATACTCGACACACTTATTTGACACTGCACGATCATATTTACGTTTGAATTGATGTCAGCGTCAGCGAGATATCGAAATATGAGGACATTCAATATCACAAAAACAACAATGTCAAAATACATTCGAGATATTGTAGAAAAAAAGAATACATCGCGGTCTATGGACAAAAGATGAAACTCACTTGATAATTTTATCACTTGAACAATTGTTATCACTTTATAGTGCATCACTTGACTACTTAAATTATTTTGCGACTCACATCGTGATCGAATGTCGCTATTGAAATTTATGCTCAGAAAAATATCTATCACATATACAATATACATATAGTACAAAGACTGGCCTTAAAACGTAACACACGTTTTACATGATCGACTTCGGCAAGCGATACAGACCGCCAGTGAATAGTAACTGATGTTCTCGGACTTTACGGTCAAGGAAATGCTTCAATTCAGGCAAGCCGCACTCCACAGTGCCCGGTCCTTGCGATGCGAACATCTTCAGCATCTGGTGTATCCTCTCTAGCGGCATCGAGTCAAGATTTGTTAACATCCCGACGATATACGACCAGAACACCTGCAACTCTTCCTCCCGCTGATCGCTGGCTGAGGCCATCGCACTCTCACTCTCCTCCTCCTCGACAATGTCCGCCGACAAGCGGCTCATGTACGTACTTTCCTCTTGCAGCACATACACGTCGTTTGTAGTTTCTTTCAGCAGACCTTGCGACACCCAGAACGCTATCTTGCGTCGCAGAACAGTCGGTGGAGCGTGCATCACCTCCGCCAGGTCCTCCAGAGCCCATTCATCTGCAAAAAACAGCCCTTAGTTAACGACGGCATCATCGAAATTAGCAATCGCAAGCAATTCGGCGTATTAAGAATCCTTACTCTTATCTTGGTAATGCAAGATGATAGTCGCGTGCACCGGCGTAACGTTGATGTCCAATTTTCTACCTTTCAACTCGATCTCCAAATTGACGTTGCCTAAGTGTGGCTTCCAGCAGAGCGTTCGGTTGCCCTTCAACGCCTCGAACGCCTTCACGTACTTGTTCAGTTGATCCTGTACGACGCTCGGCAACTCCAGCTTCCAGTCCTCCTTGAACGGCGGCCAAAACTGCGCGGAGAGTATAAGCGCCGACGTGGGAAAATGTTCGCGGTGTAGGTTGTAGCTAGTGTCTGAGTGGATGTTGCCGTCTATCCTCTTGGAATCGTACACATCCTTCAGCATGACCTCGCAGTAGTGTAGCTGATTCTCGCCGAAGCGTCTCTTCAGCAGCTCCAAATGACGAATCTCACGCTCTGTATGATAATTCAATTGCGACAGTAATCTATCCGCGAGTAATGTACGGTATTCATTGACGAATAGATCTTGGCTGCCATAAACGTTTACCAACGACGAGATTATGTCGACATCTTTGCGTTGGGTCGATTTACCTGTTGAGAAAAAATTCATCTAATTAGGACAAAGACAACTTAATTTCATCAAAGAAAATCCTAGCGAGAGGAAATCACATTTTGCTTCCGACAATAGTCGTGATAGAGGTTCACGAGAACTCACCGGGATCAGCGTCCACCGGATCGGGCATCCACTTCTCCCAATCCTCGGTCTCGTCATCTGCCGAACCATCGTCCAATTGCAGACATTCACCCTTCGCTAATTCGTCGGCCAATTCGCTCGGTGAATCATCGAGTAAGCTGTTGACTACGGAGCGCACGGTATCCTCTCGACTCTTCAAGTAAGTCCTACAGAAAACATATTTGAATGAAATGCTAGTCCTTCAATCAGAACGCGCGATGAAACGAGACGAAACAAATCTCACTTGACAGGCTCCGTCACGGTCTCCAGAAGAACTCCGGTCGAGTCTAGGTGTTTCAACGCCTTGATCGCGGCGATGTAAGCGGTTACTATGTCAGGTGTGTTCACGCCAGGATGCAAGAGACGCGTTTTGATTGCCTCCTGCAGGGTGTTGACGAGAAATCTACGTAGATCAGTTCGTTCCAGGCAAATCCGCAAATCCTCCACCGCTGCTTGCGACTCTGGATACTCTGGAAAAAACAAACATGCATGGAGATCATTGCACTATTGTTAAAAAAGAAAAAAACATAGAACTTTGGTAGGTGTAAGGCGAAATATACCTATGATTATACTAAAGAGATGATCGACCCTGACCTTGATATACGTCTCATATAGGAAGTGAGACAGCTTTCGCTTGAATGTGTTTATGGCATTGCGTACTTCGTCGCTGAGCGCCACCGTTTTGGAGAAACCGCCGGAATAAATGCGTATCAACCAGCTCATAACGACCGTCTCGAGCCACTGCAAAAATGCGAGCGAAATACGTCAATGCGTGTACAGAAAGACATATTTATTTTAATATCAATATTATACAAAAGTACCATACAAATAATGCACTATATACAATAATAGTAATTTATTATTTTATTGCTATTATATACTACTTTGTTATATTATTCTAATATTAATATATAAATATGCAGTAATAATTAACATACATTTTCCAACGGGATCAATTGAGAAACGTCAAACGTCTTGTCGCACGACTGAATCACGTGATTCTCGATGCGAATATGAATTAGCGATGTGAGCATGTTTCCCACTAGTCTCTCCAATAGTTCTAGCTCAATGAGCTTTCTGTTTGTTTCATGGAACATGTAAACTATCATTTGACATTGGCATTTCTCCATCTCCTGGTTGCATCCTGTACATTGGACCTCGTTGAGTGATGTCTCTTCTTTTTCTGTTTGGAAATACGCATTTCTGTTACATTTCCTATTTTTTAAGATGAACTTTAATTACCATGAAAATAGAAATGACCACACATAGTAGACCATGCATTTGTAATTCACCTTGTGACAAATTATCCGTGTTGCAGAATACATTGAAAGCAATCTTATAGAAATGTCCCACAATACACTCATGACATAGAGGTAGTTGGCTCAATAATGTTGCCCGTACGGTTAGTTTGAACTGTGCTTGTATATTACTACTTGTGGTCAACATATCCTTATCATTCTTGTCTTGCTTCAAATACTCTAATCTCTTTAAAAGTGGTAGGAACTTTGTGAGGCTAGTGTATAGATCATCCACAGCAGTCTTGAATAACTCAAAACCCTGTTGACTATCCTCTGTGTTTTTAAACTTCTTCCAGAACATTGGAGCCACATGCCAACGAATATACTGCTCTACATCATGAATAACGAGATCCTCAACAAAAGATATTATATTTAGAGCTCGTATGTTTATCAATATATCTTCAACTTCCTCCTCTGTACACTCATCTTCAATCTGCAAGGAACAATTACTATAGACTATTCTCAAATTCCAAGTTTGAAAAATATACTTTTTAGATCAACTCTTATTTCTTGCATGCGTCATATTTTACGACAATTACATGATAGCTGAATACAACATGAATTTTGAAAGAGAAGTATAAAAGATTCAAAGTAAGAAATTATTATAAGATATCATATATTGATTGCATATATTGATATAAAAATAATACAAAATTGATTTTGACAATCTGGAAATTCTAGATTGTGAGTCATGTTACAAAAGGTATATAATTTCTGAAATGTTATACATAAAACAATCTATAGGCGATGTAAATTTGCAGATACTTTGTTATTAAAAGTTTCATATTATTCCATTCTTAATATTCTCAGGTGTCATTCAAACATGTATGAGATTTGAATATGATTGCTTTCTTTACTTGTTAAGTGTATAAATATAAGCAATTTCCATTTGAGTTGACATCTCAAATGTTATGTATAAAATCTTTGTTACATATACATCGTATTCAATGTGTAAAAGCTTGACCAATTGTTTTCTTATTGAATTATTACATTGCAATAGTCCTCCATATTTCAACATATAAAGTTAAAAGAATGATTATACAATATGACATTTCCTGATTCTCACGCAAGTATCAGGAGTGCATAATGGTGCATATATTTGGAGATGAAACATCTAAGAAATCATTTTCTAACTTTTATTGAGTCAATGATACTTCATGGTTTGAGGAGGTACAGTATGTTCCTGAGAGATACTAATGACTTTATCTGAAGAACATCAGTTGATCATCATAGGAGGAAATTATTGGATTTGTATATTTGCATTTCTAACCATTAAAAAGGGCCAAATATAGGGCCAAAACGTTTTTGTTTTAATGTACTGACAAGTTTTATGTAGAAATAAATTATTGTAATATACATTTTACATCGTGTGTGGGCTCAAATTGACCTTTTCTTTTAAATTTTGATTGTTAACATAAAATTTATAGACATATATGTTTGGAGTTATATTAATTGTATGAGGTTGTTACCTTAAGCTATAGACAAATACAATAAAATATATAGCGTGTTTAAAGAAGAAATTTGTATTTGCAGATATTAAATGTACCTCTGTGTTAGGCATTGGAAAGGCACGTTTTATCCAGGTAAATAAATCATCCAGAGCATATTCCATTTTCGCCATAGTGTAAACCAAGGGTCACTAGAAATAGATGATATCATCTCGATCATTTTGGCATCTATTATTTTTATTTTATAAAATTGATTATCGTACGATATCTTACCTACCTTATATCTTTTAGACGATAGTGTTTTTGATGTTATTGATAATATGGATGAAATTTATTTCTTCACAAAAACGCCACACAGATTCACAAAAAATTATTTTCCATTACTTTCCGAGTTACCATTGAAGAACTAAAAGTATAAAAATTAAACTGTGTTTGGAAATAGCTACGGCCAGCAGAGAGAAGATGGAGAGAGGTCATAGATCACTTCTAGCCGAGCCCAGTATGAGGCGCGCTCTGCACAACCGTGCACATCATCAACTACGATGCCAATGGCTGCGTTCAGTAGAACAAAATGATCAGTGAGCGTTTAGTGATTATTGTCTGTGATTGGAGCATTCGTTTAGATTCTTCATAGACCCAGAAGTATTTACCAATCCGGAGCGAGAATCACTAAGCGCTCACTGATCACTTTGTTCTGCTGAACGCAGCCAATGTGCAATGGGTAGCGATAATTTTTATCACTATTTCTATTCTATCACGTCGCCGTCGCGCAGCTCGGCACCTAGCTCCTGCGCCGCTGCGCTGCCCCGCGGCTTTGATCCAGAGTAGCAAAGCTAGTGAGGCCGCGGGGCAGTGGCGCAGGAGCCGTGGCCTCATTAGCTTTGCTCTGGGTCAAAGCCGCGGGGCAGGGCAACAATGAAACAAGTAAACAGCTACTGCTAATGTGATCCTGAACTGATATAGTAATGATTCCAAACAATTAATTAATTCTAAAGAATTTATTTATTTCAGAGAATTAATGAATCCTAAAGAATTAATTGATTGGTGCATTTCTAATATGTTACCAGATTTTACTAGATCCAACATAAAAAATAACCACCGTATTGCTGTGCTGCGATTCTGTAACTCGTTATTGGAGTTAACGACAGTTTCGTTATTGTTGCGCAGCTTTTCTACGGTATATAAAAGCTGCGCAACGATAACGAAAGTGTCGTTAACTCTAATAACGAGTTACAGAATCGCAGCACTGGATTCACACTGCATCCGACGTGCGTCGTCCGTTATCCGACGGTACGAAGCCGTACGAAATGCTGTTCATACTGCATACGTTAACTAATACGATTTAAAGTCTGTAGGTGGCGTAAATGGTTAATGGTGACTACAGTTCCTCTAAAGGCTCGTCTACAATAGCTGTAAGAGTAAGGCTGTAAGGCTGTAACGTAAGCTGTCAGCGAGTGAAAATATTTCATTTCGTGTCTTGCAACCTTACAGCCTTACTCTTACAGCTAATGTAGACGAGCCTTAATAGTAATATGCGCATAACCTAAAAAGTTAGAATTGATATTTATTTATTCCATAGACATATATAATAAACTGAGCATAGCGGGTTTGGCAGAACGGTGAGAGAGGCAAGATATCGGGGAAGTTTTCTTTCCTTGTCTGCGCAGGTCGAATGCGCAATCGTCTAGTGACAGCCAATGGCACAGACTCATGACAGCAAGAAATACGCATAAGTGTAGTTATGTACGGGCAACAAGATATGTGTAATATATATATATATGTAATATTTTTCTTCACTATTGTTAACTCTACTTTATCACCTACTTTCCGATCATAAGAAATGTCTTGTATGAAAAAAGTCTGACATGAAAAAATGTCTTGTATGCTAAAATGTCTTGTGTGCTAAAATGTCTCAAACTAAGTAACAAAACTCTATTCTGTCTATTCGACAACTCTAATGACATAAACTTTATAATATATTAAGATGAGTAAGGTATACCATCTTTTCCCAATTTTGTCCAGATTGCCCTTCATACCATGCGTTATCGTACGACAAATGTTGAATCATGACCAACATTTCGTCCGACATCGGACGATGACGGACGGCCAAGCGATCCAATGATACGAAGTAAAATCCTGCTTTTTGATTGGTTGCGGAGCATCGTACAACGTACGTCGGATGCAGTGTGAATCCAGCATATGCCGTTAGCTTGAGTGCGAAAAGTGCAAAAAGTTCAAACAGCACGATCAAGCAAGCCTTTCGGCTTTTATACCCTTGAATTTAGATAGAAAGATTTTAGGTTAAGTTAAGCATTGTTATTGCATTTTATCATATAATAATATATATAAATATATATTATAATATATATAAATATATTTTATATTTACACTATAATCTATTACATTTTTAAAGTACAAATATTTTGTTATTTCATAATTTTCGTAAAATACTAAAGTAAGTAACGTGAAGGAATGTGATTTTTATTAACCTATTAAACTTTTCAGTATGAATTAAATTTTAATTTTAAAATATAACTGACTTATGTGAGAAGTAACGGCACAAAAACATACTCGAAGATTATATCATTTTTGTTTTAACATAATTCTTCAGTTTTGACTTATGACTCTTACTAAATGAATAAATTTCGATACATCATCTGCGGTATCACGTAGAGTGAAGAGAGATCTATGAGTCAGCTGCTTATTATACAACAGCATACTGATTATATCAGAGATAAGGCAAAGGATGTACTTTTACTTTTACTTTCAGAGTCGCGAAAAGCATGAGGATACCATCTTTCAAGTTCAGAAACTCAATTTTGGGTGTGACTGCAACTGCAGTTGGATATTATGCAATTCTTACACCGCATACTGTATTCCTAAATCGATACAAATCCATAATGGCCAGATATCAGTAAGTAACGAGGAACCTGGTTACAGTGTATTTATTCTGTAACTTTCAACAATTCAAATATGCATTCGGAAAAGATGAAAATATAGACAGTAACTCGATTTACAATATATATATTTGACTCACGAAAGCACAATATTTGGAAAATATTTTAATGTTAGAAGCATAGCCGATTAATAATTTCATTATTTAACGCTCATAATTTCCGAATTTGTAGATCATACATTGAAGTGCCACTGAGCCCGTATATTCACAGGACGATTCAGCAAGTGATGGACGACCTAAAATTGCCACAAAACATTCAAAAAGTAATTAAGCCTTTCAGTGTGCATGGTTTAGATGTATTTCAGATGGGCACACTTAATGCCAAGTATGGAGCAAGGCTGGGGATTCCTGTAAACTTTTGCAGTACAACAGAGGAGCTACATGATAAATTACAGATTAAGGACGAGCCAATAAACTGGTCACAGGAAGAAGCAAAGGCTTTGCTCAACTCACTAATACTCTCGGAAGGTGCAAAAAAGTTTGCCATAGCCAGGGAGGTCTTACGAATTCAGGCGGAGGAGCCGTGCTTCAATTCTTTCGGATTAGCTGTGATCATAGCGGTATTATGGATATTGTACAACACAATAACACTTCGATTTCAGTTGCGTGACCGCAATGTCACGCTGTGTCGCTCGTTGTATCTGAGTTTCACATTGCTCGGCGCAATTATATGGATTGGTATCAAAGATTACCATAGTTACAGTTTGGATAGTGAACATGACAGAACCTTGTGTGCTTTGGGGGCTGAATATGTGAAGGGTGGGCAAGAGTTCTATGAGAAAATGTTGATGAGAAACAAAGCTCTATGGTATTTGTTAGAGGAAGACGGCAAGAAAGGATTTACCTCTAACGGGAACGAAAGGACTTTTTTACGACAGAAACATATACCAATCACTTATAGAAGAGATTTCTTCAATTCGCAATTGAATTGAGATAGTGCATGATATATGATGATAGCAAGATAAGCACATGATAATAATAGCAAGTATGAGATAAGTGGAGTTTTTTCTCTCACTATCCAATTATAACTCGAAATCTGAATTATTGCTAACTGCAACTATGATGATCATTACAATTTTAATCACATTGTAGATTTGTATGATACATATGTGTGCATCTTTTTCACTTTGTCGATAATGATGACGCGATGATAAAATATGTCATTGTTGGCAAAATCCGTTGGTCATTTATTTCTATATTCATGATAAATATGCATCATTAATTACAAGTTGTATTTATATTTGTGCATATCATCATTTTTTGTACAATATTGCTCTTAATTATACAAAGTACCATCATAAAAACGTACAATAACTTCTGACGCGCCACTTCTTTGCACATGTTAAATCATAGATGAGAGCATATCTCTTGTATAAATTAATTATATCTGTATGATATATATAAGATAATATCTATTTATTATTATACAAATGTATATACATATAGTGTGTTGTTAAATCAATATAAAAATTTACAATTATACGTGTTATATATTTCGCATTTTTAACTTTCTCGTTTCTTTTTCTCTTTATACTTTGTACAAATTTTATTTGCACTTTCCTGAGTTATGCAAGAAAAAGAGAGAGAGAATGGGTTATTTCTTTTTATTTTTAGCGAGACTAATCCCATCGATATTAAATTTTGATATTTCAAATATTTTACAGAGATGACTATCTCTTAATTTCTTTTATTGTCGAGATATTTTTCAGATTATTTCTTACAAAGTTCTATTATCCCTCTAAAATATATTAGCGAAGAAAATGTGTGAAATTGTTTATGATGGTATATATATATATATATATATATATATATTACTTTGTCATTGATTTTATAATTTTTATTTATAAATCTAATGTATTTTTCCGTCCTATCTTACTGATTATGGATTCAGATAAATGGTTATCATATATCCAGTATGGTTAAAAAATGTAATGTAAAACATGCATAATAATAATATTATGTTAAAACAATATTTTAATATACATATCAGATTATTCACATTATTATATTTCATTTTCCATACAATTACAAGATATACATTTTCATAATGCTAAGTAAACTTTTTATTTTATTACACACACGATTCTATATATTTAAATTGCATGAAACTTTTCTTGATAACACTACTTTTATCGTGGTACATTCCTATACACAATACCAAATTTTTTATCGTGCTTCCAATATCCAGCAGTCGTCACGAATATTGCGTCTCAACCCATTTAAAAATGTGATTTTTAATTAGGTGTCTCCTCGATTTCTAAAAGATCTCCACCTATGGCTCTCCAAAAAGCAGTAACTATTTGTTCGGCTACTCTGCGCTTTTCGTTCGTGGGCAAAGATGCCGCATGTTCCTTCATAGCCATTAATCGACTAAATAATTCTCCAAAGTCAGCATGTTCACCCATGATACCATCTAAAAATTCGTTGATAAAATATATAATCATATTTATAAATATATAATCATATTTATATTAATATATAATCATATTAATATATATTCGAATGTTTTTGTTTCTTGTTTTTCACTGACCTAACATGTCCTGCATACGTAATCTTTCAGAAGGATCATAAGTTAATCGGATGTTTTCAAATAATTCTCTAATTTCATTTACTTCTAGTGTTTCTTCCACACGTGGTTTATCTGTAATAAGACAGTACAATTTTTATTTGTCTACAAAGGAAAATGGAAGGCAATATTATACACTTTATTTTAATAATAATAATTTTATGTACAACCTTTTAATACAATGTTAGGCCATGTATGAGCTTGTAGAGCTTCTATGATCCTTTCAATACCATATTTGTTTCCCTCTGTATCAGATTCTGAATCTCCTGTTTGGTCTAATTCAACCAGTTCAAATTTGTTTTGTACACACCAACTCAACACTACAAAAAGAATTAATTTAATAATTTTACATCGCAATTTTCCATATATTGTATATTTTAAAATATTGTTATTATCCTTAGATGGCTGGAAGCTATTGATTATGTTGAAAGATATTTTAAACAAATTTATATATAAAAGCAATATATAGTCAAACCAGGATCTTCTGTATCTACTATATTGTGTTTTAAATAATTTGATCACCAAAGTTGCTGTCTTAGATGAATTAATATGATAATGTTGTAAGGTTGATTGAGAAACATACAATCATCTAAAGGTTAAACAATATTTTTTGTTGCAATATGTACCCTTATCCCTTAGAAGCATATCAGATATTGCACTGCAGGAAAATAAAAGTACTTCAGCTGAACTCGACAAAGTAATTAAAGATGTCAAGTGTTCTAGTTCTTGATCAACTTTGTCCTACGAAAATCAATCGCTATCAAAATATATTAACATCATTGTTAAATTTCCTACAAGTTTGTGTCTTACTGCCTGTGGATCATGATAAAGGATCAGTGCAATCACTCCCTCCATTGAAGGTTTAACAGTTAAGTTTTCTATGGTACACACTGAAATCTGTGATGTGTAATATTTGTTATCAATGTTCCACAGATAATCCATAGTATCATTTTGCTCTGATAAGCGTTCTGCACCTATGTCTATATTAAAAAAATATAAAGACACCTTTGTAAACAATTTAATATGCAAAAACATAACAACCAAGCTATACTAATAATAATTTATTGTTAGCTATACTATTTAACAATCACACAAGAGAAAATAAAATTATGAGCAAGATTTCGCAGAAAATCTGACTGTATATCGATTTTATGGCAAAAATTTTTGCCAATTTTACTCACTCTCTGCTATTTCTCTTGCCTTTCCTTCTTTCGTACTAATGATTAATAATTTAGGTAAATTCATTATAACAAATTCAAATATGTATATTTAACGAAATTATTAGTAAAGTATTATTGAATTACGACAAATATACGTGCGAATAAATATTTGAATTACATCAATCACAGTTGAAGGTTAGAAGTTGGGTTAGATTAGGTTGCACTTCTCTGTTCGATACGATATAGAAAGAGATGACTATGTAGAATCGATGAGTCGATGTTCGACTCTTCAGTTTTCTTAAAGAAAATAATTAATTTCCATCTAAAGATAAAGATTTCTCAAACCCGATTTTCTTTTATATTCTAATAATCTATTATTAACCAAAATAATTCATTTCTCATTAGCAACAGGATGAAAATTTATCTAATCTTTGTTTCAGTTACTTTTTATATATCTAAATGTAATCGATTATCAAAATTCGATATTTTCATGTTCGAATGTTTAAAGTTTGTTGAAATTTTAAGTTTGCTTTCAATAACTGGGCTTTTGATTTTTCCATGATGATTATGCGAAGATTACAATTGGAAAATTGGCGAACTGATACAAAAATGTTGTACCAAATAATATAATTATAATTTAAATTACGTCATAAATATTATGTATACAACGTAAATAAATTAATCTATGTAACTATTTAGTATTTGGTTCCTTCCACACAGCACACTTTATCTCAGACTCAAGATCCGACAGACATCATTCTGGAATACTGCAATATCTTGGGGATATACAAATGTCCGTTGTTTTAGATCCTACAGATATCCTACGGATATCCTTTTTAGTAACTTTAGTCCCTTTTCAGAAACTTTCAGTTTCCAAAAATTATTACTAAAAGAGATATCCATAGGATATCTGTAGGATTTAAAATAACGGACATTTGTATATCCCTAGGATATTATTGTAGGACGTCTTTAGGATAACGTGTGTTACTTGGGCTAACATAATAATTTAGAAAAGAAAAGGTGGAAGAGAAAACATTGCAGAAAATACATATAAAAATATTTTTTATAAACGCAAATATTATTACATAAGATATTTATGTTTATACGTATAAGAAGATGATATCAGAAGATACTTCGAAATATGTTTTCGATACAGATTTAAAAATATTACATTATTTTATTAATACAAAATGCAGAGTACGTGATTTAATTTACTATACTGTGTCTGTTTTTACATTTTGTTCGAGTTAAATTATGTGAGCTAGATATAATAATGATTTAAAATCACGTTGAAATGGCGGATGCTCTGAAAAAGATAACTTATTATACAACATACGCGCGTCCTCCTACTCCCCCGGATTTAGATTGATATGTGGAATTCCGTTGGGCAAGATAGGAAATTTGTTTGCAGTTACGTTATATCCTGCGCGCATGTGTGTGTATGTGTGTGTTTGTGTATGTGTCAAATAAAAGTATCTAGTTCTTAGAGAAGCTGTCTATTAAGTAGTCAGGAAATCTAAAATCGCGTTTTACTTTTCAATGTAAATAATTCTCTAAGAAAGTAAAAATTATAAACAAATAGTTTTCAACTCTAAAACTTTTTTAGGTTTTGGTTTTGCAGAGGTAGCCACGTGTAGAATTTCATAATTGAAATCTGCAGGATGAAAGATGCATCCTCGGCCTTCGGTGTTATCAATTTGTTATATTTGCATATTGCAGCGTATCAACGAATGCAGTCCAGAGTCCTTCCGCTAAAACAGTAATATATAAAAGAGTAAATCGTGGTAAGTGTGACTTTCATCTCATAGTGGGACAGTAACGATACAGTTAACACAGAGTGCGATTGAAATTTGTATCGGTAACATATTTTCCTGCGAACATGAGATGGTTCGCTCTTTTGTAAGTAATTATTAACAGCGATTTTTTGGATGCGTTACTTGTAAATAACAAGTAAATGTAAAAAAAAGTAAAATGTATCTAAATTTCGTTTTTCGTTTATTAAAATTTTTGTAATATGTATGAAGAAAATATAGTATAAAAAATTTCCAAGAAATTTACCTTCAAAAATATAAAATATCATCATTTCTAAAGCATCGTTTCTTTCGAATTACTTTTTAGCGTTTTCGTCGGCGTGTTTTTATCGAAAAATGTCACGTCGTCGAAAGTCCATCAATATCCCTCGAATCTGGCATGGTTGTTTAGCTTAAATGATAAAGTGGACGAAAATAAAGAGAAAGAACAGACTGTGTGTCAAACTGAAGAGTGCAAGAAAATCGGTAGATATTCATTTAAATTAACTGCAGCCGATACAAAAATTACAATCATTGTTATTTTTTCTCATTATTATTTCTTCGTCAGCTAAGGTAATGCTAGAAAGTATGGATAATTCTGTGGATCCGTGCAATGACTTTTACGAATATGCGTGTGGAAAATGGTCACAACATAATCCCCTGCCAAAAGGAAGCAACTCGTGGAGCTTATGGGATATGCTTCAAAATAAGGTTGATGAACAAATCGAAGGTAGGATTACCGATCTATGTTGAAACGGCTACTTTGCAATCAAAATACACGTGGAAACCTAACGATATTGAATTTCACAGATATTTTAAAAGAGGGGCCTAAGAGCACCGATTTTCTGGCGATAAAGCTCGCGAAAAAATGGCACACAGCTTGTATGGATACAGGTAAATATGACGGAATGTTCTAATAATCACAATAATCGCGTCTCATTGTTGCACATTGTGACGCTAATCCGTTAATATGGAATATTTTCAGATGCGATGGATAAACAAGGGCTTGACCCATTGGTTTCTACTTTGTCGCGTATAGGCGGCTGGCCAATGACAATGGATCCGGATGAATGGGACGAACAGGAATACAGTTGGCAAAAAGTGGACGATCAATATATGCGCTTGATGGGCAAAAATGTTTTTCACAGGGTACACGTATACCGGACTGGCCATAACGTGACCACCCCAATAATACATGTATTTGTCACGATATATATATTTCACACACCACCTCATTATCCTCACGCATTGGATATCGAAATAGATTTGGCAGAAACATTTGCATTCATTTCGTTTTCATAGTAAGATTGTTATTTTTTTTTCATTATACGTAGTACATCTTTCATCTTAGATCAATACTCCGTATTTACCCCTGGGTGCGTACAAATTGTGGGTTGGAGACGATAGTGATGAGGTAAATGAGAGTGACGAGGATTCGAGCGATGAGGAAAAGCAGAGCGACGAACACGAGGACAGCCAGGAGCCTGGGAGCGAAGGTGAAAATGATGATGATGACGACGACGACGACGACGACGATGACAACAGCGATGTTACAAACGAACAAGAAAACGATGGAAAAATCAAGAAGAAAAAGTCTGTTGGCAAATTGAGTCACAAAAAAGATAAAAAATTCATACACAATGGTATGAGAAAGAGTGGTATGAGCAAGAGTGGTGTGAGAAAGAGTGGCAACAGGATTATTAAGAATCACAAGAAAAGCCATACCGAAAAGAAGCAAAGGGTAAAAAGAAGAGCGATAATGACGAAAGTTGATGGTAAACGTTCACAACGTATCATCCATCGTAACAAGTTAAACAGACGAAAGAGTACGAGTACGAAGAAAACAATATACACATCAACGACGTCGCGATCTACGGAAGACACGGATGACGATGACGATGATTATTTCCTAATAACGCGGCAAAAATACGTTGATTACATCTCCAAAGTAGCTCACGCTATAGCTAAAGCAAGAGACATGGACGTCCCAGAAGAACACATTAATAAAAATGTCGAAGACATGGTCGATTTTCAAATAAAATTAACTGCGGTAAACGTTTAATGCTACGCTGTACTCGCGTTACCCGCTCGAAATATAAATATTAATTTGACTGAGAAAATTTTTATCGGTTTCAACAATTATACGCCTTACAGATTACTTTGGATGACTCCGGTGATGACTTGGAAATGACGCTTGATGATTTTCAAGAATGGTACGACGAAAAGATATCTAAAACTGACCACAGTAAGGTGAGTTATTTTATAATCCAATATCCGCACGTATGTTCCAATTTAATTAACTAATTAATTACATTATCGATCGATCAATTAAATAATTAATGAATTAATGTGACTGGAAATGGTATCGCAGATTGATTGGGTGTACAAAATTTCGGAATTGTTCGACGAAGCTAACGTGCCTGTGGACGGCGATTTGGACGTAGAGATTAGTTCATCGGATTACTTTGAAGCTCTCGTGTCTTTGCTGGACGAGACGCCAAGTCGAACGATCGGTAAGTTCTAAAAGTGACACGGTGATAGTATATAGTGAAAGATATATGTTCATGTTAAATATATTTCAGTGAATTATATACACTGGAACTTCCTAAACAGAATATTAACAGCTACCACTAGTGAAATGAGAAAACTCTACTATCTATGGCAAGAGGTTGAAGAAAGTGAAGAAAAGAACCAGAGGTTTTATTCATTTTTATGTCGATAATATTCCTTCATATGTAACTTATTTATATTATAATTCTTTACGTCTGATAAAAAAGCAACGTGCAAAAGTATTCCTCGTCGATTTCGATTTCGATATTTTGAATATGTTGTACGGCATCTACGAATCAGAAATCAAGTGTTTTTTTCTTCAAGTTTAGAGATTGAAGAGTTCCTTCAACCCTTAACTCTCTTGGAGGAAATTTGGCAAAATTGATTATGAGCGAAAAAAATTTGTCTTTTATTTGTAATTTTATAACATATTCAAAGCTTATTGAAATTAACAAAAGACATCCCCATGTATTTCTTTGTTAGTATTAATACCTCAATTGAGAGAAATTGTACCGATATAACAAAATAATAATGAATATTGCCGACAGATCGTCTGAGTGCATTAGAGAAGTAGAGATGAGCGACATTCTAGCGTACGAGTATGTGAGAAAACATTTCTCAGATGATATCTCAAAAACCGTAAGTGTGTTTTATATATTAAGAATATAAACCTTGTATCTCTTTTAGTTTATTTAAAATTCACCCACTTATTTTTGTTATAGGCAATGGATATGATCGATGATATACAGAAAGAAGTGGAGTATTTAATTAAAGGATCTGACTGGATGGACGAGGATACTAAAGATTTTGTTTTAGCAAAACTAGTGAACATGGATAAATTAGTTGGATATCCAGATTGGTATAAAAATAGTACGATTGTGAAAAGATATTTTCAAGGGGTAAGTCACGTCAAAACGATTAACAATCATCATACATATGCTAAATAATAAATAAAGCGGCTGTTTTGTTGAAATATTTCATTCCGTTAAAGCTCATCGTTGGAAAATCGTATTACGAGAATACCCTCAGTTATCTCAGGTACCATAAATGGAATACTCTACGAAGATTGACACAAGACGATGAAGAACTCGAAACGTAAGATAATTTAGTATAATACGTTTATAAAATCGCATCGCCTTTCTCTTCTTCAAACTCTCCAGATAGATTCTTACCAATAACGAAGCTCGTATTACAGATGGTGGATCAGTCCTGTGACAATGAATGCCCTCTTTGATCCTGACAGAAATTCCATAAGTATGTAACGTTTTTGTTGCGCAATGCAAATATCGCTATAAATTAATAATATTGAATCTTCTGTGGATGACAGCTATTACAGCAGCGGATTTTCAAAGCCCATTTTTCGATTATGGTCGACCGCAGTAAGTGCATATTTGTAAAAATATATATATATGCAAGATGTCTAAATTAATTTAATATTGCATCTCTCTCGGTCTGATACTAATATAATTTTTAATAAAATTACCTTCCTATGTGTGTAAGCGTGTGTAAAGCTATATGTATATATGTTTTGTTACATTTTAGAGCTATTAATTTTGGTATTATTGGATTCGTCATGGCTCATGAAGTTAACCATGGATTTGATGATACTGGTAATACTCTTCACTTATAAAGTAGAATATTATAAAAGTACAAATATTTTATTATTACTTAGCTTTCTAAAGCAATCCATTTAATTTTCTTAATGAAATCGAGAATTTAAAGACGATCATTTAAAGATAATATCATACAAAGGACGAAGAAAATAAAATAATTTTTAGGGCACTTGTACGATAAGAATGGCAACTTTATGGAGTGGTTATCTACAATGGCTGATGCGTATGGCGAAAGAGCAGAGTGTTTTGTAGAACAATTTAACAATTATGCCATCTACAAGGACAAGAAAATAAAGGTACTCGAGCATTTGCAAATTAATGTTATTTTTATTTTTACTTCTATCTTCTTCGTTATGAAAAGGCAATACGTGACGTTTTATCTTATGTCCATATCTATAAAATTATAGAACTATGGTAATCAAACAGCGGGTGATAATATCGCGGACACGATGGGATTACAAGCTGTATTTAGAGCTTATCGACGAAGAGAAAGAGAGTGCGGGAAACCGGATGCCGTATTGCCAGGTCTGGAAGAACTCACCAACGATCAGCTTTTCTTTTTATCTTTTGGCAATGTGAGTGCGAGAATAATGTTTAAAGTTAAGTGTGAGTGGCTTTTGTACGTATGCTTAGTTTTGAAAAAAATTGCAATATTTATTTTTAGTTGTGGTGCGAAACAATGAATTCAACGATTATAATGAAAGACGCCAGGATGGATGAACACAGCACCGGGCGATTAAGAGTAATAGGATCTGTTTCAAACTCGGAGGACTTTGCCAAGGCTTATAATTGTCCAGTTGGCAGCGCGATGAATCCCGAAAAGAAGTGCAACATTTGGGAATAATCCATAAAAGAGTATCATATCATAAATTAAATTTGTGTCAAGTGCGTGAAACACAAGAATTGTTTGCACGGCTATTAACAAAAATTAATAAAGATACGCATTACATATATACAATGTAAGAAAAACCCTCCATTTTCCCATCATAAATTACCTTGCAGGCTCGAGATATCAATCGAGATAGGGAAGGTGGAAAGTTTTGTGATAAGATATTGGCGCTTCTGACGTCACCAACGAATGATATCGAATTATGCATTAAAGTTATGTAGACGGTTATGCAGGAAACAGGGGATAAGATGATAAAAGAGATATAAAGGCGAGAATATATTGCAAAACATCAAATTATTTTTGTACCGATAAGAGTTACAATATTTCGTACGTAATTTGTAGCCACATTTGTTTTAGAGAGGACGTTCGAATGTTTGACTAATAATATATTCGTCGGCAGAATTCTTATATTCTATCAAGTATCGTAACGCGTAGTATTTTTCGCAGTAACGCAAAAGCGAATGCCGTCGTCGTGTATCTACTTTTCCAAGATATTTAAAACGTATACGTGTGAAATGTATGCCGTTTCTCGTGATATCAAATTATCACTTTTGCATTCAATCCAACCCGATTCGATCGAAGCAAGTTCCTTCGATAATAAAAGTTCGAACAGAGTCTGATGCACGCACCGCGTTGCGTTTGGTTTCTTGCGGGCGGGCGTGTCGCGCACAGCAGGCATCTAAAATAGTTCAAACTCGGGAATCAAATACATATTTTGAGTGTGATACCGACATTGCTTCTCAAAAATTAGTGTCATCCATTTTGTTTCTCGTATACGCCGTTTTGCTTCTCCTGCGGTTTTAACGGCTTTATTATTTCTATTTCGTTCAATTGATCGATATCCAATTGTTGTTTCTTCTTCTTCTTCTTGGATGGTTTCCTGAAAGGATTTTTCAAAGGAGCCATTTACTCATCTAGCAATGACAGATTGTGTACAAACGATTAAGTACAAAGCATGAAAAATATGGAAGACGTACTTTCCAAATAATTCGCCATCCTGAATCGACTCGGGTAGCTTTTTGTTTAATGTCTCCGGGAGCAAGAGAGACATTAGTCCGCCGAATAAAGCGCAGGATCCGAAAATAACTAGCGGCAACGGCGTCCAGATTTCCGACTGAAACGATCGGACAACGCGATAACATGGCGATTTCGTACAATTAATTCATCACTCGTGCAAACAGGCAGTATATATAATAATAAAAATAACGTACTAGGTGATTGACATATGGCGCGATAACACCACCAATTCGGGCAAAAGTGGAGCTCGCGCCCAGCCCGACGTTTCGGATGACGGTCGGAAACTGTTCAGCAGTGAACACGTAAATTGCACCGTAGGACGACGTGATAGCGAGTTTTCCTATCATCGCCAAGCACACGATTAACCATGGCATGTCTGAAAGAATAAATTTATTTATTTCAGTCGACGATGATATTATAATATACAATATCGCCGAATGTGTGCGAATTACATTCTCACGCACGTGACAGAAGATCAAATTGAAATATATCGTGCAGCATCAAGTTATTATATACTCACCGGCGGGAACGAATAACGTGGCAAGTAAGGCTAACCCAGACAACAGCATACAGCCGCAAAGAATAATTTTCCTACCCCATCGGTTCAAGGTGAAAATTAGAAATGTATACGCCGGTACTTCCACTACACCGGATATTACAAAATTAACATAGTCGTTGCCGCCTAGATTGGACGCATGCCAGGACAGTCCGTAGTACGTGCCGCTGTTGACGAGCCTGTATAAACGGAAGAATGTCGGTATGATTCGGTGCAAAATTTATATACGTGCGTTGAGTACCGAAGAAAGGGGAAAGAATGAAACATAAATACATAATCATGACTGACCAGTTGAAAAACAAGAGAATGCTTTTCCGTCTCAAGTTTGGATAACGGAATAAGTCGAAGAGTGAGGGCTTTCTCGAATCAGGTTTGCTGTCCTCGCTGTTATTATTAAGAAGCGTCTCTAAAGCTTCGCTGGGCATCTCCACGCCATTTTCTAACGAGGCGCGTTGCAGCAAATCCTTCGCTTCCTGCAGACGACCCTTCGTTAAAAGCCACCGCGCCGATTCGGGGATGAACCTATCAGGTATTGGTATTACTTCATGATTTTATGAATAGCGATGCAATTGTAATAATTGCAACTAGAATATTAGCTCAAGTTTTCGAGAATGTTGACGTAAAATAATATAATTGCGAATATCGTATGATATTATTATCGTCGTACCACCAATAAAGTAGAAACGCGATGCTCGGTACCGTAATGGCCACTTGCAGCATTCTCCAGTCGGTAATAAAATATGCAAAACCAGCGGTAAGTATGTATCCGGTAGTGAAAAATAACTGGCAGCCAACTCCGGCTACTAAACGTTTTCTCGGCCCAACCATCTCCAAAGCTGGAAGATGTTGAAGAAAGAATTAAGACTATTAAGACATGTGTGTGTATTCATGGATTCACGCGTGACATTCGGCGATTTCACAGAGCCTGAGGTCTGACGAAGTTTACTTGATTGATATTAATTAATTTTTCATCTGACACGATTAGCACGTCTCCCCTTATCGTTTCTCCTCAGAAATGATCGAATCCTATTAGTGGAACCCGGTTAGTAGGACTCGCTTACCTATGACGTAAGCTACCAAAAACACCCCACTGGTGGTTGAGCCGACAATCAGCCTGAAGATTACGTAGGAAATAAACTCGGGAGCAACAGCGACTAGTATACCGCCTACCAGTTGTATGACTAAAGACAGGAAGAAAATTGGTCTACGACCATATTTATCGGACAAACCGCCGAATATCATCGAGCCAAGCATGACTCCTACCATGAACAACGAGTCCCCCGTCGCTCTCAGCCACGCCTTGTCACAGACCAAGTCCCACTGCGGAAAACGCGGAAAGAATTGCTTTTCAATCTTTAATCGTTTATCAATAACCGCGCGAAATAATGCGAAATGTTTTTTCAAGCTTCTTCTTACTCCCGCAACGTCTCTTCTTCGTGCAATGTAATTACCCAACAAGTAGATAAATAGTTAAAATAAGTAGATAACAGCTGTGCGCAACAAAACTCCCCCGTACCTCGGAAGTGGTTGTACTTTTGTATATGCTTCGGTCATATACATATTGCTTGCAATGGCTGCTTCCTCCCCTTTCGACGTGGTCGCCAATTGCTTCGTCAACGGTCGTATCGTTTGGCCGTAGGGCGCCGATAACATCATATCTCAGACACTGAGACCACCCTTTGAGTTCAGAATCCCACGGGTAACTCGCGTTCAATATATCTTGACTCAGGAAAAACGTGGCGTTCTCTGCGTATTCGTGCGGAAGTAAACACCTGACGACAAATTTCTCGTTATATCGCAATTCATGCAATTTACTGTAATGTATTTGTCATTACGTTCGTTCCTGGATTATACCTGGAATCCATCTTGGCTCCGAGGAATACACCAGCTAGTTTGTGAAAGGCACACGATATCGCTGGAAGACAGAGTAAAAGATAGACTCTGCGTTGATAACGGCCAAATTCGCCCATCCGAAGGATAACATCGTCGTACGCCATTTTTTTTTTTTTTCTTGAGCGGAACACCCCACGTTTCCGTATTATGTATTTCTTGATCGACGATTGCAGAAGAGTCTTATTAGCAACTTCGTAAGCAAAGAAGTCTCTTTTGAATTTTAAATAGCGCGCGCTTCAACACTGCTTATAACGGGCGATCGCGCTAACGATATTGTGTAGATTCCGACATTGTCGACTTCGTTAACATAAAAATTTGTTTATTTAAAAAATAAAAAACAAGCACGACTTCTGATTCACGGCTCACTGTTTGAGGTTCATGGTACACGGCGACGCGCTTTTTAGCTTGTATTCCTAGCTTTACTGTTCGGTCCTCGATGATGATATAGACGGTCGGAGGTCGCTTGTCAGGTTTCTAAATGCTCTTTTTCACCGGCTTCTTAGCGAAGAACAGCGACAACTGAAAAACTAATATATGAGAGTTCATTATTACCATTTATTATAATAATTCTTGCAATAATTTCTTTCTCCTTCCTCTCTCTCTCTCTCTCGCTCTCTCTCTCTCTCTCTCTCCCTCTCTCTCTCTCTCTTTCTCTCTCTCTCTCTTCCTCTCTTTTTCTCTGCTTCTCTTTCTACTTTTTATTATTTTTTTTTCTACTTCCATGAGTAAAATAGACGTTACGGTTAACAATAAAATATAATTTAAGATTATCGAATCTTGGAAATCAGATGTTATATGTATACAAACCTGTTTTTAACAAAACATTCATTAAAAACCTGGTATTTTGCTATTTGCATCTGTATAGTAATGAAGTATGTTATGCATGCTAGAAGAAACGATGTTTACAAGTATGATGCATACGTAATGCGTAACAACGATATATGAAGAAAAGAGAAAGGGAGAGGTGTTTGGCAAGTTGTTTAATATCGACCACAACCGCGCGTATATTACGTCTGTGTGTATGACTTTTAGGTAATCTACACCCATATGGGGTTCTCTTAGATTAATTAAGATCAAATAAGCGACCCGTATGAATCTGTATCGTGATTGATACAATTGCTCTTCGCAGGGAGGCGAGAAAGCCGCGAACGAATATAACATCGACGATTATTAATCGATCGATCGATACTATGTGTCATTTGCAATTTCTTTCTTTTCGTTCTCTTCTCTATCTTGCAATTACTATTGATATTTCGTTAAATGAGGCAAATTAACTGATATATCTTGTATCAAAATTTCGTTTTCCATAATAAAATAATACCTACGAATTCGATCTTCTCAATCGTGTTTTTTTTAGAATTTAAAATTTTTAGGAACGCTGAGCGTTCTTTGATGACTTTGATCTCTTTGTACGTCTACATATTAATTAGTAATAGACATGAATATTGATATGAGATAAATAATAATTTTATCAGTTAATGTTAGGCTACAATTTGGACATCGAAACAAAATATCTTTTTTAACGGGATGATATATATATATATATATATACACATATACGTCGAGTGTGTTAATGTTCCAGTTTTGTTTCGACAAATCTATCGAGTAACGTTTATGCGAACTCCTAAAACGTTTAATCCAGCGTAGATACCACGTTTGATCGCATGAGTGATGCTACCGAATTTCTAATGATTTTAAATGAAGTTGCAACATCATTAGCTGAGCGCGTGCAGAGTCATCTGTACGTTACCATATCGAATATTTAATTTGTATCTGTTGAAATGAATGTTAGTCACAGAATCGACAATATATAGAATTCGACAAAACGGATGAAAATGGACAGTACTTGGAAATTCAGTAGCCCGACGAAACGCAAACGGCAAAAATGATACGATATGACACAAGAGTTTCACTTATCGATCGAACACAATCCTACGCGCACAAAGGACGGACTGGAACTGGCCACATGCTTTAACCGGCGCGGTTGTAGTACACCGCGGTTCGGTGCGATGCGGTGGGGTGTGGTGCGACGTGATGCGGCGCGGCGCGGCGCGGCGCGGCGCGTTGCGGTGCAGTGGGGTGCGGTGGGCTGCGGCGCGGAGTGGCGCGACTCGTTTCAGCATGGTTCGTTTCGGCTCGGTGCATCGTACTTCGGATATTTAAGGTTGTTTCCTTCTTTTCCTTTTTCTTCGCTCGCTCTTAACCCTTCTTCGTCAAATAAAGGTAGCTCAAAATAAGTGGTTTGCCAAAATCACATAAATATTGATACGTCCCTCCTCCTCGTTATTATAAGACTGTCGATGTAAACACAACGAAAAGAAAAAAACAATAAAACACCCGAAATGGAAAGATATCGCTCTTTGCTCATTTCGACTATACTTTTAAATCGTAAAGCATGCCTGCGTGCGCGCGCAAGCATATGTTCATTTTTCCGTCAACACCGGCTTATCGCTGGATACATATATCGCGCATTGTACCGTTTGTCATAATATTCGTTATAAGCCACTACGTCTATTGCAACATCGCCTCTTTTCGCCGCGTGTGTATATGTGTGACTAACAAGCATATTGAATAAAAATCACCTGAACAAACTTGTTTGTATCCGCGCTATTTCGTCACATTTCAATTATAATCTCTGTAATGATTTTAAATCAATCGCGCAATACGCACTCGTCCCGTGTAGTATCTCGTATGACCCGCAGCTGGAAGATCTGTTTCGGACAATGTGAGATAAGACGCGTTGTAAATTATTGAGGAATAAGGCAAAGGAGCAGTCAGTGAGGCGTGATACGTTTTTTAACGCGACTTTTACAACATATCGCTTCTTCGTGTCCTCCAGGTTTGAACACCGCATCTTGCGATTTGAAATTGCGTTACAATATTATCTTTCTGTCATCGTCACCGATATCGCATTTTTTCGACATATTTGTCGCACGACCTTCGTACGATAAAATTGGTGAAAGCCACACGAGTTGATAATTTACGAGTCGTGTAAATGAAATACGATTAACATTGAATCGTGAGTATATTGTAAACTATGAATAAATTAGGGCAGTGTTCTTATTTGAACGCTAACGAGTGCGTGTAATGGTGTAAATACCGGTTCTTCCTTAAATAGATTGCGTTATCACTAGATGCACATAACGTGACGTAATCTTTTGCATTGCGTTATTTACAAATTATATGCATACTCACTAATCTAGCCTGTCGTTAAAAATTCTCGTCAAACTCGATAGTTTAAATCACGCTCCTCGTCCCTCCTCTCCTCCTCGCCTCTAGTCGTTACAATGATATATAGTTCGTTCAAATATCTAACAGACGATTCGAGTGCGTACGCCGTTTCATTCTTTTCGGTTATTACGTGGCGAAATTTGAATTTTGCGAAATTAAAAAACTTTTTTAATTCAAATTTTTTCAAACGCGAAACGAATTATTTCGACAAGTAGCTACTCTAATCTAACCACACTTGCTGTCGCGCGCCTTATACCTTCGCTCGCTAAAGGTCGATGATTGGTCGCCACATAGAGAATTTTTTCTTTTCGCCTCGTAAAAATTCCAACGCACATCGTGTGACGTCGCGCCTGTTTAGCGTGAGACTGTCTTTCCCCTTTCCCGCTAAATTCCAGTATCGTGTCCTTACCTGCGCATTCTCATTTTTTTCTACGTATTTTTGCGCGTGCATTCATTTGTCGCCTGGCTGCTTAAATCTTAGAGACTCACGAGTGAGTTATTTGCAAAAGGTAAAAATGAATGTTGGGCATATTTTGGCACTATCATCTAGGCCGGCGTTGTCGTTGACTGTTACCGCCGCCACCAACCGCTGCAGTCGCCGCCATCATCACCACCACCACCTCCATCACCACCTCCACCACCATCACCACCACCACTGCCTGCCACTGCCACCGCCAGCGCCGACCCCGCCGCCGCCGCCGTCGTCATCATCGCCGTTGCCTCTTCCGTTGCTATTGCTGTTGCCGTTGCTACCGCTGCCGCCGCTGCCGCCGCCGCCGCCGCTGCCGCCGCCGCCGCCGCCGCCGCCGCCGCCGCCGCCGCAGCCGCCGCAGCCGCCATCGTCTCGAAGGCCGATATCGCGGCCCAAGAGTAAACCCGAAAGCTATTTATAGTAGGGAGCGGTTTCTAGTTCCTATCGCGAGAAAAATCATAACTGGTTTCTCGCAAGCGCGAGAATGGAAGGAAGGAAGTAAGAAAGAAAGAAAGAACGAGAGAAGAAGGGTGCGTTCCTCGGAGGAAAGTGGCAGGGGGAAAATAAAACGCGGGTGACAGGCGAGCGCGTCGTTGCTCTCCGCCTCTCTGTCACTGCCCAGACGTGCTGAAATTAAGACGAGCCGAGACGAACCGAGACGGATTAAACCATCTGCCAAATTCTCTTGCACTCGGCATTTCCCCGGTGCATTTCCCGCACGATTTGCGTTCCTTTTTTTTCATACTTCTTACTTTTTTTATTTTATTTTATCCTTACTTTCCTGCAGGTTTTCAATTACACATTCAATTGAACAGCGCTTCAAACGACTCTTTCGTTGGTTCGCGCGATACTTTCCGCGATACTTTTTGGCATACAGATGAGGAGTTTACCGTACGAATTAATTAGTATACAAATACGCGAGATGTTTTTATTGTTCGGAAACATAGGCCAACACGAGTCGCTTTTATGTATGTGTGACACGTAAAAACGACTAGTCCAGTCTAGCTGGTTCGGTGAAATATGTTCGCGTCCATAATGGGGAATGGATCGAGAATACACATGGTGAACGCTTAAAAATGTTAAAAAGGTTGCTGTCCTTGCAAGGGCGCCACGCTGTGCCGTGTCGCCACGCTTCGTCGCGCCATTCTTCGCCTTACCTCGCCTCACCTCATCATCCGTAGACTCGCTACAAGGATAAGAGAGGAGGTATTCATCTCAGTGCAGCCTTTAGCTATGCTTTGCTCGGACTGAACCATATTACTTGGAATGTGGATTAATGAACCTTGGATGGTGATGTGGCAAATTTTACATAGGAATAGAAAATAATAAAGAAAAAACGCGTAAAAACGCCATATTTCCTCGAGAGCCTTCTGATGATGTAGTTTATTTTTATCAAGAGAGATATACCAATTATGAGAATTCCGTTAATAATTATTATTGACAAATGACTGGAAATATTACTGCTAGAGTAAGAACTATGATCTTTTTGCAGCGATGAACGAAACAAGCTATAAAAGAAAAAAAAAAATATATATATACATAAGTTTTTAAGGGAAGGTTTAAGTAAGGAAAAAACTTGAAAACCTATTTTTTTTTACATCGACCAATGTTTTTTGCGCAAAGCCAAATTTATAATTATACTACTTCACATAAGTTTGCAAATTTTCACGCAACCTGAGGTTCATCTCTCAACTTTAACCGGATCTAGCTAAACTAACTCTTTAACTTAAAAAAATGTGTGCTTTAAGCAAATGATAAGAAATTACTCTTATATGAGATTTGCAGTTTTTTTTTACAAGAACCTAATTCTTCTTAAAGACTTGTATATATATAATTGTTTATAGTTGTTTCGTTGATTACTACAAAAGAGCCACGACGACTTCTGATGCGGTAGTATTATCAAACATTCTTCTTTAAAGGAAATTTTACGCACATGCTTGTAAAGTGATTTTCCCTATTAAAGTTATTGCGAAAGCGTCGCTAATTTGCAAACAAACGATGCATTCCGCCACGTCGCGACACAACGTGGCGCTTTGTAAGCGCGTTTCTTACGTAAGAAATAAAACTGCGCATTATGGGGGTTTAAGGTCAGAAAATACCATGCGAATGCGCTCCTTACGTAGTTTTATTTAGACATCTCGCTGTCGTTAGAGTGTTAAAACGAGCCATCAAGTTATCGTGCATACTTGCATTGAACATGGACGATAATAAGATCATACTGTGTCAACATTGCGTGAGTCGAGAGTTCTTTTTTTCAGCATGAGACGTGAGACGTGAATTTAGAAAAGTGTTCTGGTGACGTTTCCCAAATAGCGCACAGGACATCCCGATATCATCTTAAAAGCGTGTCCATAATGCCTGGAGCGTGTCGCCTCCGGAGCGTCCCGAGCGCACATCCGGGATGATTTCAAAACATTTTATACCGCATGAGTTTATTCGTGCATATTGTACCGAGTTTACCGCACGTTCCGTAGTTGTTCCGTACCTTTTCATTTGCGTAACAAGAAATAGCAAGCATGTAATTGCGGGCGTTATTACATGCATGACAAAATAGCGCACGACGGTTGAAGGCCGGTTATTCCAATTTCTTGGTAAATTAACTGATAGTCAAATAATACGTTTGTTATTGATTTTCCTTCGATTTAAACGAAGATAAATGATTTAATTATCAGTTAACTTACCAAGAGGTTGGAACGACCGGCTCTGAGAGAGAAATTTACATCAAAACAGATATAGTGCAATGATATATACGCAACGTCGTCGCATTCATCGGTCGCTTTTCCATTCGGCCGATGCACAAGATGTACTAATAAATTCATACGCGCCGTACCAATTGAGAACAATAAAGATATCCCTTCGATAATTCATAGCTACGCGTAGCGTCCAAAGAAGTAAAGTGTAGTGCGCACACATTCGGTGAGACGAGAGAACGAGAGTTGTTATACGGCAGTGGCAAGTGGCATTTCCACTAAATCGTCATTCACGCGACGCGATGCCAACGACGCGCGCAATGCCAATGACCCACATTGACTCGAGAGAAAAGAATGATGATGGTGATGTAATTACCCGCTCGAGTGCACGTTCCCACAATCGATTGCGTGAATCTGTTAGCGGCGTGATTTTATCAGCAGCGTCGAACGCTGGTTGCTTTCCATATTGTACGCGTGACCCAACGCGTGATATCATGCATCATGCCGGCCGGCTGGCTGCTGGTCGCTTTTTCGCAGCGCAGCACTGCTGATCGATAATAACCTTCGCGGGAGGCAAGACACGAGACGGTACGCAAGACGACGGTTATACACTTTACACAGCCAAAATTCCCGACCGACTCACGCATGCACCTTCCTCTGTATCATCGAAATGCGAGTCCCTGTGTAATTTATCGACGCGTTAATCGAACAGGCACGTGTATCGTACACACGCACTTCGTAAAATTCGCGCTTAGCTAGCTGATGCGGGGTTCGCGATACCCAGTGCCGGCGCTGTAACCGGAACCGGAGCTGACGCTGCACCGGAGTCGACGGCAACGCCGACGCAGAAGGAGGCGCCGAAGCCGAAGCCGCAGCCGCAGCCGAAGCTGGAGCCGAAGCCGAAGCCGAAGCCGAGACCGAGGCCGAGGCCGAGGACGAAGCCGAGGACGAAGCCGAAGCCGAAGCCGGAGTCGAAGTCGAGAACGTAGTGCCGCGCGTTTTCTACCGGATGACAGTTCATAGGGATTATCGCGATTGTATCGTGTCATATTTACAAAACGTCATTTTCTTGCATGCTACTGTCACGACGATAATATTTATCGGACATTTTTCTCCTTCATAATACGATACGGTGTCATCGTTGTTATGTCAAACGCTGGAATCGCGATTTCGTTCTTTGATTAATTTAATGTCGAATTTGCAACGTGTATCAGCATTTTTGCTGTCTGGTACCTTGGATTTGATTTAGATTGTGCAAGAGAGAAAAGAAACGCAGCAGCGACACCAACTCGTTATTCGCTTCATTTACGTAATGTGTCATGCTATTAGTTTGCGTATCCGCGATGAAAAAGAGAATGAATACGACCGATCTGTAGTGTTCCGACAGAAGTTATGGTTACTAATGTATATGCAACTGTACACTTTGATAAATAAACTTGAGTCAATGATTGAAAGATGCAGTGATAATATTTACGTAAATAGAAGAGATGCGAGATGCAATCTTTTACGAGATCCTTTTACGAAATAGCACAAGCTGATTTCATATACGTTTTTCAAACGTATGTAACGTTTCATAACCTTCGGTAAAATGTTCCCAAAATGGCACGTGTTATCTGAGATGCGACTCATTGCATTAGTTTTCCTACGTAGGAAGAGAAAGAGGGGGAAAGAGGATAGGAGGGAAACAGAGACAGCGAAAATCGCGAGTTAAATTATTGTATCAATATATTGTATAAATTTATACGGCAGTTTACGACCGCAAAAGGAATAAAAAATGTTCTTTTTATAATTTCTAATGTAATATAATAGATTGGCAATAAATCCAACTTAATTGTAATGAACCTAACCTAACTAAAAATTAATCGAACTATAAATACATAAGAGCGAATATCATTGCAAAAAAAAATGATTACTATGCAGTCTATTTGCAAGCACGAATTATGATCGCTAGTAATTTGTTATTGCAATTGCTAAAGTATAGTATAGTAATATACCTGCTTTTAAATTCCAGATGAAAGTGCAACCTTTGAGTCAAAGAGACACCAATGTCGAAGAAAAAAGCTGACGAATCGGCGTTAAAAACACCAACTACACACACTCATTCAAAATCTCAGTGTCTAATGCGAGCATGCTGTTATCGCATTTTATTTATATTAGACCTCGTTGCGTTGCAGAGTTTATCAAAATGGATTTTGCGATGTGGATTAAGTTGGGTTGTCGAACGTGCACTTATCGATTCGTCTGGTACTTTTTGTCGAACTCGTTAAACATTATGATAACAAGAGTTATCTGTGTCATTGTAGAGGAAAAAATTAAAGAGGGAGAGAGAGACGGAGGGGAAGAGGAGGAGAAGAAATGGAGAAGAAAGGAGAGAAAAAGGGAGGGAATCATTAGTGAAGAATAACGCGAGTTGCACCGCGAGTTTGAGCAAAAACTTTTAAAGCTCCGAAACTAATCCGAGTCGGTTCGTAAACGTTCGCGCGGACTTAACTGCCGATGACACGTAGCATTGCAATTTCTGTCTCGTATGTGTATCGTGTATGAACACACATGTACATAAGCACCTACCATCAAGGACGCGTGCGCCACGGACACTTGTGTGTAATTCGATACAATTCGCACTAAACTACTATTCGGCATATATGGTTCAAATTTAAAATGCTCGGGTAAGATTGATCACTCTCTATGATGATTCTTAATTATATTTTTCAATCGCAACGACATCTCTCAATTCGTTCCATCGTATTAAGCTACATATCGCAATCACAAATAAATAAAAGTATGAAAACATTCATCTTTAATCGAATTTCAAATTCTCGCGCTCGCGCTCGCGCTCGCGCGTATTTCGATTTTAAAGATAAATATCTCGATATATTTGTGTGCGTCACATACACACACATGTATTTTATTGTATATTTTTACACGTAATAAATTATCGAGTCTTTTTATCCACTTACCGTAGATTAACCAAGACTTAGTCATACGTATACAAATCTAAGTTAGTTTGCAACGAGAGGATAGAACCGTCCGATAATTATTACAACTTTCAACTGTGATTCACAATTATTTATATTTTACAAAACGGTTTGCAACACCATTTTGCAATTTATATTTGACTTTACATTTACTCTTGCCAACAAAAGTTTGAGCTATCGTTAATGTTTATTATCCGAGATTGTCACTCAAATGTGTAACAAGGAACCGACGATCTTTGTGTCGGCTGATCATAGAATTGTTCTCAGAGGCGGGATATCGATTCTTGCCGAAGACTTCCGAAAGCAGCCGAACTCACAAAAGTGACGTTCAGTGAACGCGAGCGGTGCACGAGCGGTTAGGAGTGGTGCGAGCTGATGGATGGTGAGTCGATGAGCTTGGTAAGGTGTTAACCGTCAATGGTGTTCACCGTGGACCAACTCGGGCTTATTTGCCGCGTTTTAACATCGCGACGTCGCGCCGTACAAATGTTCGCAAGTTTCTCCCCGTTTGTCGTGAAAGGGAAGATCGTTGCTATCGTTTCGATACGTATGTATTAGACGATAGGTGATGACAGGTGATGCCAGACGATATATGAAGTCAGTTAGATGGTAGATGATAAACGATAGACGATAGATGGATGATAGACGATAGACAGCGAGTTTTAGGAGATGATAGTCGTTGCACGATACGTGCTTCACGGTACACAATAAGCGATAGACGATAGACGGTGGGCGGAACGATTAGTGATTTGCAGTAAGAACGGATCATGTACACGCAAGTTTTACGACTGATTTATGCTCGTTTGTACCAACATTGATTAAACGTCAATCTGAGCTCAGCTCTATTAAAAAACTTAAACACAAATTTAGATTTAATCGACATTGGTAGAAACGAACATTAGTAATGTTTCATGAACACTCGAACCCTTTTGTATTCGACACAATTACTCTGTTCTTTGCCTTTCCTTCTCCCTTTTTCTCTCTCCCTTCCTCTCTGTCTCTTTCTCTCTTTTCCTCTCTCTCTCTCTCTCTCTCTCTCTCTCTCTCTTTCTCTCTCTCTCTCTCTCTCTCTCTCTCTCTCTCTCTCTCTCTCTCTTTCTCTCTGCCCTTCTTTCTCATATATTTATAGTAAATTATAAATAAATTTTTTATCTCATTGTCATCGATACATAGTTTATGATTGTAACCGATTTATAACTACCTTCATTTCTCATGATCTCACTATTGTTAGATAAATCCCATCGTATGCAAAGTTGTAACAAAGATCGATCATCGTGGCCTAACCTTGAAGGCGTAAACTCGCCACGATTTGACCGTTTGACACGAGAACGTATCTAAAGCTAAAAACCATTTAGCCAACGTCGTATACGACTTTTTCAACATGGTCACTCCTCAAACTCCAGGTGAATTTTACTGATTTCTGCTTTTGCTACATTATCAGTCATATATTGACATTTGTATATCAATGATTATAGTTAACAGGCTGTACAATATTTTTGCGTCATTTATAGCACATTACTCTTTTTGAGCTAGTTTATCGAATCAATATTATAACACTGGCAAAATTTTCAATGGCTTAAAAAGCTTGAGTTTCATCGCTGTATCTTTACAAACTAATAAATTTTATATTAAGTTGAGTACATTTGTATCTCTTATATAGGCATAGACCCCTGGGCGATACAGCCTAGAGAAAGAATGAGATATCAAGAACAGTTTGATTCTTTAAAACCAATCAATGGGATTGTTACTGGAGAACAAGCTAAAGGATTTCTTCTTCGATCCCAACTTCAACCTACTATTCTTGGACAGATATGGTAAGAACATTATTTGACACAGAGATTATCTTAAGCCAGTTTGAATATATAGAGTTTTTGCTACTTGTGTACAGAACAATATTCAAAATAAACTTAAAGAATTGAAAAAAAAGATAGTGGAAACAAAAAAGGAAACTATATTTTCAACTTGAAAAATAAATCTTAGAAAACAAATCTTTGTATGTTGCAGGGCATTATCAGATACAGATGCCGATGGAAAAATGGATATAAATGAGTTCAGTATTGCATGCAAGTTGATCAATTTGAAATTGCGCGGGTTTGAAATTCCCAAAACATTACCACCTGTTCTCATACAAAGTTTGAAATCTTTCTCAACTGGTATGTAAATATATGCATACGTGCACATATAGAATACATGATATTACATGATATTACATTTTAAATAATATTGTAGGTGATAATCTAACTGGAATGACAAATGGGTCTGCTCCCTCTCCGAATAATTTTGGATCTCTAGTGAATTTGAGTGGACATCAAGCAATGGTATCTCAAACTGCAACAAACGTAGTATCTGCATCTGGAAGTATATCTCATCCTCTTATAGGTAACGTATTAATAAATGTTGATTCTGTTTTTATATTATCTATTAGTTACCATATTTTAATCTCCAGTCAATTCGCGGGTTAGTTGCGTATGTTTTAAATTCCATTGTAGCAGAATAAACCTTTAATTTATAAAGAATCTAAATACCTTGTATGATAATTTTTTGTAAAAGCACACACACGCACGTATGTACATGACATATATATATATATATATGCATACACATTTTTCCTTAAATAATAAGATTTACCATGTTTGCTAAGTTAAGTTGGATATATAAAAAATGACTACAATACATTCGATACACAATCGATATTCGACAAGTTTGTATTATCGCAATAATATATACTATCGCTATAAATCAATTTCACCACAAAACGTTAATTATCAAACGTAAATCATCTACAACATGTTATTCATAATACATCATACTACACAGCATTACAACAAAGTAGACAGAATGTGGCTGCCAGTACGCATGCCACAACTCATACACCGTCGAAGCCACCTGCTCGACCTGTGCCACCTTCTGTGGGTATGTCAACTATAATAAATGTTTTGTGTGTATATACGTCAATTTATATCTTTTTCCTAAAGATTTTATCTAATGACTTAACAGAATATTCTGAGTTAAAATATAATTTTGTTACATCTGTGTTACATATTTAGTTGAAATTGTTTTAAATTTTGCAAAACTATTGAGGATGGAAATATGTAAGAAAATAACATTTTATACTTGAAAGAATAATTTTACAAAGAATTAAACATCATATATTTGTTTAGTATTTCTATGTATTTCACGTTTCAAACATATTCACTCACAATCAATGTAGAATTAGTTGTATAAAACAGTACATATTTCTTAGAGTTTTGTATTCAACAACATATTTCAAGAGAAATCGAAGTAGTTTTAAACTGATGTAATAAATTTCTTTTGTTAGATCATTATAAAATAATAACTTAAGCAAGGGAGAAAATATATTTGTGAATGCGAGTATATGTGCATAATTATCATAAAACTTGTCGATATCGAACTTAGCTCGACATATAAATGCAAATAGATTAATTGCAAATTTCACAGAAATCCATATATAAAGTTTCTATTGTAGCGGTTTTGAAAAATAGAACATAATAAATGAAAGATAGAATATAATTCAATCCTTGTCTCAACTAAAATCTTTTCTGCCTACACAATATTCTGCTTTCTATCCTAATAGGAATTAGGATGGTTTTCTAATCATTTTGATGATAATCTCCTCAACAGATATCTTTTTCAGGAGAGAAGCTTCTTTCTTTTTGCATCTAGTTTACTATTATCTTTTCGTTGCTATTTATACAGACATGTTATGTATTATATTGATATTTTAAAGTTAACTAATTCTTTTAAATATTTCAATATAGGAATAAACATAATTATACCGATAAATTACATTGACATGTTGAGATTGTAAAGCAGAAAGATCATAATATTTTATCTTACAATTACAAAACCAGAACTTTCGTTTAACAAAGATAACTTACCCTTATTTAACATATTTGTTGTTCTTGTTTGTGTTTACGAACAGTTTATACAATTTTATTTTAATAATCACATTTATTTATTTAATAACACTCCGCTTTTTACATGGCCGAAAAGGAATTGCGCCTCCTCTGAATACTGGTGGTCCCCCACAAAGACCCGCACCACCTGCAAATATCGGTATGTATAAATAAATCTGTATTATTATTATACTCTAATCTGTTTACTGCATATAACGTTTATATACGTAAAATTTAATTAGTATGTAGCGTTTAATCGACAGAGGAAGAAAACTAAATTATATGAAATTATTTCAGGAAGTAATTTTACACCCGCGACGGGTGGCCCGCCACCAAAACCAGCACCACCTTCGTTTCCAAACAGTCCTGTAACAGCGGGGATTTCACCAATGAAGATCCCATCCTCCGTTGTTGGTGCATCAGTAGCTTCTTCAGTTTCACCTATACCTGCTTCTGCTGTGGGTAAGAAACTACGATAAATTTTTTCGATTAAAAACGCGCTTCAGGATCGACAGACGTATAATTATTTAATGCTGTATACATTTATCGATTGATCTGGAAGCTACATATTTGATTCGAAACTTTAGTCGTGCAGGATGTTTTTCGGTTTAGTTAATGTAATTGCTTTTACTAATCAAGGTATTCCAACGGTAGCACCAATTGCTCCTTTAAACACAAATCCCATGCCTATGACTGCCTTCAATATGACACAAGCATTGCCATCACAACCATTACCTACAGGCATGGTTGCTCCTATGACTGGAATTCATACCGTTGTACCACCCATTGGATCAATAAATACCGGTACATACTAAACTGCAAACAAAACAACGTTTCGTGAGTTTATTTGCATCTACTACGATGGTAATTTGATTGTCAACAAATTTAATGCCCTTCATCAGGTACTGGAGTTGCTACATCAGTAGCGTTATCATTAGCATCCTCGACAACTACAAATGGTACACTAGTTAATGGCGCTATTACACAAACACCGGTATCGACAAATACTCCTTTAAGTACAACAGCACGTCCACCGAGTATAGATAGAGTAGGCTCAATGGATTCACAGCATAGCCAACATAGTCAACACTCTATCGGTTCTCCACAATCCATAGAATGGGCGGTACCACATCAGACCAAACTCAAATATACTCAGTTATTTAATACTTGGGACAGAACTAGATCTGGCTTTCTATCTGGACCTCAAGCAAGAAACATCATGGTGCAGTCGCAATTACCACAGCCTATACTCGCTCAAATATGGTACACCAGTGAAATATTACATAATAGAATAATAATTAAATAGCATTCTCTCTTTCTTCCTCAGGAGTGCGAATGTCTGAATTCTCTATCTATGTTAACAGGGCTCTAGCTGATATGGATTCGGATGGACGTTTAGGTTCCGAGGAATTTGTACTTGCGATGCATCTTTGTGATATCGCTAAAGCTGGCGAAAAAATACCTACGGTACTTCCGCCAGAACTAATTCCATTTACATTTAGACGGCAGCGTCAAAATAGCTTAACTCTGTCCCAAAACGCGACAGAAAACATTGACCCTTTAGCAGGCATGCCACAGGTGTGTATGTGTGGGCGTATTTGTACGTTTATATACAATTAAATATATATTAAATATGTGCGTATATAGATAATCAAGATTAACATTGATCAAAATTAATTTCTTGTGAGAAGAAATGTAAAGCAAATGAAAATGTATCTTTTTACAGACTTCATTTGAGGATAAACGTAAGGAGAACTTTGAGAAAGGTCAAGCAGAATTGGAACGCAGACGTAAAGCGTTGCTAGAGATTCAGCGGAAAGAACAGGAAGAGCGGGAACGGAAAGAGAGGGAAGAAGCCGAGAAACAAGAGAAAATAAGGTAAATAAGTTATTCCAATTTATCGAATAGATAATTATTTTCAACGACGTAGGAAATTACTGTATTTTTTGTGATCTGGTGTAGACTGGAACAGGAAAGACGAAGACAAGCGGAAATCGAGAAACAAATGTTAAGGCAAAAAGAAATTGAACAGGAGAAGGAAGAACAACGAAAACGCGCGCAAGAACAAAGAGAAGCTGCGCGCAAGTAAATATTTTACTTTTTATTACACAGATAAGTCTATATAAACCAATGTAGGTTCTCTAAAGTAGCATTATTTTATATCAGAGAAATGGAGAGACAACGACAATTAGAATGGGAACGACAAAAATCACAAGAATTACAAGCGCAAAGACAAAAAGAACAAGATATTCTCCTAAAGTTAAAAGCAAAGAATCAGACGTTGACCATTGAACTTGGAACACTTGTAAGTACGTCAAGAAGAGGATTGATCTTTGACGATTGAATGATATATTGTCTCCCTTTACCTTCCAGAATGATAAGGTGAAAGAATTGTCACAGAAGATTTGTGATACCCGGGTAGGAGTCTCAGGTGTAAAGACAACTATCGACGGCATGAGGTCAACGAGGGATACACAATTGCAAGAAATGGCTGCTTTAAAAAATAAACTTCGGGAACAAAATCAGAGATTATTAGCATTGAGTCAAGAGAAAGCACGTATTGAAGCGAAAAATAAGATTAATTCGGCTCAAGATGCTGCTGGGCAAGAAGCAATTAAAATGGCGTTCGACAATAAGCAAATTACTCTTAAGCAAATGAAAGATAAAATTGCTGATTTGCAGCAACAGGTTAGTGTATATTAAGTGCAATATTAAAGAGAATAACATCTAGTGATAAAGTTTAAATATTCCCAGCAAATATTATTATCTTGAATCAATTTTTATTTTTTTCACAGATTGACTCAAAGATGTCCGATATTGAAAATAATAATGCTCAACTTGAAGACATTAAGACACAAATGAAGAATCTAGTAACAGATTGTAAGCAGCTTTATGTTACTTTCGATGAAAAGAAGAAGAAGGTACTTGAACTCAGGGCAAGCAGCGGCAATGTTTCGTCTGCCGATTTTGCTACAGCCACGTGGGGTGATAGTGGTTGGGACGATGCGCCCACTGTAGCCGGCGGCGACACACCGTGGCTTGTCAGTGACAGTACGACAAATTCCGTAGATGAAACTGCTGTCACTGGTGTCACCAAATATAGAGCTCTTTACGAATTCGTGGCTCGAAACCAAGACGAAATTTCGTTTCAACCTGGTGACATTATACTGGTAATTAATTTAGACAAGAAATCGTCTCTGTTGACCAACTATAAAGATTTTCATGCGATAAATTTAATAGTGTCTGGGTAATACCGTAGGTACCACCTGTGCAAAATGCAGAACCCGGATGGATGGCGGGAGAAATACGTGGCCACACTGGTTGGTTTCCCGAATCTTATGTGGAGCCAGTGGATACTGGTACAGTTGTCTCCGACAATGAACGCGCTTTCATACAGCAAGACAGTGTAGAGAAGAGGACATTAGAGTAAGTTCATTTCAATAAATATTTTCATTTGCACTGTTATTCGCAATGTCAGGAATCTCCTCTTTTCTGTGTCTGTCTCTTAAATGGTATATTATTTTCGATTACTCAGGGGTATAGCGGAAGTTCCAGAGAATGTATCCGATGCAGGATCATTAGCGGGCGAAGCTCCAATAGTGGAAGCTATTATACCTACTTTAGGATTAGGTACATCTTGTGACATACGAGCCGTTGCATTATTTCAATATCGACCTATCATGGAACAACATCTTTGTTTTGAAAAAGGAGAGACCATTTACGTTTCTGAGCAGCAGGTGTGTATATGTGCGTCTATTGTGTGTGTGTATGTATATATATACGAAATTAACATGCATTAAGATATAAATGGCAATATCAATTATTTTTATTATAGAATGAGTGGTGGTACGGTTCAACTAGTACTGAGAACAAGGGCTGGTTTCCTAAATCGTATGTCAAAGAGACAAGTACGAACAACAAAGATACCGTCTCAGACGCATCAACTGATGGCCTTAATGAATATTACGTTGCACTTTATCGATACGCATCGGCGGAAACCGGTGACCTTAGTTTTAATCAGGGAGAAGTTATATTGGTTACGAAAAAGGAAGGAGATTGGTGGACTGGTTGTATAGGGGATAAAACTGGAATTTTTCCATCTAATTATGTAGAAAAATGTGACGCTCCTCATCAGGTATGACAAATATCTATATATAGCTTGCTTATAATTGCCAATTTTTCAGTTATTGTTTACAGTTATTAATTCAATCATGATATTATAAGTTGTAATTAATCGTTTGTTCAACCGATATAAATCTTTATCGCCTTTTTGTTTCCTTTTGTCTTGTTTTTTTTACTATTTTCTATTGGAGGTTTTTAATATAAGTTTGCGATGTTCATTAGGGTACGTCCTTGTCTACTAATATTTCTGAGTCCGATGCTGTTGCTGCTGCACCTACGGAAGCAAAGAGCACAGATCATGAAGCTGTTACTTCAGCAACTGCAAAATCTATAGTGCGTAATAACGAGACTCAAATTATATTTGCTAAAATTATATCTTAAACTAAATAATATGTATATTAATATATATTTATATTAATAGTATAAAAATATATATTTATATACCTATATAAATATATATTTATATAACCGTCCAAAATTCCCAACACAAACTTTTCTACATTAAAATGCTAATTTAGTTTACCTGCAATTGTTTCATTAATATTGGACTATGAGATTGCAACAGACAACCAGGTCGGGAAAATATAAAGTGCATTAATATATATTTAACAGGTAGAGAAAACAGAAGAACAACTGGAAGATGAGAGAGCAGCAGCTGAAGATAGAGAAGAATTACCCGACTTTGCTGCTATGGCTGCTCAACAGGTAAAACGATATAATTATATCATTAATATTGTTCTTCCTACATGTATGAAAACGTAATTGCTTACTATTTCTTTTATGCTACTCACATTTCGATATTGCAGTATCACAAGGTATTTGATTTATATTATTATATACGTGAGTTGTACGGCTAATATTCTGTGTTTGATTGTACAATTTACATAATTTACGATTTACATGTTTTCCAAATTGCAGCAAGTTTATATATTGATCATAGAGAAATTAATTTGTTTTCACAAAAAATATCTTTTCTCCAGAGAGGAAGAAAACCAGAGATTGTTCAAGTTATCGCACCTTATCAAGCAACTAGCGCGGAACAATTGGATTTGCAAAGAGGACAATTAATAATGATTCGTAAGAAAACTGACAGTGGTTGGTGGGAAGGAGAACTTCAGGTAGAGACATTTATTGTATTTTTTTTTACCACTTAGTAATGATTAAATTAACACGAGAAAATCTTTATATAGGCACGTGGTAAAAAGAGACAGATTGGTTGGTTCCCAGCAACTTATGTAAAACCTTTAACCAGTAGTAGTAATAGAAGTACACCTGTCTCTCATGGATATCAAGATTCACCAACGGATCCAAATATTGGTAAATATATTCTATATAATTAACTTATGATTTTCTCTTTTAATATATATAGGGTGGGGGGTTATAAGTTTACAACCCAAAGTGTGAAGGTAGATTAGGTTAAGACAAACATAAAAATCCCATACCGTTTTGCGAGATTCGCGATAATTATCGAGTTATTAATGACAGAAATCTGAGGAATGGGAGCGCGCCGACATAAATGATTGGAGAAGCGTTGCAGCTACTCAGGCCACAGCGCGGCCCACTCGACCCAGCAACTGTTGGCGGCGTGCGGCGAGACGTAGGTCCGGCGAGATAAAACAACGAATTGCGGCGCATTGTCTTTCCTCTCGCCGCGCACTGACAACAGTTGCTGGATCGACTGGGCCGTGCTGCGGCCTAAGCATCTGTAACGTTTCTCCAATCATCTATGCCGGCGCGCTCCCACTCCTCAGATTTCTGTCATTAATAACTCGATAATTATTGCGAATCTCGCAAAACGGTACGGGACTTTTATGTTTGTCTTAACCCAATCTACCTTCATTCGGGTTGTAAACTTATAATCCCCCACTCTGTATAAAATATGTATGATTCCCTTTTTAAGCTACAATTTGTGAGCTCATATATGGGGTAATTATTGTAATATACATTTTTTTTTTAATTGTAGAACGCGTTATGGCCCTGTATCCTTATCAGGCACAAAATGAGGACGAATTAAGCTTCGAAAAGGGTGATGTTATATCAGTACTTGGTAAGGAAGAGACTGCATGGTGGAGAGGCGAGCTGAATGGTGTATCTGGTGTCTTCCCGAGCAACTACGTATCACCTATGTGTAAGTATTTTTCCTGTAAATAATTGCTCAAATTGATTCAGTATTCATTTTATATTCCTTAACGACGATTAAAAATTTATATAGTCTGGACAGTTATTAAAGTTTACTTTATATTAAATTTTTGCGCGTACTAACTGCGTATGTGCACGTGTCAATATTGAATAAAATATTTGGAAAAAAAGTAGGATAAAAGTATACAGATAGTTAGATGGATCGATAGATGGAATGTACGGAAGTCTATGTATCAGAAATATAAAAGATATTTTCTCTGGCTATGGATAGGCGGACGATTGTCAGGTGTAACAAATCTTGTTTGAAATTACTATTTATATTACTCCTCTCTTATTATCATCTTATTGTTATTATTATCATCATTATTAGCATCACTATCATACTTTTGTCTTATAATTGTGTTGTTGTTTCATTGTGCTATTATGCTTCCTCTTTACTTATATAGCTCTTAGTTATTTATTAATTTGTGAAATATATAAAATTGGAATATATTTTTTATATAAAGTATATATGTGTGACATAATTCATACGTCTGTTCATGTGCAGATAGAATTCGTCAAATTGAACGAAAAATTCTTTAAACATTTTGCAAACATCATAATATTTTTGAGATATTAATTTTTTATTATTATTTATAAGATATAATGCTTATAAGATATAATACTGGACAATATTATAATACACGTCTCCATTGTCCAGCATTACGCACGATTGTCAATAGATTCTGATATCTTAAATGAAATTTCGCTTATTTAAAAAATTATCGCGGTTGTATGCTTGCAAAATGACGACGAACTTTTTTTCTGTGTTCTACCTGCGTATAAGCGAGCATATGAAACGTTGCGTTAGACATCCTGTACATATGATACCGTAATTATCATTAGCATTTATTGTAAATATAAGTAGCTTGTAAAATTTATAAACGAGCAAAGCAGGAAGAATGATTTAGTGCCTATTTTTCTTTAAAATTAATAAAGTCTGTAACGAATAAAATTGTATATAGCAATAGATGCACATTTCTTGTTCGGTTAACAGTTTGTTGCGGTTAGTTTGGTATATCTGTCAGCTATAAAATCTTAACGAAAATAATGATATCACTGATGTAAATAGAATTATTTATAGTGTAAGTATTTTATATTAAAAATTACCTATAAAACAATATGACGCTTTAGTCATCGTCTCATTCGTGCGTGCTTAGCGTTATACGACAATTGCCTTATGTCAATCGTATTCTATATATTCTAATATATATTCATTTTGTTCATGGCTAATGTGTGTTCATTTTGTTCATGGCTAATGTATGTTCATTTTGTTCATGGCTTGCTATATATGTCACGAATACATAGAAATCGGTCACTCACTTATCGCCTACTAGGTATACTCTAGATATCGGAATAGAAACATACGGATTAAACATCTTTCTCAGTTTTTTAAATAGCCTGCTTACTCGCCTTGCATGACTGCTCCTCCGTTCGTCCGTCCATCTCTTCGTCAGAGGTAGTCGTATTTCTTTAATACTTGATGCGACAAAATATGCTTACTTACAATTTCAGCTTATTTTCCGTTAATAATCGACGACTACGTGGTCGCATTACGGTCTATTTGTATCGTGAAATATTTTGCATAAACAATGATGTACTTGAACGACGATCGTAATGTTTTAAAATTAGGAGGGATGCTAGGAGGAAAAAGACAGCTGCATCGACAATTTCTATTCTTAGTCTATATTATTCGCATTCTGTAATCTCCTTTTTATTAATGATTATCTTTCGCTTTTGCTTAACACGCAGCATAAAGGATAGCCGAGCAGCGGTACAGCATTGTTGGTTAAAATTAAAGCACCCGAAGTGTAATAAGAACAATAGCAGTCTCTACATTCAACATGGTGTGTTACAACAACAGAAGTCTCAACGTTGGAGACACTGTGCATAAAAGAATGAAAATGTGAGAAACAGGGAGGGGGAGGGAAATAGGAAAAGAGAAAAACAAGGGTTAGGGGAAAAATGAAAGAGGCAAGGAAAATGATTGAGAAAAAGGAGCGAAGAGTGGAGTGGGGAGGGGGCAGAAACGAAGAATTAATGCGAGATAATGAAAGGGATAAAGAGGCAGGAAAAAAGACTCAGGGTTGGTTCTTCGTCTCTATATATAGCCTCTATTCACATTATATATTATACAAACCTCCTTTTTCTCTGGTGCGGGGTTGCACTCATTCTTCTTCATTAACACTATCATTCTCTCTCAGATTGTCATGCGCCGCTGCATATTAGCCCTTAACTGTTTTACACTCTCAAACGATTTTCATGCAATTACTATGTTTGTTACGTATAGAAACAACGCACGCATCTACTAAGCCCGTTTGGATATAAATCATTTCATTAGTGTAACGACCACCTGATATCTGCACCAACACCAAAGGTCTACCTCAGTTCTCTATCTATGCTGATGTATAATTAAGAAACAATAATAGTAAATTTTTAACTTATTCACGTTAGGAATATTTAACATTACGTCATGGTACGAATACCACTGTTATTTAATATTTAAGTGATTTGTTAAACTCACATTGAATGAATACGGCACCTCGTGATAACGTTCGTGTTTACGTGGGAATTAACATTTTCAACATGGATACGTTAACTTATCGGCAAAAAAAAAAGAAAGAACAACAGAATTTGCGCTCCATGATTTAATTGTTGTTAATGTAAAATATTTTATTCTACGAGCGTGACGTATCAGAAAACCGAGTATTCCTTTCTCCTCTTTCTTCTCAAATTGCTTGTCTCTTGCTTCTGTACATTTCAGTGGTCGATCAAAATTTACGTCAACGATTCAACTCAATCGTTATTTGGTCATGCAGAACCATCGCTATATCTTTTAGTCATTTCTTTTACTTATGCATCTTGTGTAATGCGTAAATCGTAGATGCGTAAAATAGGAGTGGCCATTAAAAAATGCTGAAACGATTGCGTTATGGCTTATCCATTATTAATGTGAATGTATATGGTGCGCGTAGGGCGGACCATGAAATTTTGTCTCGATTGTCTTACGCTGAGGCCTAAAAAGTATAAAGGATACCAGAACGATCTTATGATTGAATAGCCAATAATTAATCATTATCGTCAAAAGCGACATAAAAGAAGAAGGAGCTCCGAAATCTTGTATAAAAACGTTCACTTGAGCTGTTTGGTACTGTAGAGCAATTCGCCTAGTTAAATCAGCGCGTAGATGTTACGCGAGAACTCTTTTTCAATTACCGCTGAGAGAAACCAATTAAACGAACTAATATATCTGTGATGAGACTTTATTGCGCGATTTTGTTTGCTTGTTTGCCCGTAAATTCGGTGTAACTTGTTAATTTTATCGTTTAGTTTCTAGTCGCTTATTATTGTAGGCGAATGATAAATGCATAACAAAAGACTAAGGACAATGTGCTCCTTCTTCGTAAGCCTTTTATAACAGAGCCTAAATATATAGTACTCATATGTGAACGATAATGCTGAGCCGCTAATATTGAAGTTAATATAAACGTTAGGATTGACTATATTATTTATTAAGTAACCATCTTATATTATTCATTAGTCTTTTTTAAACACATTCCTATATGTGTGTATTACCCCGACTGGCTGTATAGTTTATTTCTCTGATTGTAATCGGCAGTCAGCGTCTTGTTCATCTAATGTATTGTACTATGTAGCTCGTTACGATATTGCGCTTCGTTATAAAGAATGTATTATATTATAGCTATATTCAAATGTTTATTGTTTCCCCAGAAATCATCTTTGGTATATGCACGCGCGCGCGTTTACGAAACTTTGATATACCCGTATAAGCAATGTAAACGTATAGCAGTCTGGCTTCTATAGAGATTCCTTCAAGAGAGATCTGAGTATAAAATAATTCAGAAAAGCAAAGATATGTGAAACGCGGCTAACAATTCTATATATTGGTGAAAATCAAGCGCACAACGTATTTATTCATTGCTATTCAACTTTTACGTGTCCTTTAAAATCCTTCACGATAGAAGCGAGTAAATACGTTATGTCACAGTGGTAATAATGATGTGCTTAATAATTAATTGACTATCCCAAACAGCCCAATAGCCCACAGCATAATGTTATTCTAAGGTGATGGCGGGATGTTTAAAGCAAGTTGTGCAACTGGTTATCCTTAGTCGATGTAGTTGTGTAGCGCGTTATAGTCCTAAGATTGTTACTATTTGCAAGTTGTTTGTTCATTGTAACATCAAATCTCATCAAGAATCTCATTAGGGTACGATGTAATTTGACACATAGTGGAGAATGTTGTAAGAGAATATGGAATTCCGTGTGACTATATGAATCCTGTGTGTGTTTTCACACACTTTATACATACACATAGAAATATTATGTTTCCTCACACATATGTACGCCGATGTTCTTACACGTATGTAAACATATTCATATGTGCATATACAGATACGTTCACATCTCACCGCTACTTGAAATAAAATATCTGTCTGTTGTAAAACTACCCTTGCGTAAACGAACCAATGTTATTCGATACTATCGCTCGTAAGAATGAATTCTCAAACAAAAAAAGAAAATTGATATATTTTGATACTTTTACTTGACAACATATTGTTTTAGCATGTATTATCTTTCTCCCTTCTTTATAGTTGTCATAATAGCCAGCCACCAGGGAAACATTTTTTGTATATATTTTATGTGTAGTGAATGATTCGGTGATATGTCACGATCCTATGGAAAAAAAACGCCAGGAACATATTAAAGAGCTAATTGCAACTGAACAAGCCTACATAGAAGATATGAGGCTAGTACATGAGGTACTCTTTTTAAATTATAAATGTCTTTCTTAAATTCACTTTGTTTTATTATTTTTTTCTTTCCTTTTTCTTTTTGGTGTTAATTGTATCGAGTTCACATATGTATCTAGGGTGTCATGGCATATAATTATACTTCCTTTCATCTGACGATCTTTTATTTTAATTTGGAGTAGGTATTATATTTTTTTATGTGAAAAAAACACATATGTATATTAAACAAAACCTTATCTTTTGTTAAACTCTGCGCGAACTTCAATTTTAATATCAAATTCAGGCTGGTTGTGTCAGTATCCAAATGTTAACAAAATACTCAAGTCTTTCGATTATTTTCTGGATACACGGTTATTTTGTAAATTAGTTGGGTACTCGAGTATTATAATCAGTGTACGTGGTATCTTACAAGTATCGAAGAAAGAATTAATTATTATAACAATTATTAACAGATAAGGAGATCAATTATGAACAGGTGTATTACCTGTGGTTTTTTGGTTTTGTGTGGTAATCGTAAATTTTATGGTGAATATCCAGATGTAGAAACTAATCGCTTTATACTGACAGCATTGCCCGAAAAACTCGGAATACACATATTCAAAAAATATGAACACTGAAGAAATTTAAGAGGAACGCTTGACTCCAAATTGATGGAAAGATGAAGGGAAAAGCGGAAATCTAGGACACTCTAGGACACTATACTTATCTTGCATACATAAAATATAGGTTTATTACACATTTTCTAGGTTTTCGAGAAACCATTAATCGAAAGTCTTGTCTTGAGCATCGATGAAATAGAAAAAATATTTATTAATTGGAGAGATATTATTGCGTGTAACGACAATTTTTTAAGGTAACTATAATTCATTCATTAATATATATTATAAAATGTGTATTTTTTATTATTATTAATAATTACAAATTTTTAAAGTACGAATAAATCTTTTCTAGGACTTTACGAATAAGAAGAGATAACAGCTATGGTGGAATAGTTAGAATGATTGGAGATATCCTATGTGAAAATGTGAGTATATTTATGATTTTAACAAGAAAACAATTTACGTTATTGATATAACTGGATATGTATTTTACAGATACCTAGGATGTCAGCTTATATAAGATTTTGTAGTTGTCAAATATCTGCTGCAATGTATCTGCAGCGCTTAACAGAAACTTCATCAGAATTTGTTCAAGTTGCACAGGCGTGTCAACAAGATCCACGAACAAAAGGAATGCCATTGAGTTCATTTCTAATTAAACCGATGCAAAGAATAACGAAATATCCGCTTATTATTGGCAAGGTATATATATATGTTTCTTTGTTTATTTTTACTTACACTCTACTATATACAACTCGATGTGGATTATAGATCTTGGAGCATACACCGGTCGATCACCCTGACAGGCAATATCTTCAGGAAGCACTGGCAAAGTCTGAGGAATTTTGTACTCAGGTAAAAATCGTTAAACAAGCGATATAACACGTGAAAATTGTAATATATTATCATTTTGATGAAAATTTTCTATTTTAATAACATGTAACACAAGGTTGAAATGTGACTTTTAAACTTATTTAATAACTTGTTTAATATCATATTGCATAGGTAAATGAAGGAGTGAGAGAGAAAGAAAATAGTGACAGGTTGGAATGGTTGCAAACTCATGTGGTATGTGATGGTCTCGAGGAGCAACTTGTCTTCAATTCTTTAACTAATTCATTAGGTCCACGAAAACTCATACATTATGGTATACTTCATAAGGTAATGAACATTACATAAGAAAAAAAATATTGTAGCTTTACTAAAGATTTGTGCCACTTGTGCCACACATTCGATCAAGATTTTATATCAGTGATTTTTTTGCAGTCAAAAAGTGGTAAAGAACTCGTTGGTTTTCTTACAAATGATTTCCTGCTATTCGTTCAACCGGTGAAATTCTCCTTGTCCACCTGCCAACAATTTTCATTTGAACGTAACAAACATCAAAAGTTTAAAATGTATAGAAAGGTACATCAGGAGAAGTTGTAAGAAAAATTTACAAGTCCGAAATTCTCACGTACTTGCACACTATTGTCGTGCCACTTCAATCGAGAGGGCATCTTTTTTTTCATAGCCAATATTTCTCAACGAACTATCTTTGCTCGGAGAAAGCGATGGAAATGGAAGCAATAATTTGAGCGGAAATGACGTAGCCGACAATTCATCGAAAACTTTAAGACTGAAAGACCTAAAAAAGCCAATTATATTATTAGCACCGTCTCCGAATGAGTGTTCATTGTGGATGAAACGAATCGTAGAAGCGCGTAGAAAATTTTTAGAAAACGAAAAGAATTGCCTGCAAAGACAACGATCGAGTAAGTCTATGCAAAATATTACGTTTGTTTATTCTATTCGTATAAGAGTTACCGTTTGCCTTCTGACGTTGTTTGTAAACGTCAATAGTTAAATATTGTTTATCCATTGTTTTCTATATCGTATATTGTGATATCGCGCTTATATGTTTGCATAGACGAGCGTCTGTGTGTGATATAATATATTTTTTAAAAGTTTAATAAAATTTTATTTCCCACGATTTGTATGTGTCAATAAATGATGATTTATATGAATAAGCAGAACAGGCACAATTTGGGGCGTGCGGCAGAATCCTTGTTACTGTGCTCGAAGGATTCAACTTGAAAGCTCCATCCGGTAAGCATCCGGCATGGAGCGCACATGATTAAGGTGGTTTAACGCTATCGCATAATCGTGCATTGCTTGCTTTGTGTATTTTTTATAACACTATAGCGTGTGTTTACGTTGTATATATGTGTGTTACGCTTACATATATTAATATCATATTAAAATAATGCATGTAATAAGATTGTGTACAATGAGAAAGGAATGTGCATTAATTAATGAAGAGTCAGGTCATGAAATATTTTGTATACTAATTTTGGTGTTATAATTGCACGTAGCGCTTTATTACTAACAGAAATCTGCCATGTTTATAGTTCGCAGGAGAATGCCCGAAGGTAGGCTGCGATTAGTAGTTGTGGAAGCTGAAGATCTTGTCTATGGCAAAAGAGGTAGAGTATCGAGATATCATACCTTATAATAATGACTCCAAATAACTGTCCCATCATATCAGATGTCGGTTCGTAGATTTACCTTTATCAAGCTTGTCGTAAATAAGATCGCGTACTGATCTGTCATAACTGCAATTCATCATACTTCTGCATGAAAAGTTTTCTGCTCTTGTATATAGCGTAACTATTTTCCGATTTTCTTCAGTTCCATAAATTGCACTCTACCTAAATTATTTGTCAGATTTTCTCGAAACTACGAAAAAATGACACGTATCCCATAATTGAAATTTCGATAGTGATAGACAAATCGAAGTTTGCGAGGAAGCTTGCACATGTGGCGAAAAATAATTCTTTGGCTGTTTTTCATAATCAATAGCGATATCAAAGTACTTTAATTGCATGATAAGCATAGTCAACTTTCATATCATGTCTGATGGAAAAATCATGGTCGTTATTTATGGAATAGTTTGAGTGCTGTGTGGTTTGTTATGCAAGGATATAGGATAATTGACGCTTGAAAGAAAATTAAATATATAATTACAAATTATTCTAACACTATTGTAAAGAATTACAAACTATGTACACGTTTCCCGTTTTGTTTATAATGACTGTGTGAATTCATACGCGCATTATCATTTCTTCATTGATTTTTAGGAAAATGTAATACATTTTGCAAAGTATCTATGGGTTCTCAAGAGGAAAGAACTGGTGTCGTATCCGGAACTGATTGTCCTTTGTGGGATGCTTCGATGCAGTTCCAAGTAAAAGACTTACTCGAGGATACTCTTTGCATCACAGTGTTCGATAAAGGATACTATAGTCCTGACGGTAAGTCTCATATTCATAGACAATTCCTTGCAGCGATACTTTTTGATATTTCTATATCAGTGCATTAAACTATCAAACTACCGATGTCGAATTTGTTGACGCAGAGTTTCTTGGTCGCGCTGAAATCAGAGTGGCTGACATAATGAGAGATAGCAAGGATTCCTGTGGGCCGATCCAAAAAAGAATAAAATTGCGTGAGGTCGAAAGTGGCGATGTCGTTCTGAAGCTCGATCTTCGACTATTTGGTAATAGATGAAACATATAGCGCGAATATTTAATGGTATTCATTTACATATAAATATACAAAGTTTATGAGGAAATGTTTAATAGGAGAGATAACGGAAGGTGCTAAAGCTAATTCATATTCTTTTTATTCTCTTCGGAAGAGAAATTTAAACGAATGACAAATAATCGTATAATTCTCACACGCATATACGATATATGAGAATTTACAAGAAACGCATTTGTGATATAACAAGGACGATAGTTCTCAACGTAATACGCGATTGTTGTCACCAACAATATTGCAATTACTTTTTGCGAACTTTTCCTACAATCTATCTCGACATGAGTAAGAGACTATATTTACTTACGAGGATAATTTTATTTCAATTTGTGTTCTAATTTTTACATTTTTTTTAATAAGAAGAGAAGACACCGAGTAAATATATATTATATTATTTTCACATTTCAAAGACATCGTTCATAAGGCATCGTCAATTTACTCTGGTCCTCCTGGTATATTGCGCGTACGTCAACACGCAGCGTATATTCTTCCTTCCATATTCAGTTACATCGATAGTTGGGTGCTACTATCCATCAGGCAGGCCTTAACAGATATTAATAATTTAATTACAGTAAATTATACATCAGTACATATATAACGCAACATTCTGCGCGATACAACAGAATGTTAAGGCATAAAATATTGCTCAAAGACAATTTACTTTCCTTTGAAAGAAATCCGAAAATCTTTGAATTCAAAATATTTTCCCGGTTTTCTTTCGTGACTAATATAGTGTTTGCAATTATGAAAAATTACATTGATTCAGCGGGACAATATCAAAGGTAACGTCGTACCTTCTTTGTAGGCAGAATTTATAAGTTGTCCACGTAAGATGTCTTGTGACTCAACGATTATTACTCTAACGATTAAATTGGCTCTTTAAAAGTAGGAATTATCTTTGAGCACACTCCTAATAGGAATGGACGGAACAGTCTTTTATTATTTAAATTAACTCTGTTATATAAATATATCGTTTCGTTGGGCAGCGTGCAGAAACTTTCGTTTTTCATCCTCCCTATTGCACATGCACGTTGTGCTTTCGTTATTGTCTAAGAGTTTTCGTGAGTACACGTCAAGAATAATAAAAAGTGCGAGCAAGGCACGAAACGAAACGTTCCCTAGAATAAAGTTATCTTTTATCAGGTACGGTCAGTTTCTTGGAATGCCTCGACGTGTCCGCATCGATGTTCGTCTCGTCACGACGTTCCACGTCTTCCGTGGGAAACTCATAAATTGGCTTAAATCCACCAAAGAGTTGCGGCTTGAAGTTGTCGACATCGAAGTCGCTCTTCTCGGTGTGCGAATCCATGTCTGAGCTGGCAAGCTTCGTATCATCGTTATCGCCATCGGACTTGTCCGTTTCCAAGGATGGTTCAACAACGACGACGTTCCAACCATTTTTGCTAGGTGCCTCGGCGCTTATACTAGCAACAAAAGGAGCCATAAAGTTCTGTGGTGCTGGTGCCGAACTGGAAGAGCTAGATGGTTGCTGTGAAGGTAGCAACACCGTTGCCGTTGAATCGATATTCGCGGCAGTGTCCGCGTCGTCATCGAGATGATGAGCCGGATATGCGTGTGCCGGTGTGTAAACGTAAGCGATCGGCATCGGTGTCGATGTCACCGTTGATGTTGACATCGGCGATGACGTCGGCGTCGACGATGACGTTAACGTCGTCGCTGTCGCCGATGCTGACGTCAAGATCGGCGCTGTGCGGTGCAGTGTCACGGAAATTGCCGCGTCGTTCTTCTTTTGAAACGGAAGAAAATCTTGCAAGTACGGGATTACATTCGTCGCGTCCTGTTCGTCTCTCTCATTCTCCCGCTCGCTCGCGACTATAGGAGCGGTTTGTTGTTGCCGTTGTTCGCTAGGTACCAATAGAGGCGTCTCTTTCGTACCAGCGACGGGAAACATTGACGCCGGATCGGGATGCTCCAAAGGATACGGGAAGTCCAAAGCGACTGGCACGGGTCTGCCATTGTAGACTGTGTAGATCTTCTCTCGCTCGTCCTGAAGCAGAGTATCGGGTGGTAGTGGCCGGTGAGGCCCTCGCGTACCTACGACGACACTGCCGTCGTCATCTTTTTCTTCAGGATCGTCTGGATGTATGTTAACCGCACTGTTGACCGGGTATACAACATATACAGGTTGCTGGGCTATTTCTAACGAATCGTGATTATCCGACTTTCTACGCTCCGCTTGGTGCGCGAGTACAGGTTCCACGGGTTGCGTGAGCGCAGCCTCGTCTTCATTGTTTTCGTCATTGTTAGCGAGCTCACCATGATGTTGTATCATTTGCAGAGTCGTAACGTGCAGGGGATCCGCCGTTCTACGCTTGGGGAACAGGGGCGGCCTCGGTGGTGTCATCGGCGGTTCCTCGGGGTATCTTTCTGAGCTGTCGTCCTCGCGTTCGTCCACGATCTCACTCTTACTCCGATCCTGCGTCTTGCTCTCGCTCTCATCCTGGTCTGTCACGCGATCGAATGACTTCGGTGGGGCATTCTCTTCCGTGCCTCCGCGTGCAATCAATGATACCTGCGGAGGACGAAACTTTCGTATCGTCGGTTCAGTTTCGTGAGGTAAAGCAACGTTGTCCACCTTCGAAGTCGGCACAAAAGCTAGCCTGACCGCGTGAATCGGCGGTGGTGGAGGATTTAGTCGCTGAAGGTATAGAGGTGGCGGGGGGAGAGGTCTCCGTGACGACGGGTGATTTTGTAACGGTTGTCTAATTCTGGTAGGCAAGCTTTGTGCAGCTGACATTGTTCCTATTACATCCGAGCCGAAGCGATGACCGTGCGATGCCTTTGCGTTAGGACGAAATTGGGGCAGGATATTCGGTAGTTTCACGTCTGGTGCATACGGACGTCTTCTCGTGTTCACGTCCAGTGGAGGTCCCGAGAATCCTGAGTGTGGCTTAACGCGTGATGGCGGGGGTAACCTTTGTGGTCTCGTATGGTCCGTTCGTAATGTATCGTGCTGGTAATGATAATAGTACGGCGGTGGTCTGGAGCCCTCCGCGGGTGGCATCAAATTTTCCGCGAGCTGTGGCAAATCCCCGCTAGCGTTGACAGCGGGCAGATTGATCTTCGTTTTATTCGTCGCCATTGTTGTCATCGTCGTCTTTAAAGTCGTTGTTGTTGTCAAGGTTGCCTTGGGTGGTAACTCGCGCATATTGTCATCTGCCTCGTTCACGATGACGATATGTTCCTTTATCGTCGCATCCTTGCCTTTCGTTTCAACATCTGGGAAAGTAATGTAGTCCGTGTCCTTCTCCTCGTGTCGATTTTTCGTGTCAGTCGTCGCGATTGAAGTAGCAGCAAAGGAAATTTGAGATCTCGGCGGTTCAAGCTCGTTGCTGCCTTTTAGGGCGCCGCTGCCAGGTGGCCACCATTTTTGTACAATGCGATCAGGACTCGGTGCTACGACGGAAGCGGGTGGTTGCTCGTGTTTAATTTCCTTCGTGGGGTCGTATGGGTTATTACGAAGTGGCCAGAACGAGGTCTCGATGTCCGATAAACTGCCGTACGGATTCTCTCCGATGGCAGTTCCAACTGAATAATAACCACCCTCAACGTTCTGACGATTTCCTAAAACGAAAGACACGGTATCCTGATCCGGCGGGATTACGATATTACTTGTGCTTTCTACCACCATCCCAGCTCCTACTCTGTCTTGTCCAGGCTTGATCGCCGATTTATATGCGTGACTCATATTCGAGTCGTAACGCTCAGTAATGCTTTGTCCTGGATCGTTACTTAAAGACGAAGAAATGACTGGATGTTGCGGCATTATCGAAGGTCGTAGTGAGTTGCTCGCAAGGTCCTCTTGAAACATGCGCTGCGTGGAAGATCCGGAAGGTGCGATTGTAGTAGCAGCTGACGTTGTACTTTCCAATAATGCGGTAGCCATATTGGTGGTTGTCGTCGAAAGCATTGCATTGACAGTAATTGTGGAAGGTGTCGACGTAATGTGTTTCCTCGATGAATCTTGGAAAATATAATCGTTCTCCTCACTATCACCGTCACTGCTGTCCTTGCCGTCGCCATTGGCCTCACCTTCACCTTCGATCTCAACCTCTCCCTCACCTTCGCCTTCATCTAGTGATTCATAAATGTCGTAAGAATCTTTGTACTCTTCGTGTTGCGCCGATGGCTTCGCTTCCAATTCTGCATGGTACAGTACGAAATTGTTGTGAGGCGGTTGATTTTTGTAGCGATTAACAGTCTGCGTCTTCTCCATTGTCTCATCCTTCAGAGTTTCATGTGTCGGAACATTGTTCGGATTTTTGTAAGTTTCGACGTGGCTGGAAATTTGCAACTGCTCTGTCGGCAGTAAATTCTCCTCGTTCTTTTTCTCTGCGATAGTGCGATTGATGGGATTTAATGCTGATGGGGTAGTAGATGGCTTCCATGTGGTTACAACAGGCGCCTTAGTTGTAGAAAGTGTAATTGGCGACGGGTATATAATAGTCGACGGTTTCGCTTTGTAATCATTGATAACTGTAGTTCTGTGTGTGCTTGTTCTCGTCATTGATGCGTAAGGATTCCTAGTGGGTTGTGTATACGAGTCGCTCTCAATATGATAAGGTCTATGATTGTACGTGCTGTAACTGTTAGAGCCACTTTGCACCTTCGTATTCGCGTACGAACTTGAGATCAACGGATACTTGTTATTACCGTATTTATCCGAGGAATAGTTGATAGGCAAGTTTAAGAAATCGTGAAAATTGACTGTATAAGTGTTGATCTCGTTTGGACTGACGTCATCGTGTTCATTATCTTTGATCTTTCCATGCTCCATATACGTGTCTTCCTCGCCGTCAGTTTCTTTCGAAGTATTTTCGCTCTCTTTCTTCTCGTACTCGTGATAACGGCTGGTATAGTTGAGAGCTCTAACAGGTGATGCTTTCTCGAAGTCGATCTTACCGGTTATCGGGTCCTTCTCTAAAGAAAACGGCTTACCTCCATTGAAGGCGAGAGGAAACGGGATATGGTAACGTGGAACGTCGTTGTCGGTTAAAGCAGAAGACGCGGTAGCGACAGCGACAGCGCCAACTGTGCTCTCCTCCGCCACGAGATCCGGGTCAAGGTCGTCTACATGTCTTTTACGTCCTAACGTGGGGGGATTGTCGTTGATCTTTTCAGCTCGGGATTTTACTCCAGCATTGTTATCCAGATGGCCTCCCATCAAGTACTCGCCTGACACGCATGCCAGAACAACGAAAAGCGCCCATAAGCATTGCCACATTTCTCACATATAACCAGCGTGCCTGAAAGATGCAACTTCCTATTAATTTTATTTCCTTCTCGACACAATTTCTTCTAATTATAATTTCTACGTTACATAAATCGCGCACGCGACCACGGCGGATGTATGCTCTCATCGTATATTTTTATAAATAATGCAATAACATGTTGCGCGAATTGATTTGTATATTAATGGTCGTAATATGGATATATTCTGATATGGAAAATATGATTATGTAGGCTGGTGGGCGGACATTGCGATAATGAAAATTTGTAACGCCAATGTAAAATTCGTTAGTATTAGTAGAGTCATCTCGAGTATTGTATGAAATCCTGTGGTGGGTACGCGGGTCTCGGCTGTAAAATATTTCCTTACGAAGTTCTGTTTTCGAGATCATTCATGTTCGGAACATTTGCTGAATACATATCAAATGTTGTTCGCAGGCGTATACCGAATACAATATTATATATTGTTAATTTCTTTTTGTAACTGACATTCCTTTGTAACTTGCGTTACGTTTCTAGCAATCATTAGAATTTCAATTTTAATCAATTATCAATGAATAAATCAATTTTGATCAATAATTTAATACAAAGATTCGAGATCGATTCGTGCCTCGAGCATTCCGCGCATGGTATTTTATTTGTTAAACATTAATTGCTTATATCTTTGTTATATATTGATCAAAGATTCCGCCAGTTCGATGCCTTTTCATTGTTAAACCTAATGACTCGTCAAACTGACACACATAATATGTTGCACAAATAATTAATAATAAGCGTAAAGTGCCTTATTAATAATTATGTAAATATATAACGTCACTTCTCACACAGGTAGCAACACTCTTTGCCGTTATACCTTTGTTAAATGAGCAAATAGTACTGCAGGTCAGAGACAGACGATTACGAAGCTTCGTTCTCGTGGTTTCCTGGTTTCCTGGCTGCTGAAGCTATTTACATATCCGTCGACGAGTGACCGAACTTGATAATTGTGGATAACGGCTTCGTGCAAACTCCGACGTTGAAAAATCCTTGAACTTTTTCCCGCGAACTGTACCGATGCGATTGATGCGCCAAGGACAAAAAGTCAGGGCCACGGAAGACTCGCAGGCTCGTAACCCTGGAAGAAAGACGTATTGCGACTGAACAGCCTTGTCGTTCAAGTGGTAGGAGGAAGACGAGGAGGAGGACGAGGAGGTGGCAGGAGGATACCGGTGGCGGTGGAAGATCTTGCTTGAACTGACCCGAAGAGTAGGAGAATGCTATGGACTCGGTACGCGATCGAGGAAGAAATGAGGAAATGGATGATTACGAGGAGCGAGAATAGCTAAATCTGATATAGCGTACGATAAATTAAGAGGATAACGGAAATCTGTGCGTTTATATATGTGAAACGTATAAGAAACGGAGTACACTGAGTAGAGAATATCGAAGTAAGGAATGTGTATGATCTTTGCATTTAAACTTCAATTCGAACAGTTACACATCGCTTTGTTTTTGTAACGTAACTGTGAAAACCGTAACATGTAGCGTGTATTACCGGCGATAATGTAATGGAACAAGGAACAATACGAGATACAATCCGATCGAATTTGTCGAGACCGAGTATATACTCGGTTTTTTTATGGGTTAAACATGCGACACGCAATAAAAATAACTCAAATGTTAAAGTTAGTCGATAAACGATCGTATTAATAATAGACACATGAATACGAGTTTATAGTAGAATTTTGTTTGTTTATTATTTCAGCGATAATCGATTCAATGGCTTTCGAAAAGTAACGAAAAGTGACGAAAGCTTGAGAATTTTAAAGATAAAGAGTGGGCGTACATGCTGCTGAGTTCTGAAGATTGTTGCCGCTAGCGTTACCGTACGACGTAACGTATGCGGTGCAGGATATGGACATCATCGTATAGGAGACCGTTTGTTGCTGCTGAAAGGTACGGAGTCAGGGACGGAGAAACGGTACGTAGAACAGTTAGACGACGACCCACATTGCGCAGAGTCTCACAGACCCGCTGCGTACAGGCCGGCGTACCAGTTTCTTCGACCTTGCACCATAACCAAGCGTCAAACGGACACGGAAATTCTGTGCTTCTCTTTTGAGATTATTACCAGGCAGAAGAGAAAATCATGATGACATCAAATTGATGAGTAAAACTCATTTTTCCATCATTCGATTCGGTCGGATTTTCTCGTCATTTTGACATCGTCATGATTTTCTGTTCTGCCGGGGTTCACGATTCGCTTGCCCGTTCACAATTGTGAGTATTCAATGATTGAAATCCATGTATCATAGATTATATATTAAGCTGCATCAGAGATAAGTTAAAATTTACGATGATCTCACATCGTGAATTTTCCAATCGATTAGGATGACACTCGCGCGCGTGTGTATATATAGAAATGAAATCGCGACAATAATCGCGACAAAAGAGCCGAACAAAAATTTAATATTTTAGAACATTTATTATTTCTTAAAATATTTCGAAATATTTGTAACGTCGATTTCAACAATCTCGACCAAAAGTTCATTTAATTATCTTATCTGTTGAGATATGTTATATCATACACACACACGCGTGCGCATATACATACATGTATGCGCGTGCGCTTCAAATTTTCTCTTAAATACGCATTGGTCGCATTGGTTAAATTTATAAGCATCATTTTGTGCTAGTCACTGGCGGTAGATACATTGTGTTTTATTTCTCGTAATTTTATTTTCAATATTTCCTTTAATTACACTTCGTAAAGAAGATATTCCGGATACAATGCTGCGGGTCGTGAGTATTATCGTTGTATCCATTCTAATAAGCGAAGCGATCAGTCACAATCTAGAGTCAAACAATGAACAAGAGAAGAAATTTGAAGAAATTCTGCAATGGTTGCAAGAGATACAGGAACGAAGCGGTATAGACAAGCCTGTGACACAAGTTCGTGTTAATTTCCACGACAACAAGCAAGATGCTGGAGAGAATTCTAACCGAGATTCATTAGCTAACCAAAAATCACGACGAAGTATAGTAATAAGACGAGATACACGAAGTGCAAACAAAGATCCACCTCCAGTCGATCAGGCAGTATTAATGGCCAGATACGTCGTTAATCAAGCTGGTAATCTATGAATGTAATATTATTTGCATGTACTGATCGTAATTATACCAACAACACGTAATTATATCAATAATAATCAATTATTATCTTAATTTTATACCAATCATATGTTCTAATTTTTTTTAAATCTATATTTATTATTTATTATCTATTATTTTTTGAAGAGAATAAAATAAAAAAGAAAGTAACATACTTGTTAATTGTAATTTCCTACTTAACAATATAATGTTATACTATTATATAACGTTATATTGTTGAGTAGAAAATTACAGATAACAAGTATATCACATGTTACATTGTGTTTGCTGGGTAGTATCATGCCTCTCAAATTATCGCTTTCTATTGCGTATGTGTATGTGTGTGTGTGTGTGTGTGTGTGTGTGTGTGTGTGTTTAATATATGTCCTTACATATTATTGTCAATAATGAAATTTCTTATAAGTAGCCCAATACACACGTTCACGTGTGTAGATTCGTCTTTGAATATTAGTTGGTACAAGATTTATAAATACTATTCATGTTATTGAGTACATTGAGTAATAATGTTATTGAGAACATACAAGACGAACGCTTTAGATATGAAAATTTAGATGTACAAGTGCTATATCATACGATATGATAAAATCTGTTACAAATTCGAAGATTTTATCATCGTCCGTGAGATTATTTTCCTTCTGGGAAAAATAGTTTTTTATTATTAATAATTAGTTTTTATTATTAATAAAATGATTTCTTATCATTTCTTTGCTCATGGAAGAATATGAGGGCAATAAGATAATTTCTATCATTCGTATATCTATGTTTATCGACAGATTGGACATCTGTAGCAACGATAAGCACGCGAAAAGATATTCAATCGTTTCCCGTTGCGAACGTGATTTCTTTTAGTGACGGGCCTGTTGGGAGTGGATCTGGAATCCCGTATATGTATATCACCCCTCTTGACTTTACTGCTCAAGATCTCGTCGTAAGTAGAATGCAAGAAAAAAGAAACAACATCTGCTATTATATATATATATATATATATATACATATATATGAATAAAAAATGGTACACTTACACTTTCAATGTTTACTTTTCCCTTAGCAACGTTAATTTTTTATGAATATATGTATGTTTTCAATTGTATTCTGGTAATTACACACATACACACACACACACACATAATCGTAAGATGATATCATGAAATGATATCCTGATATGATTATTATCGTGAGTTTAATGATGTCTTACAAATGATATGTCGATCTAAGTTGTTTAAGCTTAAGTAAATGAAAATATTCTCAGAAATGAAACCCCGTGCAAAAAATATTCATCTTACATTATTATTTCATTCTCTTTCTGATCACGAGCAATCACTTCATCGCCGATTATATGAATGTGTTGAGAGTTTGTATATGTATACACATGTATATCATATGTATATATATTTCCCAGTAAATACAAAGTATCATCGATGTTATAATGTCAGCTAAATCATATGATATATTACGTAACTGTTACTTTGTTGTATAACAAAGCAACTGTTATGTAACATACCATATGATTTAGCTGACATTGTAACATCGATGATACTTTGTATTTACTGGGTTGTTTCTATTCAAATTGTGACAGATTCCTTTATTGATTGTATTATATGCACAAGTAATTGACTATTACAGAAGGATCATCGCGCGTCTCTTTTAATGACATTAGCGCAAGGAAGTTATTGTAAAAATAAGCAATGGGACCCAATGGATCCGCGGTGTGCTAGAGTTATCTTAACTGGAAAGATTAAAGGAGTTAGTATATATATAGCAAAATTATATCGCCCGCTCTCATATTTTTTTTATATTAAAATATTGCCATTTTTTACATATTTTTCAACAGTTAAATGATAAGAGTGTAGAGTATCAACGTGCAAAGCGAGCGGTTTTTGGTCGTCACCCACATTTGAAAAATATGCCTCCAGGTAATATTGCGTTTTGTGGAATGTTGTAAAATAATTGTTTGCATCTAATCATACTAACATTGTTTATTCGTATACAGATCATGATTTCTTTTTCGTCAAGTTGAAGATATCAGCGATTGCCTTATTGGATACCTTTGGTGGACCGAAATATATTGATGTAAAGGATTATTTGTATCCGCCAGTAAATAATATTACAGAAGCAGTGCAACATTTTTTATTGAAGCGACAAGCTTCTGAAAGCTTGAAGCTTCTTGAAGATTCTGAAAAGAATTTTGATACAGACTTGGACGTTCCAATTTATCAGGCTCACAGAATAACATAAAATTACTCATATTTAAAGAGATATTTTTAATTAATTCTATTATATATATTAAAAATTTTGATTGATTTCAATTATATGTATTACATTAATTAATTAATTTCTATATACATATTACAAATTTTACATTAAATATTTCATATTTGCATTTGTATTTGTATTTTATTTGTATTATATAAATATATTGTATTTGTATTATATATAAGTAAGCCAAATAAAGATATAATATTCAATGTGTATGTTCTTCGAATTTAAAATGCGAATTGTTTGAATATTTTTTTTATGCATTTCGGAACATATCAATCTGTTTGAAACTACAATCTATAGCCAGTGGCAACAAAATTATAATAATTTTCTCTCGACGGACTTTAGATCACCAATAAAATATACAAATCTCGATATCTATCTTCTTCAAAAGATATATATTTCAATATATATCTTCTGAAAATTACTAAAAACAAAATTCTTTTGTTGGATAAGATATGTTGCAAAATTCATTGATATAAAAATGTTGCAATCTTTCTTCACCTAATATACGATTGTAGACAGAAAGGTCATCTGTAATTTTTGTTTGTTAAATGAAATGTTCCATGTAGCCCAATGGGAGAGCCTTATTCTAATGAGACTATTCTCTCATTGGATAAGATAAATGTGCGTTCTGAAATTCATATAAAAAGTTTACTGCAACGAAGCTATGCAGCTATAAGGAACTAGCAGCAAGATAGTTCGTAAATATAGCGAAAAAGAACAGATTATATATTCACTTTCTTATATTTTCTTGTAAACTTTTGCTTATAAAACAAGTACTAAAAGTTATAAACTACGTTTACACGGCAACGTTAATCCGGATTAGTAACTACCGTAGTTAGAGTGTAGTCTCGAATCCGATTAAAGTATATTTTTAGATCTAACAGAATATACCAATCGGATTAAAGAATTCACTAACTACGGTTGTTACTAATCCGGATTAATGTTGCCGTGTAAACGTAGTTATTGAAGACTGCCTTGTAGAACATTATGTTCATGCATTTCGTATGGAACAACTTCATTCATGCGCTCTGGCGCTTCGCGGTGAATATAAAGGCGTCGCCTACAATAGCTTTTCCTTTCTTTCTTTCTTTAAAATTAGCGGCATACGGTGCTTGTTTCGTGCTGGGCCGTGTTCCAAAATTCACTGCTAGTACTGAGAATATATAGTTTGTGTCACGCAAACTATAACTTTTCAGCGCTGGCAGTGAATTTTGGAACACGGCCCTGGATTGCCTTGTTGGATGAAAATACTGTGTTCTGATTGTATATTTCCGAAGATGGATGGAAATGCACTAATCAGAACTCAGTAGTCTGATCCGTAGTCTGATAAGCCCATATCAGACTACGGATTGGGATTGAGTATTGGATTGAAATTTGACCAATCAAGGCTAAGTTTACTATATTTGAAGTTATTTTCTTTTTTCCAATTGGTCAATTTCAATCCAATCTGAATCCCAATCTATAGTCTGATACGGGCTTTACGGGCTTAAAGAATCGTGAACATGGGCTGCGTTCAGCAGACAAAGGCTGCATTCAGCAGACTCAACAGTTGGACAACATTACTAGATTTTCCACTGAATCTCGCTCCTGATTGGTAAATATTTCTGGATTTATGAAGAATCTAAAAGAATGCTCCAATCACAGACAATAATCACTAAGCGCTCTCTGATCACTTTGTTCTACTGAACGCGGCCATTGGTATCATAGTTCATGTGTACGATTATACAGAGAGCGCTTCGCACTTGGCTCGGCTAAAAGCGGCTCATAACCTCTCTCCTTCTCTGATTTATTTAATATTTACCGCGATAGCGTGTGAACGAAGGTACAAAGGCATGGTGTTCTACACAAAATAGTCTTCTATAACTTGTTTATAAGAAAAGTTTACAAGAAAGTATAAAAACGTGAATATATAATTTTATATATTTGCTATAAGAAGTTTCATGATGTGTGACTCCATGTTATAAGTATAAACTATTATTATTTATATAGATATTTTGTATGAAAAATCATGTCTTTCCGAGGACGCGGAGGATTTAACAGAGGAACGGGTGGCTTTAGAGGTGGCAGAAATTCTGGAGGATTTAACAGAGGACGTGGTGGTGGTTTCGATAGAGGCAATAGAGGGTAAGTTATTGGTAATAAGGTAATTTGTACATTAAAATTTATAAAGGAAGTAGTACTTATTTATAAGACAAATTTATAAAATATATTGGCTTAAATAAAGTTATGATTAATGGGCAACCAATAAATTTTGACTTTTTTTGAAATTTAATACAGATATGACCAAGGGCCTCCAGAGACAGTAACAGCATTGGGGCACTTTACATGGAGTGTACATGATGAACTTGTCGTTAAAGCAGATATCGAACAAGTTCCCTTCTTTAATGCACCAATATATACAGAAAATAAACAACAGATTGGAAAAATAGATGAGATATTCGGTAATATTCGTGACTACTATGTATCTGTTAAATTATCAGACAATGTAAAGGCTTCCAGCTTTCAAAAGGATATCCAGGTATTCTAGTATCAGAAACAACATGTATACAAGTTTTAACATGTTTATTATATGTTGATATTTATTAATTTTAGTTATACATTGATCCAGCAAAATTGCTACCTCTTCAAAGGTTTTTGCCAAGACTACCTGGGGAACAAAAGAGAGGTGGTAGTGCTGGCCGTGTTATGAAAAGAGGTGGTGGAGGAAGGGGAAGAGGCAATAATAGAGGATCCTTTGGAAGAGGAGGTTTTGGCACAAGAGGTACCAGAGGTGCTAGAGGCGCCAGAGGATTTAGAGGTCGTGGGGGAAGATTTTAATAAAATATGATTTTGACATGATGCATTTAATTTTATTAAATTTCCCTTAATGTTGAACTATATATATATATATATGTATATATTGTATATATATATATATACACATATACATATATGACAATTTTAGTCCATTTTAGTCAATTTTTTTAGTCTATACTTGATTAATACATGCAATATAATATAATTTACAGATTTTGTAAAATTAAGTAATATAATGTCACACCTGATCAAACTTTATACATTTCCCAAGTTCCTTTTCTGCTTTCTTCAATAATTTATCACGTCCTCTATGCTTATATCTTTTTTTACTTTGCAATTTTTCTTCCCGATCTTGTTCTATTTTATCCCAATATGACTTTTCTTCGTTATCTGAAAAAAACATACATAAAATGAATATTCTTAAAACAAAATTATACATATATGTATATACATCATATTTGCATGTATAACAGATTTACTTTTTAAAATTATCAAACGCCGTCCCTCATAACTCTTTTGTAAAAACAATTGTGCAGCTTCTGCTGTATCACATCTTATGTATGCTTGGCGAGAACCGTATGTTATATCTATGTATTTTACATAATCATTATCTCTAAATTCCATCTAAAACAAATGTGATATTTTAATTTAAATGAAATGTAAACTTTTCAGATGATAAGGAATTACAAAGTAATAAGCATGATAAAAATATACCTTGAAACTTTGTAAATCTGTGCAAGGTTCATCCATTTCAACTTTCACTATAATTCCTGGTGCATAAGTAATACGTCCATAGCATGATTTTTCTGTTTCACTGAGTTTTTCATCTTTTTCATATTTAGATTTGTCATAATTCCATTTTGTTTTTCTCAAATGTAGTTTTAATTGTTGCATTTTACTTTTTTGTAACTCCAAGTATTTATTTCTAAGTCGTTTCCAATCTCGTTTGGCCATCACTTGCATCATATCACTAGTGATATCTTTCTGAAAATTACTTCTCTTTTTTCGGTTCTTTTTCTTTTTTCTTTCATCAACACTGGTTTCTCTTTCCTTGATATTACTACTACTTGTTTCATCAATATTTTTTTTCGTAAGATGTTTTGCAGCTTGTGATATAATTTCTTTATTTTTATTATCATAGCTTTTATCTACAGATACCATTTCATTTACTTTAATTTTATCTGATTTTACCATTGATCCACATGGATCTCTTTTTGCTGTTCCTTCACTGGAGTCTTCATACTTAAATGTATCATTTGTTGATAATTTTCTCTTTCTCTTCCTATCAGTTTCTGTAGTCTTATTACGATTAGTAATATCTTTATTTAATATTTTTTGATCTTCCATATTGCTATTATGCTGATCTGCAATGTTTTGATCTGTAGTTTTTTTCTTTTTGACTTTGATATTGCTTTCATCTGCAAGTGACTTTTCTGAGACAAGTTTTCTTTTTCCCAGAGAATATTTAGTATTATCTAACTTGTTGCCTTCATCATCATAAATATCATCATTTGTAATTTGATCTTTTATATTTTCTTTTTTATCATCTACATCTGTTTTAATCGTGCTTTTAGAAAGATATTGCAAGTGTTCTGGTTTATCATTTATTGTAAGATTTTCCTCAGTATTATTAAAAGTAGTTATACTTAACAGATCATTGGGAGATGTATGAGATGGTAAGACACATCCATCTTTTTGAAATGCCTGCATAATATATTATTTAAAATTTGTACTAATATTGTTCACATGTATTAAATCGTTTTTTTCTTACCTTAATACATTCTTCAGCACCTGCTGGAGTATCAAATTCTACAAATGCAAAACCTTTAATTTTTTTATTACTTTGGTATCGAGGAATTGAGACATATACTACTTTTCCATATTTGGAAAAGGCAGAAATCAGCCAATCATGATCAGAATCTGGAGGTAAGTTTTGTACATAAACTGTACACTCATCTATATTTTCTTTTTTGTTAATAGGTGTCAATCGACAGACTTTTGTACCATCTTCAGATACTTTTAACATAGTTGATTTTTCTAAAGCTTTAGCTATTCTATTTGTATCTGTAGTTAATGTGCTTAATTTATTAAAATTTGTAAATACATCAAGAGCCACATCTAAAAGACAAAAAATATCACAATTAGCATCTTAGGATTTTCACAAAGGAGTCAGTTAAATAAAACATATTGTAGATATATATAATGATGTAACTCAGATAATTAAGTAGATAGGAAATCATGTATACTTACAAGGACTTTTCTTCAAAAGTTCTGATAAATATCGATCTTTGCTCAAATTAGCATCACTAAAATAAAACTCCATTTGTTTCAGTATTGCAGCGTGCAATGCTTTTTTCCTTAATCGTGGTTTACCACGCGAAACACCTGATCTGTTGTTTCGTTTAATTATATCCATTTGTGGTTGTTGTATCTGAGGTACAGGAATTCTTTCTGAGGCTAGTTCTATATTTGATTCCTGTTCTTCCATCACCATTGTATTCCCAAATGTTCATATAACTGACTGCCAAGCAAAATATATTACCTGCAAACGTATCGCTAAAATGATATATATTAACATGACATGTGAAAAAAATTTCAGCAATTTACTTTTGACTTACCTTATTCTAATTTAATATCAAATTCAACTAAATTAGATTATAGATAACTTAAATTCAACTAAATTCAAATAAATCAAATTTATTATTATAAAATATTTTTATAATATTATAAAGTAGATTTTTCTCAGTAAGATTTAACGAACAAGTTTGATCCGCAAGGTTAATTTGATACAGACGGATACAGGTTTCTCAAATAATAATAGGAAACAGAAGATACAGTTCACTTGTGTGTGTTTTTTATACACTTCAGATTTTTATATACGAAATTATTGGCCGCGTTCAGCAGAAACAGCTATTTACTAATGCTCAATTTCTTCACCTTTGGTTAAACTCAAACGTTAGTCATTCTAATGAAATTAACCAATTGCATTTTTTGTTAATCAGAATAAACAAATGCTATTGGTCGATTCCGTTGGGATAACCGGCAGTTAAGTTTAACCTAAGGCGAAGAAATTGGGCATAAGGCTGCGTTCCCATATTTACTGCCAGTACTGAAAATCTATGATATATGTGACATAAACTATATATTTTCAATACTGAAAGTGAATATCGGAACGGAATATCGGATACATTTCCAAAAATGGATGGAAATGGATGCACCAATCAGAACGCACTATTTTCATCCAGAGAGCAATCCAGCACAAAAACAAGCACTGTGTGCCGCTGGCTTAAGAGCTTAGGCCCAGTTCCACAACTTGCTTTAAACGGAGTTTAAAGTTAAACCGATGGTTAAAAGCAATAGTATATGCGCATTAGTATATGCACCGATGGTTAAAAGCAATACTATTGCTTTTAACCATCGGTTTAGCTTTAAACTCCGTTTAAAGCAAGTTGTAGAACTGGGCCTTAAGCCAGCGGCACACGGTGCTTGTTTTCGTGCTGGATTGCTTGCTGAATAAAAATACTGCGTTCTGATTGGTGTATTTCCATCCATCTTCGGAAATGTACCAATCATATCGCAGTATTTTCATCCAGCAAGCAATCCAGCACGAAAACAAGCACCGTGTGCCGCTGGCTTTATTTATGACTATTGTTTTAGATCTTCGATGGATTCAGAAGAACAAACCAATCAAAAGCGATAATTAATTGCTAGCATTGAAAATACATAGTTTGTGTCATGTATACTATAGAATTTCAGTGCTGGCAGTGAATATCGGAACGTAACCAGTAAGGCCCAGTTCCACAACTTGCTTTAAACTCTGTTTAAAGCAAGTTGTGGAACTGGGCCTAAAGAATCATGTGGTCTGATCTTTTTAGCTGCACTACTGAACTGGTGCAATAAGTTAAAGTGAGAAGAAATATAGTTGTCTTATTCTAACTTATTGCACTAGTTCCGCAGTGCAGCTAAAAAGAACAAATCAATGGACAGTGGGTGCGTTCACGCATTCAACAGTTGCGCAACTATTGAGTGTCGTGAACGCACCCAGTGGCATCGTAGTTCATGTGCATAGTTGTACAGAGAGCGCTTTGCACTTGGCTCGGCTAAAAGCGGTCCATGACCCTTCTCCTTCTTCTCTCTGATATTACCTTATCGATGGTTTATATCATATGGTATGTAGTGGGCGGAATCCGTGGTTCGATAAGTGCGAACCTGGTACAGCAACAGGGCAGTGAGCCCGAGGGAATTCTCTTAATTTTCAAGATATCCGATACCGATACTTGTCTGTGATAGAATATTATGTCGCAGAAGCTGCTTTCTGAAACCTCTTCGGACTATAGTGCATCGTGTTTGGTGCAATCTTAGGTTTAAAGGTTCTCTACAAATCTGGTAGTGAAAAAGGACATTACTTGCTCATCGTCCAGAGTGCGTCTTCTTACAACGATATTTCACTCAAAAGTATAGTGCAATAAATTCGACGTTACAATGACAGGCAATCCTGCAGATTTTATTACATCGAAACGATGGATTGTGCTTTTTCTATTTATGTTGAGTCAAGTCATCAATGGCCATGATGAAGATGTACATACTCCTCAATATACCAATGACAATTTCTCTACGGAAATTAAAAAGAAGAATCATTTCGTTATGTTTTATGCACCATGGTAAATAAACGGATATTTTATTTTGTATAATTTTACATCATATTGGTTAAATAACAAGGAAGAAGAGGAAAAACATGATTTTGCACATATTTCAATTAATATTAATTATTATGAATATTACTTGTCTTTTTAAGGTGTGGGCATTGTCAAAGACTTGGTCCTACATGGGAGCAGTTAGCAGAGATGTCAAATGAAGAGGACAATAATATAAAAATTGCTAAAGTCGACTGTACAACTGAGAGTACTTTGTGCAGTGAACAGGATGTTACTGGCTATCCTACGTAAATCAGTTTCTTTTGAATTTATATATTTTATATATATTTATATTATTTTATTATAATTTGTTATATATTAGTGGTATTTTATATACCTAACTTTTTATATCTGCGGTCTAAGTTGCTTTATTATATAATAATTTTGTATTATATACAGTGTTATATATTAATCTAAAATTTATCTGGAAATTGTTTCATATTTCTTAGATACACTTATAAATAGAGGATCTTTTTTATGAATACAGACTGAAATTTTACAAAGCTGGTGAGACCAAAGGCATTAAGTTCAGAGGAACTCGAGATTTACCTTCTCTGACTTCTTTCATTAATGACCAACTAGGTAGCACTTCTATGGTATGTGCATCTTGTTTCTCATATTATTTTACATTGAACAATTCATGCTATAAAGAACATTTCTAGCTTGAGGATGTCGCGCCATCTCCACCAGAAGCTGTAAACGGATTATTAGAATTGACAGAGGATACATTCGAGAAACATGTCTCCTCTGGACATCACTTTGTTAAATTTTATGCCCCTTGGTGTGGACACTGTCAGAAACTGGCACCAACATGGGACGAGTTAGCCAACAGTCTTCGCCATGATGATACAGTTAGTATCTCTAAGATAGACTGCACTCAACATCGCAGCGTTTGTGGCCAATTTGACATTAAGGGATACCCTACGTTATTGTGGATTGAAGATGGGAAGAAGGTATTAATGAGCAAAGCCTCGTTCTTTCTTGTTGAATACTTTGCATAGCTGTTATAATGCTGTATTCACATACAAATGAACAAACGTGATAAATTCACAGGTAGATAAATACACTGGTCAGCGCACTCACGAGGAGCTTAAAGCCTATGTGTCAATGATGTTGGGCAAGAATGCTGATGAGTCGAGTCAGAAGAACGAAAGCACCGATGACATGCCGCATGCTATATTAAGCCTGACTGCCGATAGTTTCAAGCATGGTGTAGAAAAGGGTCTTTCGTTCGTCAAATTCTTCGCGCCCTGGTGCGGCCACTGCAAGCGCCTCGCGCCCACATGGGAGCAGCTGGGCAAAAAGTTCTTTGGTAATGAGAACGTTAACATCGTGAAGGTCGATTGCACGCTTGAAGCGAGCAAAGAGCTGTGTAATGAGCAGGAAGTAGACGGTTTCCCGTCGTTGTACTTATATCGAGATGGACGCAAGGTCTCCGAGTATAATGGCTCGCGTAATCTCGATGATCTCTATGACTTCGTGATGATTCACTTGCAGGCACACGACGAGTTGTAATCCTGCGTGTTCCATTGATTATTTCCAATCGTATTGTAAGTAATTTAATTAACTTTATAAATAATGCATACCAGCATGATCATTGCGTCGCTGACAAATATCCTGTCATCGGATTGCAAGGAGAAGCGGTAACTTTTTCATTTTTATATCTTACGTCGTGAAAAGGAATAATATAAAAAGAAAAGATCGGAATGGTATAGAGTGTGTAAGTCCATGATGTGGGAAAATGTACTTCCATAATATATCTTTACAATTGCCCTACGTAATTTCAATTTTTTTGTACCTGCTACTACTCTTTCCTTCATTTTACTTATTTCGAGAAGATTTTAGTGAAGCTATTCGATTTTCGTATCGTAATACAAATATTTGGTTTTAATTACGTTTGAATACTTTTTTTCATGTAATTTGGAACGCTGCTATAATGGTTTACAATGTAAAAAAGGAAAATTAATAAAAAAATAAGTTCGATTGGACTTATTTTTGCTTAATTCCCAGTTCTCTCATTGAACCATCGGTTGCGTTCTGAACTATGTCGAAAGAAGAAAGTGTTAAAACCAGTTTCAAATCAGAGTATATACGCAATAATATTTTACTACATGTAAAAATCTCCGACTGGAGTATATAATTGCGAGAATGCAGAAAAATATTATGTATACATATGCAAACGTTTTTGTTATATGTCACGAAAGTGACGCAATGACATCAGTGCTTTTGTTATCTTATCTTCTCTATATCATTTAGCGTATAAAAATTATAATTGCAAGCTGATCTCACGTAGCAATGTCAACACTTATCGCGCATCATAATTAGTGATAAACATTCTCATAATACGCCAGTCTAATAATCGGGTTCCGTGTTTTTGTCTGATCCTGTTGTACAATTAATCGTTGACTAAAACCAACGTAAAACTCATTTCAGATTCATAGCATCGAATCCGCTCTTGAAAATGCTCGAATGCTGATTTTGTTAATATCGATTGCATTCATTTTTTTATTTTTCTCGCGTTTAGATTCTAACAAGGTTTGTAACAAGACACACTAAAAGTTTCGCTATCGATGATACGGTACTTGTAACTCTTGTATTCGGTGATGTTTGTGTCGCGCATCTTGGTGACGTGATCGTTAATTTTTCTAACTAGTGGCGGGAAAGTCGGTACATTCACAGCCGCTGCGATCTCGTCGTAGTAAGCCCACTGTCTGTCTTTCAGCTTATAGATATGTCTTATCTAATAGAGAAAGAGCAAAAGATGATTTTAATAATTTAATTTAAAACTAAGTTTAATTACTTAAGTAATTAATCTATTTAATCTATTTAACTCGATTTAAAGTCAATTAAACTTTGATTGAATTTAATATTATACATATTTTGTCGACTTTCTTGAAAAAGAATTACACATTTTCTATTACTCCACTGTTATTTGAAAATGCTATTTTTTTGCGATAATTTGCAATTATTTACCGGGATACCCTGGTCAATTAAGGATTTCTTTTCGCTTTCGTATTTCTCGCGCATCTGTTGCGATGATGGTAATTGGATACGGCCCTCGAGGACACCCAAAATATATTGCGCTTCTAAATGGAACATGGGGAACGGTATCACAAGCGCTGGTAAACCCATGAGGAACAGATTTGTGTAGTCCATGTGCACCAGGTATTTGTAGATGGGTTCTACGTGATTATCGTCCGTGCGCATGTCGACTTTAGCTGACATAAAAGGATATGTGAACTTGTAACCTGAAGAATACTGATTATCAGGAATAATGTAAGAAAACCACATTTACCGATAATATACCAGATTATTACCTGTACAATATATGAAGCTGTCCACTTTTGTGAAAGAGTCGTCAAGGAAAGTGAAGAGATCTCCTTGTATAAACGCGACGCCGGATCTTTGCTCGATGTTGGCGAATTTACTCAAGTTGATTGGTTCGGGCAAATTGTGACTTAGGTATACCTGGATATAATAAAATAAGATTATTAACCATGTCAATTATTACACGTTCTTAAATTCTTTGATGTTCTATTTTTAATTTAATTTACATGTGTTGGAGGCAAACGAACCTTGTCGGCGTATTGTGCTACCTCAAGGGCGATGTCGATGCCGGACCAGGATCCACCGAGTATGCAAACTTTCTTGCCGGTGTAGATCTCCGGTAACCTGTATTGGTGGCTGTGAATGCAATCACCATGAAAACTTTCGATACCTGGAATATGTGGAACATCACCGACGGTATAATGGCCGTTGCACAGCACCATAGCGTCATAGGTCTTCGTGATTTCCACTTGAGTCTTCAAATCCACGTACGTCAGTGACCACAACGTCTGGCCGTTCGCCAAAACTTCCGGTTCAACGTATTTTACCAAGGTATTTAACTAAAAGCAATAAATGATACTTTACAAGCGCTCTTTATTGAATAAGCTACTTACATGACTCAGAAACTTACCTTAATATACGGATAAAGGTTGAAGTGATCTGCATACTTCAAGATGTATAGCCTTATCGCGCTATGATGAATGAAAGATGGGCCGTCCTGATCCTCAAAAGGGAAATCAGGTATTTGCATTAGCTCTTTAGGTATGTTTGTTCTGCAACAATTGGGCAGAAAAGATTGTATTCTTTTGAGTGATAGAGAAATTCCACGCATTGTTTAGAATAACATTATCGAACATAAGAATTACGTTGCGGAGAAACTGCATCTGCATGCTGACTGATTCACGCGACAAAAAGAAGTGGATATCTGCATGGCAATCCTTGAAATTTCTCGCATCGTCTCACGTCTCATTGGATCCGCATGACGGATTGACACGGTGATATATTTATCGCGTCATCGAGTTATTGTCAGCGCGTTCTTTTCCGGAATTGGTTGTTTCGGAACGGTCTCGTTAAATTGGGTCTGGGAAAAAGTTCGTGGCGTTTTTTTAGTAAAATTCAACTGGTTTTCTTATAGTGTGAAAATGAATTTATTTAAACCAAATATACTCCATTATTATTGACAGTGTTTCGCCATTTTTCGGGTAGAGTCATGATGCCATCGGTGAAGAACTTCTGTGATATCTGGTTGAAAAACTGAATCAAATGGTTTTGACAGGCTTCTTTTGGAACCAGCTTAATTCCATTGAGAGAATTCTGCAGAGATCGGAACAAGTGATAGTCAGAGGATGCTATGTCTGAACTATACGGTGGATGCATCAAAACTTCCCAACCAAGCTCTCGCAATTTTTGACGGGTCATCAAAGAAGTGTGTGGTCGGGCGTAGTTATGATGGAAGACAACACCTTTCCTATCATTCAATTCGGGCCGTTTTCTTTCAATTGCCTGGTGTAATCTCTCTAGTTATCCACAGTAGAGTTGAGAATCAATCGTCTGACCAACTGGAAGTAGCTCATGGTGGACGATTCCCTTCCAGTCCCACCACACACAGCATCACCTTTTTCGACGTCAATCCTGGCTTCGCGAACGCTTGTGACGGCTCATCATCCCTTGTCCACGATCTTTGACGCTTACGATTGTCGTACGTGATCCATTTTTCATCACCAGTTATGACAGGTTTCAGAAATGGCTCGATTTCATTGCGTTCCAGCAGCGCATCGCAGATGTTCGGTCTATCATGTTTTTCGCGCTCAACTCATGAGGAACCCATACATCGAGCTTCTTTTTGTAGCCAGCTTTGTGTAAATGGTTCCCACACAAAACAGTTTTGTGGTCAATACCTAGCTCCATACCAATATCGACACTGCTGATATGCTTGTCTTGTTGGACTGTTTCAAGAATTTCATCAGCTTTTTCAGTGGACGACCAGAGCGTGACTCATCTTTCACATCAAAATTACCAGAACGAAAGCGAGCGAACCATTTCCGCGCAGCAGATTTTGATAAAGTACTTTCACCTTCACCGTACACAGCACAAATTTTTTCACAAGCCTGCGCAGCGTTCTTCCCTTTGTCGTAATATTGCAAAATATAGCGCAATTTTTCATTACTTTTCTCCATTTTCAAACGCAAACAACTTTCCAACCACTGCACCAATTTCGATGTTTATACACTCAAAGTAACGCTCGAAGTGTCACCTTTCCAACGAGCGTTTAGTAGTGTCGCTACGATCTATGTTTCCTGAGTTATTTGCAATTGACGCCATCTATCGAGAAAAACGCCACGAACTTTTTCCCAAAACCCAATATGTCATAATGTGTCACGTAGCAGAGCAGAGTTTATCGCGTTTACGCATTAGACCGACGACCACAATCCACGATTGATTGAATGTTGTGTTTACTTTTCCAGGTCGGATGGATAAAGGTTTTTTTTCACGGAGATGCAACAACTGTTAGGTAAGAATAAAAGAACAATATCTGACGCAGAAATCTCATCTAGTCACATGTCGTTTTATGTACTGTATGAGTATGATTACATAAAATCTAATGAAGTATGGATGCACATGGCCAGAGCTTAAAAAGGATTTAGGACCGTAAAGAGAAAATTTCGAAATACATTTTGAAATTAATGACATAAGAATCTAAGAACCTTGTACCTGTGAATAAGATATGGAAGAGTCGTAAGATAAATTGCTCTTCCTCATTTTTTGATTAATTCTGCAAATTAATTGAATTTATGGCGAATATAATTATCACGATCGTATTGAATTAGTCATAGCGTTTTGGCAATAGCTAACAAAGAGTGTCTTCTCTAAGTCCAGTGATAGTCATTAAACGAGCTATCCGACGAAGCCATAAACTTCGTTCTTTGATATATATTACTGACTTAATTCTGTTTATTTATCCGTAGTAATTTCAATTTCTGTGTTATAATGTCGAAATCAGTCAATTTCTCTTTTTATTCACAATGTTTTCTACTTGACCTATGATCTTACCTTAGATTTTTGTACATGCTACTGTGCACGAGAAGCCCGTGTTTGTCGAGATGCGTTTCATCAGTGTAGACCCATGTGCCACCGATTTGACCAGTCTGTTCGAACACAGTGAGGCTATAAGTATTCAATTTGGAAGTTACATGACGAGCCATTACCAAACCAGCCATACCAGCACCCACAATAGCGACTCTCGTTTTGGTACTCGGCATTGTTTCTCGTTAGAGCTCGTTTCACAGTCTGAGGAAATTACCCATATTAAAAATTGGCTTTGATTGTCGTGTATTACAACATGAAGAATAATCGAATGAACACAGAAATATAATAAAATAAAATGTACTTTTATTTTACTACAAAATTGTGAGATGATGTGTATGATGTGCATTATAAAATCTCTTATATGCATTTTGTATTATATTTTTCTATTTGCGAACTTGCTTTTGCGATAAAAAAAATTTTTGACTAATAGAAAATTCCGCGATAATATTATCGATCAGTTAAATACAATTTTCTAATATTATCTGTACTTTTTTTTATAGTTTTTGCTGCGCGATATGAAAATTACGATGACACAGACTCGTGGTATTCCAGGGAGTCGTCGTCTTCTATTTGATACGACGAAGAATGTGAGATGAGGAAATGAAGGATGTAATTTGTTTGGATCAATAATCGCCGTAGATGAATTCTCGAGGTGTCTTGACCAAAGATAGAATTAAGACTGTCCGAAGGAAAGCAAACATCTGCACGTATCGCAACTGGAGCTCCCCACGCTGGCTGAAGTAAGTGTGGAAAATGTTTTTTTCCACGGCGTTGGGAATTATGGAATAATCCCTACCTCTGATGAAATCGCCTCGAGTATAATCAGCCAGCGTCTCGCGGTGCCTCACATGATAAAATATTTGTTAATAAAGGCGTAACTTGTCACGTCGAGTTGCTGCGGGTCATCACACGTTCATGGATTAATCCATGAACGATTATCATATATGTAGACATATAATTATATATTTCTCGTGATTCGCAATTGTCAATTGAAAAATGTATATTGGCTTTAAAGTTTTTGCTTTTTGCCGCAGCCAACAGTATTCAAACTTTTGAATGATTACCATGAGAATGATAATCAGAAAGAAATTCATGTTAAAAATTTCCACAAATTACGTCGAGATAAAAATATATATATTTATAAAATGACCCTTGCAATATTGATTGAGCACATTTCTAAAACGCTCCGGAAACTTTTCTTTTGTCGAAACAAATAGGTGAGAAGTAATTATGACAAAAACATGAAAAAAGATAAAAAGGCAGTTTGTGCATATTATGTTTATTTTATCATATTAAATAAAATTATTTATCGATTATTAGAACAAAAAGAAAGTTTTTGAAGCATTTTGGAAATGTACTTAGTCGATAGCAAATATCATACTACAGCAAACATCATTCTACGGATATAACTTTTTATTTCATCGTAATTCGTAGATATTCATATTCCTTTCATATTCATTTTCCTCGCTTTTGATATCGTCAACCAAGAGTTTCACGGCGAGGAACCAGGAGTTTCAAGTTAACACGATTTATGATTTTGGTTTCATATGCGAAATTCATTTGGCGATATGTAATTAAGCGGAGCGCATGTAAAAGCGGCAAAGAAGTACGTCAAAACGAGTGCTTTAATTGCACGGCGACTTGGGAATTATGCGCTCCGTCATCTGCGCTGCGAAGAAACTTGCGCGGCGAAACATGTATTTTTCTAGTCGACGCGCAAGATACTGTAGTTAGTTCCTGGTTGCTGCTCGGGGGATTGTTGATCACGATAAAAAGGACCGGTTGAGGAATGCGAGTAAGAAAATGATTGCCGATCTCGATTTCGCCTAAAGCAATTCCGGCTAAAAAATACGGACACATGTAATCATGTGCGTTACTCGCTTATTTTTTTTTTGTGAACGCTGGTTTTTATAATCCCGGTTTTCCAAGCATCGAGGAGGAAACGCGAGTATTGCCTCACACTAGACGATTGTTAATTGCTCAACGTTCTAAGAAAATACTGCGGATGATGTAGATCCATCATAGTCGTAACGATATTAATTTTAGTTATAACAAATTAAATATGGAATCGTGTTATTATTTCGTTTAATATCGAAAATTATAAATACACACATGCGAAGATAAAATATATAAGATAGATATACATTTTCCTGAAAAAAATATCGAAATTAAAAAATTCGCACTTTTATGACTTTTTGAGAAATTGTCCCAGTTTTTAAATTTCGAGATTTTGATTTTCCGAGTCACTGCATGTAACTTTATTGAAAATATAATTTTGGGAATTTTAATTCGTAAATAAAATTGTAGTACAACGATACTACTATCGTAAGAAATGAATAAACATCAATATTTTTGTCATCTTATCATCTGACTAATTTGTGTTTACTGAAGATTCTTGTGATGATGCAATACGCAGGAGATTGGACCGGTAGATTGGAGGCAGTTGATCCATGACAATTATCTGGCTTAGATAAGTGCAGCGCATGTTCTTGCCATACACACAGCATTCGTTATCGGTCTTATGGAGCAATTAGAAGCTGAGAAGATGATTAAAATTCTAGTTGGAACGGCTTTACGCGGAAATATAACGCAACCATTATTAATCGATACAATTGAATAAACGATTGAGATTGCTCGGTACTATCATTGCATAGAGAGACATATATATGTTCACATTATGCAAATTCAACGCTTAACTCTCTCCTACTGTATGATTGTTATGAATGGTGAAGAATAATTTTCTAAAAAAAAAAAAAAATGAACGGAGGGATAGAACGCGCGATCTAATTCGGCGTGAGAAAGAAAAGTTGAAAATCCATTAATGCGTTTCCTGCAAGCTTAAAATAGGAATATTCTGCTGTTGACACAACCGACACGATTTGTTTGTCATGATTATTGCTGTCGATCTTGTGTTTGGCAAAGTTGGCCGACACTGGAAGCGAATTTAATTACAGCTTACAATGACTTTTCCACATACGTAATAGATTGACATCTCTCAGCAATTATTATGAAACATATTCGATCACGTGCTCGTTTTGTTCCTACCGCATTATTAGTGATTTATATCTAGGCAAATATTAGTTGCGGTAGTAGTTGCGTCATAAATTTTCAACAATCATGCAAACCGGCTATTTACAACGCAATGGGAAACGAAACACTATCTCGTGTACGATTTGTGCGTAATACGGGGAAAGATTTTACTTATTTGTCGGTATCGTCATAAATGCATAATGATAATATCTTATCGAGAGACGGGTGCAGTACGATTTGACGATTAACAATGTAGTAAACGATAAAACTGCGTATACAAAAACAGGAACACACGCAACATGTGCATAATTAATATGCCCTTTGCACCGGCGCTATTGATATTATGTGTGCGCTAGTTTATAAATAACCATGTATAAGAAGTACGATTCTTATGATTCTTTTTGATTTTGTTTCATATAAAAAATTATAGCAACGTTTATGATGTCACGTTAAATGGCAAGGTCGGGAATAATGAGGAGATTTGAAGATTTTTGCATAGGACATAGGCGTGTCACTTAATCGTCGTTATCGTGATTCCTGCAGGGGTGGAGGACCGTGCATACATTTCTGCGGTCCATACGACTCTACTGGAAGAACAGGCATGCAGTGTTTGCCGTGACAGTAACCGCTTAACACAGATTCGCAAATACAAAAGGCGGAAGACGATACAGACTTGGAACGAGAGATGAGCTTGCATTGTTAAGATGAAAGTTCACTTGATAATTAATGGGTGATAATTCGAAAGATAATTTCCACGTCACACAAGGTGTCTTAACGGCCTTGAAAGAATAAAAAAAAATCTATTGTCATATAAGAAGATTCGTTGAGAGTGATGTATTAATTAATAAGCGAGACACTAAGCTAGACACCTGGTAATTTTTAAAGAATAATCGAAATGGATAAGAGTAAGTACAACGTTTTATTTTACATATACTTGTAGTATATCATAAATTAATTGTCCCAAAGATGCAAAATATTGAAACGTTTTATTATCGCGACGCTTTAGCGAAGATATGTTTAATTTCGTGACCGGATGTCGTTGCATCTCATCAAATATCACCACTGTCAAATAGCGCTATTACGCTATTATATGCAGAGAACGTATATATATATATATATATATATATATACATATATATATATCATGCGCACGTTGCAATACGTGTAAGCTATAGATGTCATATATAGGATATTCTAAAAACAATGGTCCAAGCGTTGATCCGATGATTCACTTTTTATGTAGTTTACTGTTCATGGTGGTCGTATCATCATCATACAATCATATCTTTGAAAATCTTTTGAATTATCCTTTTGTACTTTGTCTCACAGAGAAAGAGCTGTTCACTTGCCGAGATGTTCTCTGGTACATGGTATTTTGTGGTTTTGCCGTTAATTACGTGCTGAGGATAAATCTGAATCTTACCATAGTGGCGATGGTGCTACCGTATCCTAAACCCGCCGCAATCGTGCAATGCAACTTAGAGGATAACACGATGCCCTGGATGAATGAGACGGCTCAAGATAGCAATGTTTCTTTCCCGATTACGACGCCCTCCTCCGAAAACGTTACGGTATTTATCATTACGGAGGGTAATCTCTCTATAGAAATTACTTTTCTATACGAGACCTCTCTCATTTCGCGATCTTTCGCAGTACGAGGACCGATTTGCCTGGAACGAGTATCAACAGGGATTAGCATTGGGCGCTTATTACTGGCTGCACTGGTTGTCGCAACTACCGGGCGGTCTTTTGGCCAGACGGTACGGTACGAAGCTTGTATTTGGATTAGGAAACTTCTTAACGGCTCTCTTAGGATTTTTTATTCCCTATGTGACCCATTTGTATAGTTTGATCATGCTTCGAGTGCTACAAGGATTAATAGCGGTAAGTCACGTTCTCGCGGGACACTCTCACACTTCAGAAATATTACCAACCTGCTACCTTAATTTCCGTTCCAGGGTGTTATGTGGCCTTCCATGCACGACATGACAGCCAAGTGGATTCCACCGAATGAAAGAAGCAGATTCGTCAGCGCTTATCTCGGTAAGATGTGTATCAATTTTGTTTTAAGCGTAGAAGTCAAGTTATAGCAATGTAAAGTTTGGAACTTTAGGCTGATTAACTTTCAGGGAGTTCTGTGGGAGTGGCAATTACTTATCCCTTGTGTGCGGCTGTCAGCAGTAGCTTCGGTTGGGGCGCATCTTTCCACGTAACGTCTTTCCTGGGAGTGATTTGGTGAGTAACTCTGCGACCGTGATTATCCTAAGTTTACGATGGACTTCAAATATTCGCATATTGCGCTTCCAATCCTTCGATGACTAAATGTGTCAAGATGTCACTTACAGGTACTTCTTTTGGCACTTCTTTGTGTATGATTCGCCGCAGCAACATCCGCGGATCTCTGATGAGGAGAAGAAGTACATCGTCGACAATATTTCTGGGTCCGTCGACGATCAACAGAAAGAGATACCTTGGAAAGCGATATTCCGGTCAGGACCGGTATGGGTCACTATCGCCGCTCATTGGAGCGGTGCCTGGGGCTTTTTGACTCTCTTGGCGCAGGCGCCAAGTTATTTCAACTTCGTTCACGGATGGAATATTAATGCTGTGAGTTTACCAGCGGTTTCCCTATAACGATAAATCTGCGCTTCACTATTGTTTCATTCTGCGCCGATTGAATTTACAATTCCGACTGTTTGTCTAGACCGGATTGTTGGCAGGAGCGCCGCATATACTCCGCATGATCTTCTCATATTTCTTCTCGATGATGAGCGACTGGCTGCTCCGCACGAATAGAATGAGCCTGACGAACGTGAGGAAATTGGCAACCTTCGTATGCACGGGTATTCAAGGCCTGCTCATTATAGCCCTTGGATTTAGCGGATGTCAACCATTGCTCGCGGTCGTGTTCATGATGATCGGTATCACAGTTAACGGCGCCGTTTCCGCCTCTAGTTTGGCAAATTTCGTTGACCTCAGTCCGAATTATGCCAGCGTCCTCTTTGGATTCTGCGGCATGGTCATTATATGGTCCGGCTTTATCTCACCGGTGATCGTCGGCATACTGACGAACAATAACGTAAGTGTCATTTTCGTCAGATCCGCGAAGACTGTGTTTCGTGATTCGCGATTTACAAAGATATGAATCTCTGCGTAGCAAACTGTGGAGCAGTGGCGTCTGGTCTTCCTGATTGCTGCCGCGAACTCATTGGCGGGCTGTATCATATATATGATGTTTGGCACTTCGAAGGAGCAACCGTGGAATCAGTATACCAGATTGAACCCGAAAGAACGGGAGATGCAGAAGCTGGCCCCGGAGGCGTTAAAATGTGAGAACAATACAGAGAACATGAGTGACATTGAAAAATCGAAATTTATCGAAGAGAGGTGAAATAACTTACGGTATATAGTTTGTGAGGTAATAGTTTCCAACGCAGCTATCGCGATAAGACGCGGAAGATAATAGTTTAACGATGAGAAGATGACTCCTTCTGTGTGAATATATGTATATTACAACAAACAGGATGTCAACGATTGATCGTATATATTTAATAATATGCATAATAATACACTTATATAATTTATTTTTGAAACATTCCGTCACGAGGAAATAAAGTGAAAGAGAGAATGTGATATTGCGGTGTAAAATAAATGCTACGATATTTGTAGCACGCTGAGACCTATTATGATGACTTAGATATACTTTCCGATCGCTCAATACACATTTTACCAAACCGAAACTACATATATCTAACTTTTGTTTTTGCAACATAGAGACAATACATTATGACCTTATTCTCGCATGTGCACAGTGTGCAAATTATGGTGCACAAGTTCCAACAACATAAATCGATGCCGTTATCAAATTGATAAATCGACAAATCGATTATTCCCTACTATGGCCAACATCAGAATTATCACAGCTTCTTTTCTGCTGTGAAGCAGATTAAATACCACGTTCGAGTCTATCACCTGGGCAAATGCATCGCATAGCCCTACCATGAAATAGTCATTCTCATGGATCTTGCTACAATTTACGTATTATCAGTCCGTTGCCATCATCCCATAAGTAAAAGTGCACAATATTTTTATTTGTTCATGTGCGAGAGAGATAGCTTTGATACGGGCACTTTGCAGTCTCCATCATATTAATATCTAAGCTCGAATACCAAGATCTCATTTCAAAATCTAGAAGACTTTGTTAATAAATCTTTGCGTCTCCAACAGGAAGACTAATTTACGCACGAACAGATAGGAAGCACAAATTTTCTCCCAAAAACCATAATGGCCCTGATGTGTCTTTATAATTTGGTGAATAATAACCTAATATAGTTTTATATACATACATATATATATCAAAATAAAATGTTTTTTGGTCAAACTTAGATAAAGGTCGATAAAACATATATTCTTTGATACAATAATATTGACAAAAACTTTGGAGCCTTGTATTACATCTTCAAAGGTTTTGGGTATTAAAAGCTGCATTATGAAGAGTCAAAGCTTCAAAGTTATGATCACATAAATCATTCGCAAAATCATAAAATAATAACTTATATCAAGTAAACATTCATTACGAGAAATAATATTGCATGAAATATGAACTAATGTGTGTGGACGTGTGTACGACAGTACACATTACATTTAATTATTACGACATACTTATGATATATTATAAGCTAGGAAGTGGAGAATAAATGTATAAATACAAATAGAAAACACAGTATTGCGACTAGTATCGAAAGCGCGTGATAATAACGCAAATACAAATGCACGACTGGAAGCTCGTGGCTTCTAAGCCTCGGTTAATGTAACAAATTCCATTGACTATAATGTATTAAATTAACATTAGGCCTAAAATAGGAATCTGTCGCCAGGTAAGTTAATTTAAAGTATATTCTATGATATAACTCGCTCGCACACGAGAATTATATATCGTATATATTAAACACTTTATCTGTGTATATATATAAATTCTATATTTTCATATGTATCTATATGCATATATATCATAGTCATTTTCTATATTCGATAAAATTTCAAATGTGTGCTTTTACGCAACAAGTGATTTTTATCAATTTTAGGTCTGCCTATTGTTCAATGTCCGTCAATATTCTTGCTACTAAGCGAAACATTCTTCTAAAACGAACACTATGCACATCAATGAAACATTTGTTTTCTTTATCGAGTTTGCGTATAAGCAGCACATAGACAAAACGTTAAACTATTTTCAACAGAAAGGAAAATAATATACTATATGCAGAGAAAAGAGAAAAATAAATAAATATAAATATGAGAATTTTTTTGCTATATGTGTTATGGCTAGAATCAATATTTTTGTAGAATCGTACTCTTGTAGTTTCTGTGTTACTTGTTTTTATCTATTGCTGAAATTTTAAGATTTTCTTCTTCGCCGTTAATAACATATTCCTATACATATATTCCATCTTTCTTTTTAAGTTTCCACATTTAAAATCGATATTTAAATATTAAGTTTCTGCACACTACCCTGTGATTTTATTAGTTTAGAATCCTTTCCTATAAAGCAACTGTAAATTTCTTAAAATTTTTGATTTTGGAATTCAGAAAATTTGATTCGAAAAATTTTTACATGAATATTATCCAGATTTTTTAAAAAGGGCAGTGAAATTTAACAAGTATGAACACGTTGGCACATTTTAATAGAAATCTATTTTGTATATATCTTCGTATGTTTTAGGATTCTTCATACAAATACAAATTTGTTTGACGATCCTTCATTTAGATGTATGCTGCGCAAATATAGAATGCATATATTTGTTGAAAACGTCAATATATACTCTGACAAACATGTAATAATTATTTCAGCAATATCGTAACTATAATTTGATTCAAATTTATTGAATACTGTTAAGTATACTTTCAGTTGCCATTTGTGTTTATCATATCTACAACTAGATCAGTTCGTCTACTTTAAGACTGCTATAAGATTAGATGTTTAACTGCTCTGTCCTCTTTTGGACCTGGCGCAATTGTTAGATTGAGTTAAACAGAGAGTTACTATTAAATTTTTCGCCTACGTTGCTGATGATCTATATCGAAGTGCCATATATTCCAGCACATCGTCGTTAGTTCTCATTCTAATTGGTTTCTAACGATTTGGTCTTTGAGACGTCTTCACTTTGAAACGTACATCATCCAATAGGAATGTACAGAACTTTACTTCCGCGAAGAATATGATATCCTACTTGCGCGGATCATAAAAATTCGTTACACAATCGTGAGAAACAATAATGGCACCATTCTCTTATCACATCTACAGATAAAATGTGTCGAGACAAAGAATTATATTTTTCATTCTAATACGGTTATTAGTAGACCATTCAACATTGAGCGATCCTGATTTAGATATTAATGACGGTTCATATTATCATCATATTCATATTATTTTAATGACATGGTTGAAGTTTTTTTTTTTTTGAGAAATATTGCCAAATAAATATATATAGAAATGGCACTGTTCTAGAAGAATCTATAAAAAATTTGAGCGGTGCGTAAATTGTTCTGTAGGATTAAAGTACGTTGCACGACCTTCTCCATTTATCTCTGCGAGTAAGGAACCTGTTGAAATTAACTAACGACTTATTACTTATCTTTGTGTACTTTGTGCAGTATGTATGCGTATGTTTGAGAGCTGTTTTGATTTTAAATCCTATTTTTTTTCCTATAAAGAAATGCACATGTCGCATTATATGCTATGCAAAATAAAATTAAAAAGGTAACATGGAAGAACGACATTAGTCATTGGTCGGTGGATCCATGGCACAGATTATGGACTTCATTACACTAGCTGCTGCCAAGGCTGCGTAAGGTTGCCACTCTTTGATCCGAACGCCGTCTTTGTAATCAGAAATACCACGAATCACAGCAAAGCTCTCGCGACAATTACCTAAAATGCTCTCTACTACGGCGTCCATTTCAGCGTCGAATGCAAGCGCACCGAAACGACTGGCGAATTTCTGTCTGAGTTGATCATCTCGTGCAATTTGTCGGCCGGATGCTACTGGTGCCAAATGGATTCGAGAGCATCCGTCCATTCTGTAAAAATAACATTAATAAGTATATCTGCATGATGATATATATTAAGTTGTGCTGCCGAGGTCAATTCCAAAGTAAACATTTTTGCTTTAGTTGCGATGAAGTAAAGAAAAGCTGTTCGATTACCTTTTATTTGCGGAATCTTGAGGCGCAGTTGGATGAGCTACTTCGATAACGTCTCTCTCACCAATAGCCATGTACAACTTATCAGATTCTGGTGGCGGCGCATTGAAGTCATGTTCCGATTGATTCACTAAGTTCTCTAGACCTTCCTTCATATACGTCTGCCATGGTGGTGCCGTCTCGTTTTCAGTCTACAGAAGATATACTTTAGATACAAAAGGAATAATACAACACGATGTTCATAAATACAAGTCGATTGCATTACCTGCTTCTTAAGGGTTGCTGCAATTTCCTGTAAACCGAGATTTGGAGGGCAGTACTCCTTGGTCTCAAAATGATAGTTTCCATTTTCGTTCATTTTGGCGCTTTCGCAGTAGACATACACGTATTTTTTATTAAGCGGCGTCGGATGCGATATCACCACGTCGCCTAGCCGTACATGTTTATTATAATCCGTATAATGAGGGACGCCTCCACCGACTCCTACGAGGAAGACATAATCCACCTTTTGGAAAGTACCTGCAAAGGCACAGGCAAAGATGCAATGTAAGTGCTTAATGTAAGTTAAAGAATAGCAGAAGTATAAATTTTGGATGGAAAAGCATGATATATATACCTAACAACCTAGTGGTAGTATTACCAGCAGCAGTCATTGCTTCTCTAGTATGTCCCACCGTTGGCAATTTAGTACACACAATCCTGTGAGCACCAATATTGCCCAAAGTATACACATTAGACTCCCCTATAACAAAGAATACTCGTTCGCCCTCGATACTTTTATAGATCTTAAAATTTATGTTTTCTTTTATACTCTCTTGACGCGTGTGTATGATATGACATGTGCACTGTGCGGCTATCAATATATTAAGACGAAACCTGTGTACATGTATATATATGTGATAATAAAATAGATTAAAATCATTCCATTGTGAATGCACCTTCCTAGTCCAATACTTAATAGTATTAGACATAATACTATTGGAAGAGATTAATATTATAAATTTATTAAAAGATTGCATCTAGTGTAGTTGAAAAATAAGAAAAAAAATATTATTCTTGCCCGTTATATTAAATGTGTAAATAATATATAAGAAATATAATTTAAGAATAAAAATATTGATTTGATAACGAGATAAACGTGGATGATGTAATAAATGAATATTTACGAGATAATACAATATACATAATAACCCACACAAAACAAATATATAATACAAATCACAATTAAGCCCGATAAAAACAACGCAATAAGACAAAACACAATAAGACAAACACAAAGCTGTACAAAATCATTCTGTTAATATCAAATGTTCGTGATACAAAAGGGATATATTACGAGAGATATATTTAAGGACGACTAAAATGTAACACAAGAGAAATATTTTATGACGTGAAATAAATGTTGATAACGACGTTCTGAAGTGCACGTTTACAGCACCGCATGACCCTGTATTGTTCTTCGGTCGCAAGCAATTGGCAAGCTATGAAATGAGACATTAAAGTGACATTAAGACGATAGAGAGCTATGTTACAAACTACTTTACCGAAACGGCATATCACTCGTGGAACTCCGTCTGTCGTGTCTGGTGAGTTTGCGGTACCTAAAGTTTCATGCATTGTGAAATATACATTCGCAATATTTTCTTTAAGTATTCACCGTCATTTGACGGATAATGCATATATTATCAGTTTTATTTGTATAAGGAAATAGAAAAGAGAAAAGAACAGTAATAGAGAATAGAAATAATTTGATTAGAATGTTACAAAAATAATCATATGTATAACTCTTTAAAAGCATGTATTTAAAAGAAAAAGCAGAGGCAAGTAAGTTGAGCTATTTTCCTAATATTCTGCAAGAATTCCTAATGTTCTGCAAAAACTCAATTACAGTTATTTTTCTAATAAAAATAAAGATTAGTTTACGTTTTATAACATTGTTTAAGGGTATCACAAGTGTTACAGCTTCAGGATTGTCATCCTTTGATTGAAAATAAGCAATGAATCTTACCAACGGTGGTGTAGCGAACGAAGGTTTCTTTATTTTCGATCATCGAATCCACAGCGAGTTTCTCACAATACTGAGCTGTAATAATTGCTATAGTGGGTTGCTTAGCGCTCGCCATCGTTGGCATCTGCTTCACTACCTAAAAATAGATTTTACGACGTTGCACATATACGTATAAATGAACGGACAAACAGTTTATTGAACAATTAATTATAATTAAATGATTACCTGAACTTGAGTATCTTGATGGACGACACGAGTAAAGGCTCCATGATCCATCGCTTTAACAAGACCCTTTTCTTGGAGTTCTTTTAATTTGGCTTCTACAGCCGATGATTCCCATCCATGTTCCCTAAAAATATTAACATTATATTAAATTTATTGCTGTACAATAATTAATTTTTCTTTAATGTACCTTACTCAATCTAAATATTATATAATGTAAATACTTACTTTGCTATATCGATTACAGTAACTGGATTCGGATAAGCGGACTCAATAAGCTCCAGAACTTTTTCTACCGTGAGTTCAATCACTTGACCCGTGATGATTTCATCTGTAGATACTTTTAACAAAAAAAAGGAAAGAAAAAACAAGACTATTTTATTCACTGTACAATAAAATAAATGTAGTATATGTTAGGTTTGTCAGACTTGTAAGCCGCATGTCTGCCTATGGTAAATCTTAAATTACAGTTAATAGCATCGGAACAAGAAGAACAGCACTCCATAACATATGCAAGTTAAATTTTTTGCCATGTGGATGAGTCTAAATCTTGTGTATTGAGTAGTGTCTAATTTGTTCAAAGTAGAAATGCGAAAGTTTTGAACATTTGTGTAATATAGCTGCAATGGTGCATATGTTTTAACCAGTCCTTATTTCTATGTAACTAGAGTCGAGCTAGAACCGTTAGTGAAGGATACAACTAAATGTGTATGAGGAGTGAAACTCGACACACATATATGTATATGGCAACTAATGTGACCATGAGTAGAAGGTTCGTGCTCTACATGGGATGCATTTCCTTAAAGAACAAGTACAGAGAGTGTGATAATATCACTGTACTATGTACTATACTAACGAATAATCAATTAAAATTAGTTAGAATTTAGGTCAAACAAAAATGGGCATGATTTTTAAAAATGGTGTATATTAATATGTTGAATGTATGTTTCTAATACACTACATATGTCTGTAAAATCGTATATTGTAGGATACTGATGCACACTTGTTCTTAAGAAATTAATAATTGAATGAAACTACATTGTTGAAGTTGAATTTCAACCGAAAGAACACATATACGAAATAAAGGAAATAGCTGACGTTATTGCTTAATTTTGTGTTGTTTGTATATGTAGAGTTACGAAATGTTTTATATAATAGGCAATAGTTTCTTCTGTCTATAGTCATGCTCTGTGAGGATAGATATGCATATTATACACCATGTAGGGAATACGATATCCAGGTCAAGTCAAGTGGTTAAGTGGGATGTTTTTTACACTCTAGTTGGTGTATTCCTTACTGATCGATTAGTTAAATGGATTGGAAAATTTCCCCTCACACGATTAAAGTGGATAATGAATTTTTTAAACTTATGCTTTATCTCAATCTCTCGATCGAAAATAATTAATCATAATAAAAATTATATCACGTTAGTCTTTCTTTTCGCAAAGTACCGAGGAAAATATCATAATATGAACTGACGTGATGCAAATTATAAGTAGGCGAACTGTGTTAAGCCAATGTTGTTATGGTTACAGAGTTATTGTGCCAAGCGAGTATATCTACTAGCCAAGTAGAGAATTTCTTTGCTTGACAATCTAAAATTTTACCGGAGAGCCTGAGAACGCAATCATTCTAATCAGTAGGTATATTAATGTGTTACGAGAAACTACATTATGTGTCAGTTTTGTTTTCACTATTAGCCTGTGTGTATGAAAAAGAGAATAAAACATCGATGAAAAATGTGACAGAAATGCTGAATTCTTTTTCATTCTCGAACCTGATTTCCACATAACTTTCTTAGACCGAGGAAGTGTGAATAGTAAGTGACCAGTAGCTGTGAATAATAGAAATTAAGTATAAAATATAAGCGTTCACATTTGGTATACAATGTAATGTAATGTGAATGCACATGGGAAAATTTTGATTTAAATTATATAATGAGCCAGTAAGAGTTCTATTCAAGTGTGCATTTCCTTTGAGTTCAGCTGTAATGTGCACTTGAGACACGTAGCTCCAATAAGGAACCATTAAGCATAATCAGCCTAATCAAATAACTGTTAACTCCTTCCCCCATGTATAGATCTCTTTTTTATTGAACCAAAGCAAGATATAGTTATATATTTGGAAATGAGAATGTACGTAGGGATTGTATAACTAAATTTAATACACAATATATGCAGATGTTCATGGAGTACATTAACAAACAGGAAATAATAATTAACTTACATGGCCTAGTTGGTAGTGTAATTGGTTCTTCCAATTGCCTTAGCTCCACTTCTAGCTTCTTGATACTAGGATACTTGTGTTGCATCAATTTCATGATTTTTTTTATAAACCCCACATAATCTGTAAAAAATCACTAATATATTACAGTATAATACAATAAATAAGAGGATTTACCTATGTTTTAAAAAACTTATTAAGGATATACAATAGAACAATTAGTATTAATGATTTCTTAAAAAATATTGAGCTTGATATTCTTCTTCAAATATCATAAAGAAGTTAGGGATTACATCCAAGTTTACTATACTTCTCCATATCCAAGCATTAGATCTTGTGTGTTCACATTTACAAAGGAACAAAGAGATATTGTCTTAGTCAATTAGTTAGACCAGATACATTTGTATTTATATTTCTGAGTAAAGTATCATTTTCAAGAGATATAGATATGCAATCGATCAATGCATATCATATTACAATTTACCTCTAGGAAATTCCTGTGGAGTGACAAGTTCCCTGAAAAATTCTTGTGCAATGCTGGGTTGTTCCGCCTCAGGCAATACATCACTAAACCAAAATTGCAAAGTCCTTTGTTCTTGAGTATGCTTCCCAGTTTGTGCACTTACCAGGAATACTCTGAATTGTAAGCAAAGCTGGGCAGGATATATTTCTCCATTTGTCACTGCAGAAATTCGATATTTTATTGCTAATTTACCAATTGCCGTCAATTAACTTTGGCTATACGTTAAGATATTAAAATATATACCAGTAATAGCCTGTTTATTGATAACAATTCCTTTGTGATCACCACCTGCAATATGAACATTGCCATTCTCTGTGCCATTCTGTGTCGGAGGCTCCAGAGCTTGTCTCTCTATTATCAACGTCGTGGAATTTGCAGTCTTGCATTTTGGTGTCATCACAATGTGTTCTATTTAAATGAAATACATGAATGTATTCATAGTAAGTACTTTATCTTATTCTTATCGTGCCAGATAAAATTGGGTATTATCATCCATATGAATTTTGTCACTTTTGGTGATTCACACCTTTAATGGTTCACACCTTTCACCGAGTCTTTCTTACATTTTTAAAAAATTCGAATCTAAATATTCAGAGCGCGTAAAAGAGCGAGTAACAGATATCCATATAAAAATTGCGTCACAGGTATTTCCGAGAAAATCGACGTTTCCGATTGATTTTAAAGAGAGTATAGCAGTTCCTTCAAATTTTACTCAATGCGTTTTTCGTATGTGTAAAACAACAGGCTATATTTTGCTACTTACCAGTCTTATCACCCATTTCTGCAATGTTTTAGTCTCTGTCTATCGGAACGTACGCCGTTATTTTCTCAAAAGTGATAGCAGAACGGGAGCGTTATTAAATTGGAAAGCCTCAAGCACACGACGAGATCCACTTGACTCGACGAATAGTCACTGACTGCAAGTGACTGTCACTGACAGCTTACCACAGATCAGGGTCCGCGAATTGACGCAGGCGCTTAGCAAAGATCAGGTCTGTTGGCTGCATTTCGTTATCGTAAATCGTTGTAGGAATATTCAAGAAAAAAAGTGCATTAAATTACCAAAAGAAAGTTAGAAAATGATTCCACCATTAATCGATGAGATGACGAAGCCACCATTTCGTCATTCGTATTTTAAATTACACTGATAGCTTCACACTGTCGTCTATCGATGCGTCATGGCCGACATGACGTCATCGACACACTTACGATATGATCAGTACATATAATTGTTTATGCAAATATATACAAGAGCAGATTAAAGAGAAAACGTATGCTTAAAAAAATTTATTTGCCACAATTTATACAATAAATGACACATTTGTATTAACTAAAACGAAATGATACAAAAGTGTTTAATAAATATCTTATCTTTGTTTAAATTGATTATGAAAAATGAGACTGAACAAAAAAAAATAATATGAGTAAATTATTTAAGTTATGGATTATGCAATTGTATTAACACGTTTAATGAGTATATTACAACAAATATATCTAGAGACCATTTATTTTTAAATTTTCTACGTTTACTTTTGAACGCCAAAGTTCGATATTTTTTGCTATTTGCATTACGTAGTGTAGTTATACTCAGATAAATTATTGCGAAACATAAGATTTGTATCCACAAATTATTTCTAAAAACTTTAAAATATAATTAAAATATTATTTACACATAGATTACATAACTCCAATATTATATATTTATTTAATATCTTGTTGCGTCAGTTAAAGATGTAGTTCTCTATTATAGAATTATGACCAATATAACATTTAATAATATGCTTATCTTTAAAGCGTTAAAAGTCATTTCAATATAGCCATTCTCTGTTAGCCATCAAGAAGGCTAAGACAATTGTCGACTAATTGTTCGATATTACATATAATAATCATCCAAGCAGTAACCAAATTTTTGTTAATATTCTATGTAATTGCAAGTATAGTAAATTTGGTAAATTTCAAGGAAAAATAATTAGGGGCTAATTAAACGAAAGTGTGATCTTTATCTTAGAGGAACCGACGAGATAGATGTCATAGATGTCAATGACGACGGTCCAGAGCTAAGGTTTAGTTTATCCAGTTCTTCGTCTGCCTTGTTGTTCTTTAAATCTTGTTGCGTGTACAAAAACTTATTCCACTCGTCGATTCTTGGATGAGCTAGATGCTATATTAGAAGGAAGGTTCAGTAAAATATGTTCGTATGAGCCTTGGACAGCGTTATATATTAAATTTACGATAGAAAGAGCTAAGAAAATTATACGTACCTCGGCGACGTCATAGACCCATATTTTACCGGTATCGTCACCCACAGTGACGTGCAATCCGCTTGGTGTCCACGATACTCGATTTAAAGCCGGACATCCGTCAACGACGACGCTGGCAGTAGGCACTTCCGTGTCCTGATTCAGATTCCACAGATCCAACCTACCAGAGTCATCAACCGCGGCGAATAGCGCCGGATGCGTCGGCGACCAAGCTACGTCATAGACGTAGTCGCCGTTGTGTTCGAAAGAGTACAGTGGTTTGTTCTCTTTCAGGCTCCACAGTTTGATTGTCCAGTCGAGGGAAGACGTTAGGAACAGGTGAGAGAAATCTATTCCACCTTGTACCGCATGTGCGCTGATGCCGGTGACCGGTCCCTGATGTCCTTCATAGGTTTCTGTTAATCCTGCACGGCTACCATGGCGGCAAGCTGATCAGTACCAATACCAAAGTTGTGTTATTAACAAAAATGTGAATTTTAATATAAATATTTGTACAAAATAGTTGAGATTACTGGCAGCATTGCACCTACCAGAATAAACAGTTCCGTCCTCGCTACCCATGACGAAATTATTTACATCGCCATGCGGGAAAGCCAAGCACGTAGCAGCGATCGCTTTCGATTGTTTTGTGTGCAGTTCCAACGCTTCCTGCGGCTGCGACAGCATGTCCAAGCTCCACGAGCATAATTTCCCATCAGTCGAAATACTGATCAGATTGTGCGCGTTTTGCGTGCCAACGACACTCAAGCAGTACACTGGGTGCTGTGGAACAAGTAACGATTTTCTCACTTATTTTCTTCTTTCTCTCTCTTCTCTAATTCTATCAAGCTTAACTATTTAATCGATATACAATCTGTAAAGTAAGAGCGTGTACGGCATAAATGGCAGTTGGTTTCAAATATCATCCTAATTTTTTTAGCCGTATTGTGAGGCATATCTCAAGCACAAGCTTCGAGGAAAAAGAACACTTTGTGCACTTTGAAACAGCTAACACGACAAATTCGTCTCATTTGGAGGTCTTTACCGAACGAATACGCAGTCAACTTAGTGGAAAGTATGCCTCGGAGATGCCAGGCAATTATCAATGCCGGTGGTGACTGGACTCATTAATGGTATAGCGTTTTTCTTCTCATGAAGTACAAATCCATGTATTTAAAAATCATTAAAAATAAATGTTTCTACACATTAACCCGTACACGCTCTTACTTTACAGACTGTACGTCAGTGAATAATATATCACTTACGGTATGCGCGCTGGCGGATAAGGGAGTACGTTGTATGGGAGTCCTCTTCTGCACTCGGTTGTCCCAAAGTACGATCTGACCTGAGTATGTGCCGCCCAGGATCAAATTCGGATGGAATCTAGCGAACGTAGTGGACATAACCGGTGACTGACAGTGAAAGATAAACTCCGGGGTTGTTTTCTTGAATTTCGTGTTCCAGATTAGGCACACCCCATCAGGATCGTTCGGCGTGTCATCGTTGTTGTTATACGAGGCCGCTAAAAGCTCAGGAAACTGCGGCGACCAGTCCATGGAAGTCACACAACGATTACGTGACCACCGTTCGCAGATGAACGAGCGATTTAACCAGAGCCGTTGATGACTCTTTTCGTCCCTATAGATGATCAAGTCTATTAAAACTCCAAATAATCGTTTATGTTAATCGGCAAAATTCATCTAATGTATATATTATCTTGTACCAAAGCAAGATCAATTGGAAAATTTTTTTTAGTTGACTTACATTCCATCTTCGCCGTCCATCGTACCGGTGTAATCGGTGTATATATCGACCGATTCACCCAATGCTCTCTCCACGATCCTGCTGGTGCGATCAAGGAATCGTTGGAAGTCCTCCGATAGGATGATCATTTGTTTTTCTTCTTCGCTGAGCTCACGTACTTCGAGAAATCGACGAAAATCAACATTTCTCAGTAGCGGGAGAATTACACATATTTCTATAATGGAAAAATGATCCACATACCTTCTTTCTTGGGTTTTTCCTTCTCTTTCTCTTGTTCTACCTGTGTGACAGCAGGTTGGACTTCTTTAACTTGCGGTAACCCGTGAGGAAGGATTCCTGGAGGAAGCTTGCTTTGGAAACCGTCCATGTGCGGCAAGCTATTTTCTTCATCTTCGGCTTGGCCATCATCAAATGTCAAAACTGTGGTGAATAAGCTGGTTCCGCCACAAGTACCCTAACTTGGTTGTAACTACCTAGCTACTTGTCTATCTATATCTATTCATGTTCGACTAACAACTCTAACAAACTTATTGACTTTCTTTTACTTTTTAGGTACTGTTTATATATATATATATATATATATATAAAATAAACTAAAAAAAAAAAAAAGACTAATTATTTTAAAATAAGTATTACCCTCGAGACGCTTTAACGGATACACACAGTGCAATAATCTCTATTACCTTATTTATACGCATTAATAAGAACAAGATAACACTGTGCATTCTGTGAAAATCCTTACATTTATCTCTGCAACAACTTCATTCTTCTGTTTATACACATCGAGTGCCAAAATTTACATGCCAGCGTATTGCAAAAAAAGGATTCACGTTCATTTCTTTCAATAAAAGAATAATTCAGCTGAATATTTAGCGAAATTTTGTTTTAAAAAAGAAACCATATTTAGAGAAGCATTGGTAAAATGCTATATTAAATAATATATCATGCTAAAAGAAATAATATATATCGTATACAAAAATAAAATTACAAAATTACGAGTGTGAGCCTAGATAACATGCAAAATTAGACATGAACACGAAAGGTGGACTGCTTGTTGGTGAACTATTGTAAATAAACATCAGTTTTATATAATTTATTACAAGAACTCGACATTATTTTCTGAATTGTCTCTCCACCCTTTGTTGGCATGCAATATCGATAAAGTGAAACGTGTGGAAAATGCGAAATGTAGAAAAGACAAACGTGACTGTGTAAGTAATGAGAGATTATTGATTTTCCCTTTAACCATATTTGTCACCAATTATACAGTTATGAATAGGAGGTAACACGGTTTAGGATATATGAAATGAGTTTCACCATCTCTCTCTTACATTGTTAATAATTATATCACGTAAATATGATTGATAATTAAATAAAAACTATTTGAAAGAAATTAATAAACGTTGTTGAAGTTGGAAAGAAGTGGGTTTACAGCCGTGCGACTAAGTATTTTCTCTTAAATAACAGAATAGTAATAAAAACAAGTGCGCATATACATATAGAGTGGAGATTTAACGCAACTTCCCAAGTCTCATGCAGTACTGTACGAATTTATAAAAACTACAACAGTTGCAACAAACAAAATCTATGAATCTATTGCTCCAATTCTCAAAATAATAAAGAGAACCAATAAATTTATAACAACGGAATCTCGACCGAAGTGTCAAATCTTAAATGACGTAACGCAAATCGTTTGACGTCTCGTTGCTTTATAGGGATAAAGTTCATCGCATCAAAAAAGAAAATAACAAACATATAATTATAACAATGTTATAAATAATTTCTCAACTTTTGCATGCGCGGCACGTAAAGCAAGTCTATCTTGTAGACTATGTAAAGAAAAGTATTAAACAGGAGAAATAATATATACGTAAAATGAAGCAATTCATGAAGCAATTTGTAAACGCCAGCGGCAATTCCCTCCTTTCAGTGCATATGAGGCAAAGACGATACATTACAACAAGAAAGTTATGTGAGAAAATTATTTTTAGACGCAACTTCGTGATAGTGTGAAGTAAGAATTACAGACATGTCCGTGAAGTAATTAGCCAGAGTGAATCGTCTTTAGAGAGGATTACCTACCTGTAAATTCGTCCTCCCATTCTAAACCAGGATTTAGATTGTACTCGTCTTGAAGGAGGGAAAAGAAAATGTCAATCAATTTGATATCTTATCTGCCGGAATCGTTTGTTTTTAAATATCTTTCAACAGATATTATTGATGCATAATATACATGTACAAAAGTCAAAAGTTACTTGAGTCTTTTCTTCATTTCCGTATGTAAAACTATTTAAATCCGACAGACATATTAAACTTGATCGATCAATCGTCGCGTTATTCTCGCGATAATTCGTTACGATGGAAGATTCAACTAACTTCTCTTGTTTTGCCATGCTAAATACATCAACAATTGCTTAAGAAAATTGAAAGTAGCAATTTAAATTGATAAATCAGAGTCGATATATCTATTTACATGCGTACAATATTCCCATTAGCAACGGCTCTGTATGTTTTATTAAAACATTGCATTTTAAAGCGATCAGTCTCTCTAATTCTTGAATGAAATATTTGCGAATTTTATAAAGATGTTTAAACACCGAATGGAGAAAAATTTATCGAGATCTCAGTCTTTGATTCCTCTAGACGTTTTTCGATTAATATATAATTTTTAAATCGTTTGTCTTCTTTTTTGAGATGCGCGTTAATTGACATGGAACATGACGAGGTAGGAAAATTCTCGGAAAATAAATTTGACGGCCAAAACTCAATATTGGTAGGTCTCAGAAAAAAAGTCAGCACAGCAACAAAAACGGAGATAAGTAAGGAATCGTGAAATTGAAACAATGATTTAATACAACATACTGACATCTCCGACTACTAATGAAAAATGTTTTTTTCGATATCGATCAACGACTCGAGCCATTTAAAATGGTTACTTTTCAAGAGAGTCAACAACTGGTAATTAAAGTAAGTAAATCTGTCGACATTCGCGTTGAGAAAAAATGGAAAAAAAACACGATGTGTACATATTATTTTGAGAATGCTGTACGACTATGCTGTGACGTGTTCATTGGCATACACCTTGTTTGTTATTTTATCTATGTTCATCTACTAATTTTGTTGCTACACCACCATCGTGCTGTCAAAAAAGCAATGTCCTGCGATCACGAAGAACGTTTTATAAACAGGTTCCTGCATCACTAGAAGCTCAAGCAACATATCTTTATACGATATTTGGGATCTCGTTTTGTCACACACGCGCAAGTAGTTTACCAGAAACGACGTGTATATAAAGAGAATAATATATGTGATATGTGTTAAGTTAAGTTAATATCCCACAACACCTTAGCTCTATAAAAAGACTATTCCCATATTAGTAAGTGTTAATGTGATAGCATTCCCAAAGAGATAATAATGACCGTGACACATCGCGACGAGAACTCTGGAAGGTGCGTTAAGTTGTGACAAGATTTGCCAATGGATATTTCACTCGAGACATTCTGACATAAATCTTCGATGCCGTCTGAGCTATTATTAAGAATATTATTATATAAAATAGTCAAATAGTATCAAATGGCATATACTAAAGTTTTTCAGTGTAACTTTTGTCATTAAACTGTAGAAATATTTTTTTGATAACATGCTTACATATAATTAGTTATGCATATATATATATATATATATATATATATATGCATATACATACATACACACACATATATATATATATACACACACACAGAGTGTAAAAATAGCTTGCAAATATTGCAAAAATCGTGTTTCGTTTAAAGAGTCAGGGACAACCATTTCTCAGCATGCTTTCCGCGAGAGAGGTGTGTGTATATATATATATATATATATATATATATATATATATATATATATATATATATATATATGCAGATAGATTTGTATGTGTGCCCAATAGTAGATTTTTTGTTTTTGAGTCGGGATGTCAGACAAATATTTAGAAAATAATAGATACAATAAATAAGAACGAATGCACCCAAAAATAGATAAACGTAATGAGAGAAGAGAGCTGGAAAATACAAAAGCAATCCATAAGATAAGACAGCAAAGACCGATTAGGTTCTGGGTGGAGAGTTGTTTTTTGCATTCTTGCGTTCTACTAACTAACGTTTTCTGTGGAAAACTAAATTCGGAAAATCATACTTCTCGTACGTTCTCTACGTTCTCTCACTGGCGTGTCTATTCTTAATAAACACGAAAAATGCAATATCCCTAGTATATTGCGAGTGTCAATTAGATTCGTATGAAGAAAATATCGATAGACATTCTATCTGGCAAAGAAACTGGAAATTTAGTAGCAATGTTGCGCTTACCTCGACACGTTCGTTTTGGCGTGAATAATTTCGAATAGCATGTGAAGTTTAATCTGAGTAATTACGCGTTACTCTATCATTCGGAATATAATCTTCATTCACATAGTACCTTCTGTTTATATTGTAATTGTTTTCTTAAGCAATAAACTGAATCAAGCTAAACCTAACTCTGAACCTAAAAGTCGTTTTCAGAACCAAGAGAAATCATAACTTACCGTAATAGTCGAACGCATGAGCTGAGAAGGGGAGGGAAAAAAATTGTACTTAGTTACGATATCACAAGAGAATGCACTACACTAATAACACCTCTCTACACTCAGACCATTCAGTTCTGAACAAAAACATATTGATGACAAAATTTAAAAATTGTACAAAAGTGTAATGACAAGTTTTACAACTTGTAATGTAGATTTGTAGCAGTATTGAAAAAGAATTCGACTACCACGTTAATATTCTGTTGAAGCAAACAAGTATCTCCGTGCTGTATAACTTGTCTGTAAAAATATTACAAAGAAAAATATAAATGAAGAATCGTAAAGAAATCTCAGTATTTTGCAAATATTATTAAAAAATATCTTATAAAAAAAACCATTGTTATGCTGAATGTAGTTAGGTGGATGTAATTTTGTAAATTTTTATATTGTGCGGTGCTTTTTTGGTTCCTATGTATAAGAGGAAACGTACATATTCAGAATGTTTACCATGTTTAAAATAACCAACGTCTATCTTCCTTTCTGTTCAACACTTTCTTTTGTTCACGAGCGATCATCATGTTCATCAAATTATCGCTTATAGCAAGGAATCTCTTTATTCCTCTTTATGTCTAATAAAATAAAGGCATTTTAACGAACAAACTGCAATATCTCACTCACATCCCTTGTCACACTTATGCCCACCCCCCAAATCTTTCTGAAATTTACTTTATTATCATTTTTCTTGTTAATGCATAGAACGATTCACAAGAAAGCAGACAATTTTAGTAGCAATGTGAATATCTTCATCAACAGCTGTTAATTCGTTAGCAAGCACATTTAAAAAATATCACCAAATAAGCTATTTTTGCGTTCTCTACATATCTCGTCATTAGATCATCAGAGTTTTCTATGTCTGGAAATGTTCTGGAGAAATACAGATAATTACCAAGCATAGACATCAATTTTCTATCAGCACGCATGAGTCTCATGGTATGATTTTGTAAAACTTTTTTTATAATCAATTCGTATGTTTTCCCAACAAACAGGACGCCTAGAGTTAATGTGCTGTGTAATCTTAACTTGTTGTCAATCAATTATTTCATTAGAACTAGAACCTCAAAGCGTGAGTAAGCTTTTCTTTATATGCAAACAAATATAGTCATATGTATGTGGAAATAAAACTACAAGATTATCATAAAGATAGTTATGATAACACACACATACACACATTTTTTCGTAAAATGCTAAGATATATTCTCAGAGTCTATAGTTAAACACTATAAACTTCCACATACAAAATTGGCAGCATAGTTAGGATAAAACGGATTGTTATAACAAAACGTTGTATGTAATCTTCATGAACCCTATGTACGCTATGTTGCTTTCACATAGCTTCATACATATGAAGAAAAATGAAAAAGTCAGGTGTAGTCATAAAAGTCTGCGGAGCAATGTTTAAGCAGCGCAAAGCACCCTCAAAGCTAGACTCTACATCCCTTCGTTAGGAAACGCGAACTTCAACTTGTATCTACCTCTATAATATAATGTTGTAACAACAATTATATGGAAGGGTAATAAAAAAGTAGACAGAACATACATAGGTAGTTTGGTGCAGACCCACCTTTCCTGGGGCGCCACCAGTCAGTCTCAAAGTAGCCTGCGGAGCAAGAGTGAGTTGGTGTTGTTGTTGAACAGGAGGAGTAGATGGTGTATGCAGAGGACGATGTGGACAGTCCTTATGTCCAACACCGGATGAATCGATCAGATTGTATCGCAAGACAAGGGAACACGCGAATGTTTAATAACACCGCAAGATCAGTTAGATATAGCAAATATATAGAATCATTTTATATATATGTATATATGTATATACATTTCACGAGATATTCCCGGTTTAATACACTCTCCAAGATAACGAATTAAACAATTGTAAAACTTTAAAAGAAAGATTCTATCATCAGAATACAAATTTTATATTACAGTTGATGTAGAATTATGTTTCACTGCAGTAAAGTAGGTGGTATAAGAAATTTTCTAAAATTTGTAGAGATTGTTATTCACACCAACATAAATTGCCAACATAAACACAATCATTTGTGTTAAATGATCGGAAGAATAAGACTAATCATTCTTGAAACATGTAAAATAAATGTTTAAGAACTAACTGAATTTGCGGTTGTGTCATGGAAATGAAAACAATACATGTAGGAATATATATCGCCACCACCGAAAGAATTATAACTTAAACCAAACCCAGATTGCTTGTTAGACGCGTTACTACCTGTTATAATTTGACCTGATACATTTTGTCACACATATAATCTAAGCCTCATAATAAGAGAAATACTCAATGTGTTATTCTTTTAATGCAGAATATATTTTAAATAAAAAATGTAGAAATCATATAAAAGTGTTGAAAAATATTAATCCCTTATGGATGATATGAGGAGAAAATACAAGATAATAAAGTGCATCGTAACAGGTTATTAAAATTCCTCTGTCTCATATATATGTACACATTTCGAGAATATGTAAGTTTCCTCGCCACTTCTTTTGAAATTAATGATAGAAAGTCATTTAGAAGGTTAATTCAATCTTAATGTTACCTTCATTCAAGAAAAACTAAAAATTAAAGAAACTCGCGCCCATATAATTAATGGTATAACTTATTTCATTATTTCATTGGTAGTTAATAAATAAAAGAACATTGTTAAAAGTTTAGTACACAATTATAAACTTGTAAACACAGTGTTGCAATTAAAAATATATATGATAACCTAGTATATTTTATACACCACCCACTTTACCATACTCGATCATGAATGGAAATTCATTGATGTGAAAACTATGATATATGTGTTGATGATATTCCGTGATCTTAAAAAACACGCACTGTGAATGCACTATAAATTTGTGAGCTTATATTAAAGTGTATACTCCCCCATACTAATAATTAATGGAATTATTTAGCATAAAATAGCAAGAAATTGTCAACACAATATACCATGTAAGAACAATTACATTTAATACATATCTTGCGAAATTAATTATTCATTTTTTTAAATCTAAAAATATATTAATTATGTCTCAATTCCATCAATGTTGTATCTTTAATACATTGTGAGAATACTAAGAAACACGTGTTCTCTAATAGCTAAACAATTTTTTACGCGATCACGAGTGAGATGTAACACATATGTGCAATAGAGATAAATACTATAAGGGAAATATTGACTCACCGTCGTGAGATGTATGCGTTGTTTGAATGGTTTGCGTTTGCTTGCTATACACGACTGGTTCTTTCGGTGGAATATTTGTGTGAGCCACAGAAACAATTGTAAGTTCCCGATTCTTCCTTCGTCCTGCACTGCTTTATATCACAATATAATTAAAATTGACCTTAACCAAGCACATGATATAAACATAAGTGAATACAAATTATATAAGTACCTTTGAGCAGAATTTATGCTAGATGGTTGTAAGCTGGCATCTGGTGTTGCATTAGTACTTTGTTCAGGTGTTAATGAGTTCATACTGGACAAACTAGACAAAACATCTGGAAAAAATCATCGTATGTAGTTAGAATATAACGTTGAAAAAGTATAACATAATTAAATATATATAGTTCATACCTGACACTGGTGCTACACCCAGAGAAGATAGCATCGCATCTATCTCCTTGCGCTGGTCTTTATCTGTGCCAGCAGCACGAACAGTTGCTTCCTCTACCTATAATTTAGAAACAAGATGTTTATTTCTTATGTAATTCTTATATATAAATTAAAGTGTTTATTTATAAATCTGTTTATCTTACATCTTTCTGTTCCTTTTCTCTCCTGCGTCTTTCTTTTTCTTCTCTGATAGCTTGTAGTTTCGCTTTCTTCCTCTCTAATTCTGCTTTTCGATCAGACATCATCTTGTTGTTCAAAGAATAATGCCTGCAACACAACTTTTCTAATTATATATTTCATTCAAGTACATGAAGTTGATTCTTGCGGCGAAGCTGAAAAATTTCAATATATCTACACTGTAACTCGCAAGGACACTGTAACGCAAGTGAGCCCAAATGCAGTTATTGATTTCTCAGCAATGACGTCAACCGGCCGAATTGTCGGCAACGCGTGGTATCTATGTAGAGAAAAACCATTACACTTTTTTAATGTTTAATCGTGATCGTTCGGGCTATCCGCAATGACAGTGGTTCAGACGAGATTAATTGGTATTCAAGTGCGGTGAGACATTGAACGATGAACTCTCATTGCACCCGATCGAAACTGGGCGATGCCGACGTAACAGCGTTATTTAGTTGGATACGATTTAAGTACAGAAATAATGGCGAGCGCGCTTACCTCTTTTACTTTACAGAATATACAGATTAACGCAAGAAAAAACTCGATGTCAATTAACTATGAAAAATCTACATTATTTGAGCGAATAACACGTACATTCTCACGATCTTTTCTACGAGCACTGTACGACTACAAGATCTTTATAATTCATATTTATAGGGTGCCATCTAAATCTACTTTCACCTTTCACAACTTCGAAGATCAACGGTTCAGCACTGTCGGTAAGGACGGAATATTTGCAAACGCAGTGCGGTAGCGCGGATTCAAATAGCTTTTTTCTACGAGTCGTACAATTTCTATTTGCGAGAGGTGAGTCATTAATCTGGAATGTTATAAACTAGATTTAAGCGACCAGATATCATGAGGTAGTCGAAGATAAATATCGTACGAATTAGTCCCCGTCAGCACCGTCAGAATAACCTACACACCAGAGTAATACGTGTTTACACTGTATATTAATTGATTTGAGGTTCATATCATATAGCCTTTATGTTTTCATTCGAATTTTATGCATGTATCATCATTAAGAAAGTATATTATTTACGTTTGTCGCGGTAAGACACTGTTGAATAACCTCTAATTTGCAGAGGACAATTACATACGATCATATCGACTGACATATATTGGCTGCGTTCCGATATTCACTGCCAGTACTGAAAATACATAGTTTGCGTCACGTATGCTATAGATTTTCAGTGCTGACAGTGAATATCGGAATGCAGCTATTGTATCGATATACTTCGAGATATTTCGAATTTCTCAACCGTTGCGATTTCAGCCTTTCCAACCTGGAGCTCAATGCGGGAGGACATACTCGGAAGGCCTCTCCGTATTTATTGTGATTTCGGCATTGCCAAAGGTAAGTTTCGTACTCGAATCATCACATGAGAATATCCGAAAGTTAGTCTCCTTCGTATTGTTATGAAGAAATATTCTCAGACAATCGCTGAAAGCAAATACTTCGCGAAATGGCTAGGAATGATGAATAGGTTATTGCATGTCGGTTGCGCTAATGGCGGTTTGAGTTTCCAATTGCGTCTCTTTACGTTTGCAGCTAACCAGGTCTACGAGTCTCGCGCGCGAATTATCGTAAATGATGAAAGTCAGTTTCATGGTCGCTTATCATAGTATCATCAAAGTATCGTTAAGTTGTAGGAGCGACAAGTAAATATCTCGCGATACGATGCGTTACAAATAGCTAATATAGAGACTGGCGTGTTAGTCGCATTAATGGCGGCTTGAATCTTAAATTGCAGTTCTTTACATTTTTATCTCGCCGAAAGTAAGTCTTGTACGTGAATTATCGTCGCGAATGTCGAAAATTAGTTTCATGGTAATTCGTTATGACAAAGTATTGTTCAATTGTAGGAGCAAAAAGTGTATATCTGCGAGATGCTACGGAACGAAGCGATAGAACGTCTTTCAGAGGAGCTGAGCGAGACGTCGTTGTGTCGTCGGCTGAGCTTGAGCAGTTCGTAGTAGATCACTTTATTCTACGTTTTCGACTTATCGAAGGAGAAGTCGGTAAGTACCGATAAAGCAGAGGCTGCGTACATAATGCAATCTTATATATCAATCATAATCCGAAAATATATGATGAAATAGGGATAGGGGAATATACAATTTCTTTTTTAACATATAATTATATCCGTTATTCATGAAATTATAGCTAGAATTCCATTTTAAATTCTCTTCTAAATTGTAAATCGTTTGAAACGAATTTGAATATATTTTATTTTATTAAAAGACAATTCGTTTTCGAACAATAATAAAACGTTATTACATAAATGATCGCTTACTAAAAACTAATACTTTGGGTTTCTATTTATTGAAGACGAATGTCTTTGAAACATACTATATTTTTCTTACGATTGTTCTCCGGTCTCCTTTCTGGATAAAAACGACATGTTTAACTGCACAGTTATTTTTTCGCACCTCAAAGCTTATAGGTCCCAGTTCGATCGCGTTTCAGGCTCTTAAAAGGGTCGTCAAAATGCTAATTTCAGGCGCGGAAACCTAGTTTAACACGTACCCAGCAGCGTTTAAAAGTTTCTATAGTCTCCGATGTTGTTGCAGCGCCGGATCTTCAGTAGTTACATTCTGTCTACGTCCGAATAAATTCGGATTCTTGTTAGTCTTTAGTAACATTCCGAATTATTGTCTTAACAATTCGGTAATTAGAACATAAAAGTAACTTAATCGTAAAGAGAAATGTAGAACGCAAAGCGAAATATATACACCGAGAGAACATTTGTTCGGATTGTTAAAACTTATAAGCTTCATATTTTTTGAGTGCAAACAAATTTTTAGTTAACAAAGATTACTCGTCTTTTTTAAGTACTTGATGTGCGTGTATAATTCAGCGGATTTCGCGGGCGCGTTTTTGCCAATTATTTCGCGCGCTGCATAATAGGCGAGCGATGCAACAAACGAATAACATACTTGGCTGTTTCCACTCGCTGAACGCTCGTAAATCTGCATTCGTGATCCCGTTCGTTACACAGAGGTTCCAATCGGTTCGCCACGCTGGGGTTAAATTGGTATGAGCGCTATAACGTTCGACGATCGCATGCACTACGTGGCGTAGGAGGCGTTTCGCCTCCCCCTGCGAACGCGCAAAAATAAGGAACGCGAAAAAAATTGCTCCGCGCAGGAACTTTCGTAATGCGCTCGTGTAATACGGAGCAATTGCTTTTTCATGGAAGCGCGGCCGCGCGGCGGCGTGGTGCCGCGCCGGACCGAGGTGTAGTAGGGGCGAGCAGAAAGGGCGAGAGGGTGGTTTCGGGCGATCGTGAAATCGTGGAACGGTAGCATCGAGACACACGATCAAAGGAAACTTCTAAATTCAGCCACAAAATTAGCTTGACACTAATTTCACGGGAGAAGGGGAGGGGTTAGCATGGGCAAGGCTAAGAAGCCAGCCAGAAAAGATTGGCCGGCAGGAACCCGGGGGAGAGCGGAGGAAGGGAGGGGAGGAAGTAAGGCGACCTCGCGTGATCCCTCATACCGACTTCGCGTGTCGAAGTCTGATTTGCTTTGTTGAATCAAGTGTACACGGGGGCCTCGCGAAAGGCGAGGAGAACGAGATAGTGTGCAGTCTCTCTTCCTCCCTTCATATCCCGTTTACCTGCCCGTGAGCGCTCGCTTCCATCATTTTCGTCGGCAATTAGATCGCCCGCCGATGGAACTCCGTCCGACTTGTCAGTCTCGCTTCCGCGCCGCCACGCCGGTATTTTAAACCGACGTTATCGCAACTGACGTATCAGCTGCATCTTTATTTAACTCACTCGTCAGGCCGAATCTGTTCGTTGTTGATTGAGCACTTTTGATCGTCAATGTCATTAATTACCTATGTTACCTCGAATTCCGAGATCCGAAGACGGGCCGAAAATACAAAGACGTAAATGAGATAAAAGTTTTACGCGGGTATATTCCAGCCAACAGAACGGTTGGAATTTCTTTTTTTATATTTATTCTTTTACCTCTTTTATAGTTCTTTATTTATATCCGTTATTTAGCCCCTCTTTTTTCCACATTTAGCATTGTTTGAGCAAATGTGTGGAATCTGAGGTTTGGTTTAAACAATACGCCGATTAGATTAGATTTTACGTTCCTAAACGATGCTAAACTACATGTATATATTCGCACTGCATATTCGCGACGTAGGAAAATCTCTCACCCCAATTCGACGAGGAAGTTTAATTTTAATGATTAACATCCCTGTGGTCTAATTTTGGTCAACGAGTTTTGCGGTCAATAAATAAAGATTTATCGGGTAATAGCAGAGCCACGGAGACCGAGCCGAGACGATAGGTTCGAAAATTATCTCGCTTCGTGGTTTATTCAATGGCGCTCAAGGAAATAATAGCGTAGGAAATGTACCTACGATTATTTCTGGAATCTAACACAGTGGTGGCGATTTATCGTATTATCGTACGGCTATCGTTGTTTTACCTTCGCGGAAGATAAATGAGCCGAAAATTCCTCTCGATTCGCTTTAATTCATCCTCTCGCCGCGACGAGATCGACGTACAATAATTTTTTGCGTAATAATGACACGATTATTATTGAGATTACGTGTAGTCGGCGGCTAAGATAAACATCGCTCGCGCATAAATCAGCTGCGGAGCGCTAGGTCCATGCAGCAATTAATTATAGAAGTGCCATGCAACCGTCATATCTGGGTTGCCGGTTCAGGGCCGGTTCGGCCAGCGGACGTGCGGTTTTGATATCTCTCAAACATTTCGTCAGAGGTGGGTGCCGTGTTCTCGCGTGTATATATGTGCACAAGAGCATGCACACGTGTCCACCTCGTGTGTGCACACGTGTGTACCGTGGCAAGTGGCATCTACACGGATTCCCTTTCGCATTACGCCGGCATTTCTGCTCATCGTACCGGAAACGGTATAGTCTGGCCATCTCTATCCCGCGAATCCCGCAGTCCTTCCCTCGCTCTACCCCTTTATCACTCTTTCTCTCTCTCTCCCTCTCTCTCTCTCTCTCTCTCTCTCTCTCTCTCTCTCTCTCTCTCTCTCTCCCTCTCTCCCTTCCTCTCTCCCTTTCTCCCTCCCTCTCTCTCTCTCCCTCCCTCTCTCCCTCTCTCCCTCTCTCCCCTTTTCTCTTCCTCATCCTGACGGCAGATAAGTGGAAAGCCGGCACGACGTAGGTCGAAGTTTTGGTGGATTTACGGAATCTCAAATTCGTACTGGCGTAAGCGGATCTGGCTTCTCTCCGGTCAAACGGGTAAAGGTCGACCTTGTCGCGGATGGGCGGCCAGCTTTTGCGGCATGGCACGGGAACGTTGATGGTCTCCTCCGCGAGAGAGGAGCGGGGAGAAAGTACGTACGAATTTGAAGGGCCGACGAGGGTGGAAGTGGACTCCACATTCGCCGCAAGACCCGACTGATGAACCACCTGGTGGACGTGGACCGCGTCGTGTCGCTTCGAAGAGCTAGAAAGCAAAGTTAACATTGCCTTGCTAGTGACGCAGCCTCGCATCTATTCGCCTGATCTCGTCTTTCTCTATCTCTCTGTCTCTCTGGTCGCTTCCTATCCCCTCGGTCCCCTCTCGTCGTTTACGTTTCATCCCTTAATGCTTTGGACCAGCGCGCAGGTAACGATCCCCAAATAACGGTCCATACGCTTGGGAATTTGTCAGTGTCCCGCGGTGACTTAAGTAACACATCGTCACGCACCGTTTACGCGCTCGTTCGGGCGCGTTTTTCGTCGGACGAATTCGCGTCGCGATTTACCCAATTCACGACGTCGAGATCACACTATAACTCTCCCGAATCGCAGTAGCATGTACACACAGGACAATTATCTCTCGCGTCTTACAGAGAGTAATCAATGCTCTAGACAAAAAATGTGGCACGATCGTAAATCTCCGTAATATTGCACTTTTTTGAATATCATCGCTGATCTCAATTAATTGCGATAAAAAAATAAGGACAAACAAAGGAGTTCTCGTACACGTAAGCGATATAACGAAGCAACGGTCGATTAATCACAAATTCGGCACGGTTCTCGTCTCCCTTCTCCATTAATCTTTGATACCGTGGGCAAAAAGTGGGGCGATCGTCGGTGTTATACCGTCGACGTTGGCGGTTTTAATACTCGCGGCTAGCATCGCGCGAAAACAAGCGTTTTGTTTGTCCGCGAAGCGTGCGAGCGTGGTATACAGAATTAGTATTCAAAGTTACGATAATATCAAGCTTAACGAGACTTCTATATCAGGAAGCTGGCGAGGTATTGATTTTAGAAAGTCGCCGGGCGAGCCGAACCGCGGCATACAAAACTCGCCCGTTCATCGGCGAATTAGCGTCGATGAACTTTTCTGAACCTCGGCCGTTCGAGCCCGGTCTCGACTTTCCGCGGTACCTTTTCTCTGGATATACACGATCGCTTAAGTAGATGGAACGAATTGCAAATAACCGTCGGCGATGGCGGCGATTTTATCCGAACGACGTAATTACGGCTTTGCCTTCCGCAGATCCGGTAATCGCGGATTTTTGTGCGACGTATAAAGGGAAGAAGAGATTGAGAACTCTTTCGGTAAAGGGGCGCCGTGCACAGTTGGGTGGACTAGCGCTGGTTCGATTGTGAAAGGGTAGGGCGGCTGCGAGTTTTAGATAATGCGATGAGCAGGGGAGTGTGTTGCGGCAACTTCGGGAAACATCGGCAGTCCGTACTTTGAAGAGTTCAAATCGTTCTAGACGTAAGACTCTCGCATAATAAATGCAAATTTCCTCCCGAGCGCTATGAGAGGCAATCGGTGTGCTTGCCTTCACCGCTTACTAATTAGAACAGATTTCCGCGAGAAGCGGCGTTTGGTGGAAAATTATTGCAAGTGCGCGCGCGCACACACACACACACATTTATTTATGCAATAATGATCGTACACAATGCGACACGTACGGCGCGATAATGTCTCGTTTCTTTTATCAGCCTGTGAGAATTTGTTCTCGTCAGAAAAAGAAAAAAGAAAGGCCCCGAGATACGAACTCCTGAGATGGTTTCTTACG